AACTGGGAGCAAAAAAGTTTTTTTCCCCTTTTCTTGGGTGTTTTCAGAGATACAATAGTTAACTAACTAACCTGAAACGTTCCCACTCATTACCTCGTTATCATAATTATCTCCATACATAAGCTTTTCCCGCCAAAGATATGTTGTTTTCAAATAATTATTGGAGTTCATTATCAATAATAGAATGAAAAGGAGGTTGAAGCTACTATCTTCGATGGGAGAAAACAAGGGGTTTCGGAACTGTTGCTTGTCGTTATTATCCGCTTCCCGTCAACCAATGTAACATTGGAAAAGGGAACATAACTCCGTACCCAGTCGATACTTAGTACCATGTGCATCTACCATCCCTACAGTGCTGGAATGGCAGGCACTGGAGTTAAAAGAAAAAGTTAGCCATGAGGTCTGATGGCGAGCTTAGAGTTCATTCACAACATACCTTCCTGCAGTCCTTGCCACATGTTCCTGGAAGGCAGACACATTGACCGTACACACACTTCTTGGGATGCTCGCACTTCTTACAGTCATATCCACATGTATCTTTTGGACAGACGCATTGGCCATTCTTGCATTCTTTGCCTGGGAGGCACCTCTTGCAGTCTGGTCCACAAGTACCCCTAGGGCAAACACATTGGCCGTAAATACACAGCTTAGGGTGCTGGCATTTTTTGCAGTCGAATCCGCAGGTGTCCCTAGGGCAAACGCACTGTCCATTTCTGCATTCTTTTCCGGGGGGGCATTTCTTGCAATCTAGTCCACATGTATCTCTAGGACAGACACACTGTCCGTTTTTGCATTCCTTTCCAGGGAGGCATCTCTTACAGTCCGGCCCACAGGTGTCCTTTGGGCAGACACACTGACCATAGAAACAATACTTAGGATGTTCGCATTTCCTGCAATCGTTTCCGCAAGTGTCCTTGGGGCACACACACTGGCCATTCTGGCACTGCTTAGGAGCTTTGCACTGTAGTTCACATAGTCAGTATCAGGTTTGGTCGGTTGATAGATTGCAGAACGTACCTCTTTGCAGTCTGCTCCGCAAGTATCTTTGGGGCACACACACTGGCCATACAGGCACTGCTTGGGTGCCTTGCACTGCATCCCAATAAAATTAGAGATTCGTTTTGGATAAAACAAATGCCATTTCGATACGTACCTCTTTGCAATCACTTCCACATGTACCAAGTGGACAGGAGCATTGACCGTTTTTACACTGCATCGGAGGCTTGCATTCCTTGCAGTTATCTCCACAGGTGTCCTTGGGGCAGACACATTGGCCGTCCTTGCATTGCTTGGGAGATTTGCACTGTATTCCGGATTATTAGCATCTAACTTGGGTCGTTATAGAAGAAATGATACGTACCTCCTTACAGTCGCTTCCACAGGTATCTTTGGGGCAGACACACTGACCATCCTTGCACTGCATAGGAGCTTTGCATTGCTTGCATTCATTGCCACATGTTCCTAATGCGCAAGTACACTGTCCATTGATGCATTGCTTAGGGGCTTTGCATTCTTTACAGTCATTACCACAGGTGTCCTTGGGACAAACACATTGGCCATCCTTGCACTGCTTGGGTGCCTTGCACTCTTTACAGTCATTTCCACAAGTACCAGATGGGCAAGTGCATTGGCCATAAATGCATTGCTTAGGAGCTTTGCACTACAACGTTGAAATTTTGTTAGTTATACATATATGCTGGAAGGTATATAAATGTAGGGTGCAATATCACACACCTCCTTGCAATCGTTTCCGCATGTGTTAGGCGGGCAGATGCATTGGTGGTTTTTGCAGAACATTGGAGATTTGCACTGTTGGTCAAGTGAATTAGCCCCGGACCACTCGATATAACAGAAAACATGATAGGGAAGGGAAGCCTATGGATGAAAAACATACTGGTCCACAACAACACTCAAATCCATTGTGAGCAGCCTCTGAGACACAAGCTCCGACGTTCTTGTATCCGCATTTAGCAAAGTTGTCCTTGCACCAGCTGGCACACTCGCTATTGTCATGGCCGGGGATGGCCAAAGACAGCGCGGCTATAAGGTTCAATTAGCCCTTGCAGGGTAGTATTTATAGCAGGGACTGAAATATGGGGCAACCTACTCAGGAGAGAGAGCAAAAAGAAGTAAAGGATCTTCGCCATCTTGAATCGTTTCCTGAGGTAAGTATCTCAATTGCTTAGATTCAGATTTGCATAAAACAAAGGGAGAATTTGAGAGAAATCCATCCCTTTTATCTTCTCCAGGGCAGGTCATAGAGTCCATTTTGGGATATTAAACTTTCTTGCTCCTCATCATAAAAAGTTGAATGGTATCAACACCTTTCAACGCCGGCTGCTCTGGAATCGGTCAAAAATGTCAAATATTAGCGAGAATTAGAATTCAACCTTGCACCCCAGATATTAGCGAGGAGAGCAATCCAATCCTGCCTGTTCTAGAGCAGTGATGCTACCGTCAGCCTTGCCCAGGAAAAAAAAGAAGATATTGAAGAAAGACGTGGTTGCGAAAATTGACTGTAGAGAACTTTTCCAGCAGGCCGATTAGAATTGGAGCCAGGAAACAACGCCTCTTGTCTTGGCAAAAGCTTTTGTGGAGAAAGCAAAGTGGTTTGGCCTAGTTAACGACTAGCTCAAGCTTGGAGTTAAAGCCGGCTTAATTGAGACTATATTTCCGGCATCCTGGGCTGCTCCGGGGATTTTGCGTTTGGAGGCTGCAGGTCCAGACTGATGGGCGGCATTCTAGCCTGCTCCGGCTGCGTTCAAGCTTACAGCAACGCTTGATGCTCTTCAGTCTGGCTGGACTCGCGAAGCGGCTGGTTCCTCTCGCTTAAGGGACTCTCTGCTGGTGGTGTGTTGTTCGACCCGAAGATGGCTTGCTTGACTGCCCTCAGACAACTTGATTTGCCAGATTCTGAGTTAGTTGGCTAATCCTAAGTCAGTCGATATCCCAATTGCAGAGGATCTATGAATAGTACGTACCAACCCAGGAATTCCTATCCAGTGAGCGTGTTGACGGCGGTTGGCTGCTCCTCTTTCGTTTCCTGGTTCCGCAGGGACACCAGCTTCAACTAGTCGAGTCAGCCGGGATCTGGGGACAGGGACATCACAATAATGGAACTTCCGCTACCAGAGAGGAGTGTGCAAGGGTGCAGCCAAGTATCGGACCTTGCTGCGGTTTCAGAATGGTAGTCGGCGGTCACCAAGACGTACTCGGTACAACCCACAATGCTTGTGCTACCTGAAGCAGAGTTCAAATTCTTTCTTGCCAAGTACCTTCTATATGGTAACGAAAGAGAATGAAGCGGTATCCTAGCTCTAGATGCTTGTCATCGGCAAACCCTGGCGTTGATCTCGCTGGCTGAACCTGTAGCTAGGACAGAACAGACCCCGACGTCCGCAAGTGCTCAAATGAATACCAGAATACAGCTCCAGAAGCATCCATACAGGCCGAATCCACCTCAAATGCCACCGAATTGATGCGGGATGCAGGCTCCGTCTGCTTATTATTATTTTTCTACTTGGCCGCTGATGCTGTTCTTTTTTCCATTGATGTCGTGGGATTTTGATGTCTTCCGCCCTTCTTGGCGGGTCCATGCCCGCTCCTCCTCGCTAATATCGAACCGCCATCGGACAGATCTTGGGTAGCCATGCCTCAGGAGCTGAGCCAGAGGTACGCCGGGCGGAGAGAAAGAAACGCTTCATCAATGATGAGTCTATCTAGATCACGAGATACCCTTGACCGTTTTTTTACACCATTCGCCCCTTGTGTGACCAGACCCCCTCCTCGGGTTGAAGATTTACTGGTCAACATGGTATCCAAGGCTTATGAGACGCATAGAATACATGACATTGAAGCTTTCGGTACCTCTGCCAATCACTAGAAATGTCACTTCGCTTTGCCTCTGGGATATACTTCCTCCTCATTGCAGCTGTTCAATTCAGTTGAACAGCAAACTCTGGGCAACTCGATGCATCCGTCTACCACTCTTACTCCTGCGGCTGGCCTTTGGCTCAACGCTGCTAATATCCATGCCTTTTCTCTTCTCTTCCCTTGTTCTTTCTCGTTTCTTTTCCTTCATTCGCATTTCCCCTCCTTCTCGTGTTCGATTCGATCACGTACCTTTCCAGTGGCTTCTTCGGCTCTTGGCTTGAGAGCAGAATCACTGCTCAGCAATTGAAACATAGAGGTGGAGGCGCTGCCATTCAAATTATACTCTTACTCTCGGGTTTCAGGCATGTCTTGGTCCTTCCATCGTTGAGAAGAGCCTTGACTTGTTCTTGGTCCTGTATGTCTCACAGAAACTGCATTCTACGAGTCTAGCAATTTGTGGAGAGGTCGGCTAAATAATGCCCTGTTTCGGTTATGCCGTTTGTTGTCTTCATGCACTGCCGGATCATTCAGAAAAGAGGTTCACGTCCATTTTCAGCTGCTCGGGTGGCTAACTCTCATTATATCTCTTATCCGATCCATCATTTCCTGTGACGCCCTCTCTTCATTCTGGGGAACGAAAAAGTTTATCATCTAACTGCCATAAAGGCGGCTTGGATGTTTTTGGCCTATCTACAGTATTTTTACGCTCCTGTCATTGTATTTTGCCAGTATCAGAGCTTTCTACCTTAAATTTCTCACTTTGATATTGTTTCCTGCTTATTGAACATCTAGAAGTGGATTCCAGATGGACAAATTCGATAGAGTACTGGATACCTCTAACCTACCTGACCTACAATGAGCCTACATACTTGCCGTCATTGATCCATAACATACCGTATAAGGCGTCATTCCTAAACCGCAATTCTTGAAGTTTATGCCAAACAATCCATGGGAATCTCCTTGGCTTTATGTGGAGTTTCAAATAAGACATCAGAAAGCCACAAAATCGTTTCTCTGCTGAACAATCAAGCCCGTGAACAACGACTAGTTTAGTAACATCAGCGCCGCCATCATGGCATTATGTTTCGAAGTCGGTAGCCTTCTGGGAACCGCCCACATGCCTTGGTATCGTATAATTCCTACTTCCAAATATACATACATTAAAAGGCCGATATAACATCGACCTGATAGGCAACACTCACAATAATGTATAATGGTAGGCCTCGGGCTCTATTGTGTTAGAATAGGCGAATAAAAGCTGCTAAATGGTAGTAGGGTGTTAGAGTCCAATGAGATAACATATATCTGTCATTCATGATGATATGCTGCCAGGCAACATGACATTTGAATGTGGCCTGGAGCTCCTAGATCTAGACTATCTCGACCTCTTGGTTCGCTCGAAGTTGACTGAGCACTTCGGAGTCAATGTGCCTTTGTCTCATAGGGGCGTGGGCCATTGATCTGCAGGATCCTGTTATCTCCCGCTGTTGGCAAGAACCACAACGGCGAAGTGGCCATTCTTTTTAAGACTGTTCCTTTATCTGGAATTATACCTCTGAGAAGCAATTAACAGAATAGCAAGATAATCGACTGATTATACTGAAAATGTCCTCAATTCATTTGTTTTTGCTGGCTATTGTAGGGTTGATGCGAAAATACGTTGGGGGAAGGACAAATTGGGTCTATGGGATATCAATTATCAGGTTGCTTACTCCTCACGGCCAACCCTGACACCTAGGATCAGGCAATTAACAGTACTCTTCTTGCCATTAAATCGTGTCGCTCTCTCCTGTCTACCAAAATTTAATGTTCTATTGGAAATTGGCCGTAGATCGAATCCCCTTTTCAGTACACGAATGGATATAAGCTCTACATTAAGATTCAAACAGGAAGTTGTAAGTTTTCTGCCATTTTGTTGGCTTATGATGACATTGTGTATGTAGAATTGTCGGTGATATTCCCTAGATAAAAAAAGAGGAACAGGCCATACAAGTTGCATTTAATACATAGATAAAGTAAAGGTGACTAGCTAATTATTAGCCGCGTTTTGCATTAAATATTTCCAATACAGGTAGAAACAGAGTAGTTGCGGGGTATCTCACATCACATTGTTTGAAGTCTTTGTTTGGTATTAAATCACTATTCATAAATAATTCTAAGAGCAACTTGTAGAAATAGGGTATAATTTCACATATATTTGTCACATCATATATATTTACCAAGTTGCGCTAAGGGAGTCGGACTGAAGGCAACAGCGAACGGGTCATACGTCGAATGAGGTGGGGATTGGCCTGACTTATATCCCGTTACTCATAAAAGACGACGTCTTCAAGAAACGGGAGGGAGAAAAATATAGGAAAACTCGAAACATCAGACAGAATTTGAGATCGCATATCTGTGGGGGTATAGATGCATTTATGACCTAGGTGGTTTTCTCCCTAGCTGGTTTCGAAGTTCCTCTCGAAAATACTCAAAATACTTTCCGAGTCCTGGCCCTTTAGAAGGTAACCCCATGTCAGCTTGGCTAAGAGGGAATTGTGGGAAATGTATAGTGAAGGTAAAGGCCAAATACCGTCTATATTTGTTCCCCCCATATCTTCTGGTGCTTTGCCATATCTTAACTCTTGGACTGACTTGTGAATGCGCTGGACGGCTCGATGGAAAGTTGGGCTTGCCAGAAGCTGCAAGATGTCAGCAGAAACAGTCTTTAAGTAGGGGGAGCCGTTTATATAATTATTACCCTGGCAGTAAGCCACACCTGGATAGATCAAGTCAGTTAGAATGAAACATTCAACCTTGTCTGGATGTCCGTATGTACCTCAAGGAATCTCAGCCACATCCTGGCGGCTTGCCTTCTTATGTATGCGCGCGTTTACTGGATCCTGTCCAGAGAGAAGCGATGGTAAACGCAGCATCTCATGTCTTCCTCGCCCGTCCGCCTTTCCCTTGCTCTTGTTACTTCTTCGTTTCCTTCTCGCCGCAAGAAATCAAAAAATCAGGAAGTTGTTGCTTATATAACAAAAATATTAACTAATTTTGATCATGTGAGTATCCACTTTTTTTCTTTTCTTTTTTTTTTTTCTTGGGTGCGCGCTCGGGCCCAACTTTACTTTTTCCACCTTCGACTTCGCAGGAAGAAAAAGGGAAATAAAAAAAGACAAAGCAAAAAAGGCGTCTTTGCTTGCCGTTTAGCGCGTGACGGCGGTCTAATTCTCTTTCTGTTTCTCCCGCTTTGCGCCTGGAACCTGTTGTTTTGCTTAGTGTTCCCTTTCTCTCGTTTCACCTTGATTGTCTGCTAGCTGAATTAGGACCAATAGGACCGCTCGAGGCCTTCCTGCGTGGGATTCATCAGCTGTGCAAATTAGCGCCCTTGGTCCTTAGTTACATGCTCCAGGGTAGCTGTTCTCCCTCGCATCTCCTTATGTTCGACGGTTAACCAGACATTAAGACCTGTGCCTTAGATTGCACTTTCGACATCCTACCATTTAGTCTTATTACCTTTTACCTCTGACCGACAGTTCGCACTGCCGCCAACCAAACTATCGAGACGCCAGAGTGAGCCAATCACTTCTTCGCTGCACCCCCTCCTTTATCCATCCTCCTTTCTGCCGTGGCTAGACAGGCAGTCGAAAATTGTCATTCACAACCCTATATAGTTGGCAGAGGGTGCTGATAAGGTACCAAGGATGTTGGGCTGACGGAATGTCAACATAATATCGTTGGCAGGTCCTCGATTCTAGAACCTGGGCGCTTCTTCGGGTTTAAGGGCGCAAAAAGGATAGTGACGAGGGTGGAAGGAGGTGCTAAGAAAAGCACAATCTAACCGCCTGGCAGTTGAAAGCTGATAGAAAGATTCATAATGGACGGACAACGTCAACAGTATATTCCTGGAGCTCCCATGGGAACCCTTCCTCAGGGTCATATTCCCTTTCCTCCTCCTCCGCCTCGAACTCAACCCTCCCATGGCATCACTCTACCGCCGCCGCCAGGACCTCCACCAACCTCATCATATGCGCTCCAGGGGATGCAGCAGAACTGGCCGAGACAAGGGATGAACCAACAATATCCGCCCCCGCCCCCGATAATGCCAGTAAACCACGCCCAAAACCAGCATTTAGCAGCGTATCAACAACAACGAAAGCAAGGATCCCTTTCTATACAGCCCACCATGAGCGCTGATGACCCGCCTCTTACGTCTGCCACTTACATCCCAGGAAGAGGGACATTTGGTCCGGGTGTAGGAATTCCGCCTCTTGTTACGCACGAGTCTCATTTTCAGTTCGGCGGCCGGGATCCTTACCCTTATCAACAGCATCAAGATTTCGGAACCTTCAGACAACAATATTACAAACAACAACAGCCAAATGAAGGGATAGCTCAGCATCACCTGGCTCAAAGACCATATCAACTATCGATACCCCAATCCGCCCAACTAGACTCGATCAATACTGGACAATTGACCATGACAACATATAACTCCAATTCCCAGGCAAAATTACCTCTCTCTGATACGCAACAACATACCAACCAAATGTCGAACAATGCTAATGCACCGCAATCCAATGGAACCACACCTCATGGGGATGCAGAAAAATGGCCGTTGGATCGGGTGTTACTCTGGCTAGCTAACAATGGCTTTTCGCAAGACTGGCAGGAGACATTCAAAGCATTAGATCTAAAAGGGTCTACATTTCTCGAGCTGGGCTCGAGGGGCAACCTTGGCAAAATGCATCAAGTTGTATACCCTCAACTAGCAAAGGAGTGTGTCAAAAGTGGGACCGGATGGGATCATACCCGCGAGCGGGAAGAAGGGAAACGTATGTGTAAGCTCATTCGGCGGATTTCTAGTACCCTTGGGTCTGACACCGGCGGACATGGGCGGTATTACGAAAATGCGGCTTCACACAGTGCATCCACAGATGGCGGGATAGAAAACTCGCCCAATTTAAACCGGGAACCTATGTCAGCTGTATCGAACAATGTTGCCTCCGAAAACAGCCCTGGTCCCCAGTTTGCTGAAGTTGACACATCGAATATTGCACAAAGACAGTATTCAAGTCAACATATGACTGTTCCGAACGCTGACACCGCGACAAATGATGGTAGTGGACATGATGGTACCCTTCGTCGAAAGCAGAGTCCATCAATTTCAAGTGACACCGGTTTCCCACCTCCGACATACTCCGAAAGTAAATCGCACGCTAATAGCCCTGCCGCTCAATTTGCATCTCTTTCTTCTCCCAGTCATCACAATAAACGCAATAGTTCTGACTCAACTATGAGCCGTGGCTTATCTTCTCAGGGTGGGACTGCTCCCAACGGTCCGAATTCCTCTATTCGGACCAGCATCGGTGCTGCACTCGGAGACTGGCGTACTGGACACAACTCCTCTCCGCAAGAACAGCAGAAACAAGTGAATGAGACTCCCCATACTCAGGGCAAAAGTCTGTTCCATATATTTAGGAAAAAGAACAACCATGAGAGTCATCATCAATTCTCCGACGAGATGTTTGATTCCCCAACAAGCCCGGGGGTAGACGTCCGCAATACTCCCCCTTTTGCCACTTCTTGTCAGGTACCATCGACTGTACCAAATTACGACAAACCTCGAGGGCAATCGTGGGGTATACCACCACCTTCACCGGCCAAGAAATTTGTATTTGGAACAGTTGACGGATGGAACTTCCGCTTGATTGACGTTTCCGATGTTGATGCTGCTGATTCACTCCGGGCACTCATCTGCAATAGTGTCGGTATCAAAGATCCCGGAAGCGCTTTGATTTACCTCACTGAGCCCGGTCAGATCATGCACGAAGAACCCCTCAGTGACACTATGCTTGTTGTCAATCGTCGTGCCAGATCCGACCACCTAGGTAGTTTGAAGTTCTTCATCCAGAGCATTGCCATGCCACCATCAGCGGGTTTAGGGGTCACTTTTGAACGATCAGTGAACGGTTACAGAGTCCCATTGGATATGGCTGAAGATGACAGTGCAACTCGAGTTTCTACAGCACGACGGGTCACTCCAGCGGAGAGATCCCAGAATGGCTTATCCACCACAAGTGTCTTTCCAACTCCTAACGGAGGCCAGGCCTCTCACCCGAACTTTTTGTCTGACCAAGAAAAGGAGGTCCTCATACAACGTGCGCACGAACAGCATCTCCGCGATGCCGAACGTAAACAGAAGGCTTATCTTGAATCCCGGAAGGATAAGATACAACGAACAGAAATTACTACTGGAAATACTGCTGTTAGTATCAAGGGCGACCGTGTTATCGATTTCAACGCTCCCCGAACTTCTCCATATGAGGATAAAAGACAAGAGACTCTGATTCCGTTGCGCAAGCCACCACTAGCCCCATCTGAGTCGAATACCCTCACTAAAGTCAACTCCCTTAGCAAGAAACCTGAGGATCTCCGGATGAGGAATTCAAAGGAGTTCCAGCCAGATTTCCACAGGCAAGCTTCCTCAGATGCAAAATCCAGTTCTCCAGGGATTGGCTTTGGTCTAGGGGCTGCTTTGGCGAGTGTTGGAAAGATGTCAGGAGTAATTGGCACACCTATGGGATCATCTACCGTTCCCAGCCATACTGCTGACAGTGCAGTGAGGACAGAATCTCGCCTCTCTGAGTCTGGTGCCATATCACCAGGTACAGCTAAATTTTCCGAGAAAGATGGACTCTCAAATGTGCCGGTTCGTAGTGAAAATGTCGAAAGAGATAATGATAACGTTGTTCGAAACCCTGTCAGCGAATGGACTAGCCAACCAGATGAGCGTCCTGCTGCATCATCAGATTCTACGCTGCCATCAAAACCAACACTACAAACCCGAAAGTCTTATGGTCCTGATTTCGATTTCCAGGAATCTACCGTTCCGTTTGCCAAATCTCCCTTACCACAAGAGGATTCGGATGAAGACTCTGATTCTGGCCTTTTCGCCAAACCTATAGCACGACCGGCCCCTCCCCAGGCTAAGAGGAAACCGGTTGCAAGCAGCTCTAAAATCGAGGAACTGAAACCGACTTTGAAGGTTAATACAGAGCCTAGGTCTTTCAAGGGTCGTTCTGTGGCATTCAAATCACCAACCACGGCAGGAGCCTCTGGGGGGAATTTCCCAGCAAGTTCCATGTTCGATGGAACTGAAAATCAGAATTCCGCTGATGCTGACACAAGCAACCCATCTACGGATGATCGCGATTACGACAGACGACGTGAATCATTCGTCAGGGACGATATTTGGGCAAGCAGACCACCTGTGGAAGGGATGATTGATCATCTAGACGACTTTTTTCCGGGTGTTGACCTAGATGAACCTTACCTGGATGGGAATGCCCACTCTCCGCCTTTATCACCTTCCGGGCCATCCTCTCGGGATGAAGCAGAACCGGATGCAACAGATATCAGTGCCGCTACAACACAAGTTACTGGTACGACGACGGGATATCCAACCATGACGGATGTTCCAGATGTGCTGGGGTCAGCAGAATCAACACTCAAAGCAAAGAGAATACCAAGTACCGTGGCGCACCGGAACTTGTCACGCTCAGGAGGATTGAACAGAATGAAATCTATTCGTGAAGTAGCAAAGGGAGCCCATCAAGTGAACCGACACCAGAGTATACAAAACAAGGGTGCAGCTGCTTCTGGGATCCTTCGAAGGAAGAGTACCAAAATGTTTGGTGCAAAAATAATGCAAATTAGCCCAAAGCCAGGGACACGATTAAGTGATTTGGACCCAATACCACAACAAGCCTCTGCAATAATACAACAAGGGAAATTTCCGCAGCGTCAACCTACTTTCCGTATCATCAGGGGTCAACTGATTGGAAAAGGAACATATGGAAGAGTTTATCTGGGTATCAACGCCAATACTGGTGAAATTTTAGCCGTGAAACAGGTAGAGGTGAATCAAAAAGCTGCCAATTATGACAAAGACCGCGTTAAAGAGCTGGTTGCTGCCATGGATCAAGAGATTGACACCATGCAGCATTTGGAACATCCTAATATCGTTCAATACCTCGGATGCGAGCGAGGGGACCTTTCGATATCGATTTACCTTGAATATATTCCCGGAGGTAGTATTGGAAGTTGTCTTCGAAAACATGGGAAGTTTGAAGAGAGTGTTGTGAAATCCTTGAACCGCCAAGTGCTAAGTGGTCTTGCTTATCTGCATGACCAGGGAATTCTTCATCGAGATCTAAAAGCTGATAACATCTTGCTTGATCTCGACGGTGCATGCAAAATATCTGATTTTGGTATCTCGAAGAAGAGTGATAACATATACGGTAATGATGTTACCAATTCCATGCAGGGTTCCGTTTTCTGGATGGCTCCGGAAGTAGTTCAATCCCAAGGCCAAGGGTATAGCGCCAAAGTTGACATCTGGTCACTTGGCTGTGTGGTCCTGGAGATGTTCGCGGGTCGACGTCCATGGAGCAAAGAAGAAGCTATCGGAGCAATTTTCAAGCTGGGGAGCTTAAACCAAGCACCTCCTATTCCCGAGGACGTTGCACTTGCAATTGAGCCCGCTGCTCTTGCATTCATGTATGACTGTTTCACGATGTGAGTTACTCTCTTGTTATCAACCGCAAAAGAACATTGTCCCTCGTCATACTGACACCTTTTAGCGATACTTTTGACCGTCCAACTGCCGAAACTTTGTTGTCACAGCACCCATTCTGCACGGTTGATCCAAACTTTAATTTCCTTGACACCGAGTTACACGCCAAGATCCGACATGTCCTTTAAGGCTTTCAATACTTTATTCATCTTGCCTCGCGATCGGCTATTTTCTCAAAAATTTATAGTCTTACTGGTATAGGCTCCCATTTTCTCAGTCTACAAATTAAGGGTCTGTTCCGCGATCTTATACCCAAATTTCGTTTCATTTAATTGCTTTTAATTCCATCTGTGACTCTTCATTTGGCAGTTCATTTGAATGTTTATTCTGAAGGTGCCTTTAGAATTTCTCTTATGATTGCTATATATATCTGTTATAAAGCCAGCTGGTATGAGCGTGCGACGCATAGGCGTTTCCAAAAATTTTTCTCTGCCTCTTTAAATGAGATCGTCGCGTTAGTACCTACTCTCTCCACACACATGATTTCTGTAAATATTGCGAATTTCAAATGCACCACGTTCGAGGAATGGCATCTGCTCGCCATAATCGCAATAATAAGGTTCAAATGCCCCAAGATAATTCGCACCTGACTTGAGCCTCATTTGTTTAGTCAGCAGTCGAGATAGGGAAATTCTTAAGCAGACGACGCGGTTTCAACGACAGACAAGTTGGTCAAATACTAACCTCGTCGAAATATGGCTTCATTATCTTTCACATTATTGCCCGAGGCACTTATGCAGCTTCGTGATGTTTTGATTTGTCTATCTAAATTCAATGAAACTGTCTCGATTGAAGCAGAGCCTGACTGCGTAAGCCTCTACCGTGTTACTACCCTTCCCCAATAGCAGTAAATCCCTTAAGGAAGTTGAGATCTACGTTTGTTATTCAGGTGAAGAGGTTATTGACTTATATCCGGATCATGCTCTCTAGCTACGTCTGTCGACATTGAACGTTACCAAATCTGGTTACGCATCATATAGATTAGACGCACCGTCCTTCTTTTCACAACACTCATATAGTACGCCATTGAATAAGGACAAAAATGGAAAGGATAAGATTTCATGTCAAATATATATCAAAGTATAGCTTCCCTATTAGTTATAGATATTAAAACACCCAGGCTGACGAGGATTTTTTTTTTAAGGCACTATTATCTGTGTTCAAGGGACGCGCTGGCGATTTCAAGGACAAAGATACTGCAATTGAAAGGTGTGAAGCCCAGTTTTTCGACAGCCCAGAGGAAACAGAATGTCGTTTTGTGGTACAGATGATTTGCAAGCATGGTGAGTGGGCCAATAAACTTTACCTGGAATATTCCGGCATTGACATACTTTTATTAGGTGTTTTGAGGACCTACAAACTCACCTATGAGCCAGCTGATGTTCAGCATGCACTTTTCAGTAGATCAGATTCCCAAAATCAGTGGAGTGTGGATTCCAGATTCTTGCGTGAAATACTTGAACATTTTGGTCGTGGTGCAGAGCATCTAGATGTATATTGTGAAGATGGCCGGGCAGTGTTCACGAGCTATACAGAGAAGGTTATAGCTGGGACAGGTATGCTGGTGTTAACATCCATATCTTCGTATATTTTCCTTCCAGCTAACGGTGTATAGAAATATTGAAACAGCCAGTCCATACGTCCGTGGCAATCGAGACACGAGACTTTGCCCATTTTAGCGTTGAAGAAGGACTGCATGTTGCTATTAACTTAAGAGATTTTAGGGCTGTTATTCTTCATGCAGATACACTCAAGGTTCCCATCACCGCTCGGTATACACGGCCGTGTCGGCCTCTACAATTTTCCTATTATATACCTGGGATGACTTGTGAAATCACGCTGATGACGCGTGGGGAAGGTGATTATGAGACGGAGTCAGTTCCATCGCAGAATAATGGGGTGCGGGAGGTTCCAGCACGACCTGCGCAACAAGTTTTAGTGAATGCTGGGGGAGACGGAGTTGCCATGGGACAGCAGCAGCCGGCGCAGGTACAGGCGCAGGTACAACCGGAACCACAAATATCGATACTGCCACCAGCCTCTCAGGGGCAAGGTACGAAGCAGATCACATCCCTTGCACCTGTCGCGCCGATAGACCATGAGAGCTTGTTTGTTGCAGCAGATGATGATCGCCAGTGGGATGAGCCTCACTACGAGGAAGAGAGGGAGGATATGCTTCGATGGGACTCAAACCTAGACCAGGTAAAGACCTTTTTCATGCCCATAGATTACTCGACACTGATGAAATCGTTGGTATAGGAGGCCTTGCGGCAGAATATCGGAGGCACTATCCAAGACACTGTATCCAAGATGGAAGCGAGTTCCGGGCAAGACAATATTGACGCTAACCGCATGGAAGACAACGCAATGGGAATTCCACCAACTCAGCGGATATCTCAGGTAAGACCAGATAATATTCTTTTGTTTATTTTTTCCCATTACGGTACTTACTGAAATAGATACGTGGTCTATTTGATTGACCTGCTTTTCGGGGATCATACTATCTAATATTAGGTTCAGGTTCAGATAACAAAACCCAGCTTGTAGCGCACCCAGCTCCAACAGCCTCAATGCTGCAGTTATCTATCGGTAGTTGGACTTCATTCCAGTGTCCGGCAACGTTACCTTGCTCATCAGTCTCCGGGCCACAATTGCCGTGCTCACCCCATCCAAATGCAATCAGAGTCCTATGATCGATTGCGCCAACAACGTGCTCGCTTCCAACGGCAAGGTAATCTAGAGAGGGCATCGTGGCAGTCGGCAACTGGCCTCTATCATTGCGACCCCAAGCCAGTACCGTGCCATCACGAAGATGTACATAGACTCCATGCCAACTAGCGTTTAGTGACTTGTATGGAGCTACCATAGAAGGAGCAGCAGATGATAGGGCCCATTTATCTGGTCCAAGTATGTAAAGCGACTCTGATGAAGCGCCAGAGTAAGATAAAAATGCCGAAGAGGTGGTTGTCAGTACGGTAAACTCCCTACCACAGCTGATCTCTCGAACATGGCCAGGCAGATTACCACCCACCACTATCTTTTGTGGCGACCAGACGACCTTCTGACTAACCTTGTCGGCTCCCAGCTGACCCTTTCTCGCTGCTCCCCAGCCGTATATTGTGCCATCGTCTAATAGAGCTACGGTGTGGGCCATACCGCTGGCAATGGAGACGACATATCTACCAGCTGGTGGAAAATTCGGTATCTTCGTTGGCAATGTCCTCTCTGTGACGTCTGGCCCTAGACCAAGTTCACCCTTTGACCCGTGTCCGGCGACAAATATTGAGTCTTTGTTGACATCTACAAAAAAGGAAGCGGACCATGTTGCCGAGATATTGGAGAAGACGGAAGTTTCGCAACGGGCAAGAGCAACATCGGCAAGCGGCTCGGCGATAATGACACGCTGAAACCTGAGGAGACTCTGGGTTGAAGCGTGCGTGGCACACTCGCCATGCAGGTTGGAACCAGCAGCATACACTCTGCCACTGGCCAGTCGAATCAAGGTGTGGTTCCCGCCAGCGATGAGCTGCATGAGACTGGGACTGAGGCTATCTCCATCTCCCGAGGCAGGCAAAGGGCGCTCGTCCCCCACGAAAAGACACCTCGCTGGCGTATTAACATCTTCCATGTGCCCGATCGCCAGCTGGCCTGCACCGTTCGAGCCAAAAGCGTAGAGGTGCATTATTGCGAGCCCACCACGTTCCTCAGCTGGCAGCGTTTCGTTCGAGGTTGAAGAGAGAAAGGGAGCAGAGTGACCACGGGCAGAAGCCCGGGGAGTGCAACAGCCCAGGGACAGGCCCGGGAAACTGCTGCTGCTGCTGTCTTTGCCTAACAACAACCCCTTCAGCCTTTCCCCCTGGGCGGCCCAACCAACCTACAAGTAAGCTAGGAAGCAACAGAAGGAGGGGGGGAAAGTCAATAAATCCCTCACGCAAAGCTCAGCCAGAAAAATATTATTGAAGGAAACGAAGCCTTGAAAGCAAAGATACTTTTCTTCCGATACTTACAATATATCAGCAGGTCGGTTATTATTGGCCTACGAACGGAAGCTTGCGCTTAACCACAGATGACTAAGCGAGATAATGCAAGATGCCAACTCCATTTCGTCGTTATCAGTCAAAATAGAAACACAGGCGTTGGTGCATAGACGATATGAATGTCTATCACATCGGGGAGCAGAGAAGCTTGTTGTCTTGGATCTCTAACTACCATCCCGGAAACTAGAAACGACCCTGCCCCCTTTGGCTGCGGAAGCTGGAACGTTCGCGATGTTACTAGCGGGACGCCACCCGGACAACTCCCGAGCAAGGGGCTTGGGCAGCAAGGGAGAAAAGAGAACCCCCACTGACTTGCCTGGTACAAGGGCAGCCCGCACTGTCAGGATTTCAGGATGACGGGGTGATATCGCGAACTCACCTCCCCCGGAGTAACATCGCCGGCGTCGCAACTGCTAGCCAACCTCCTGTCCACGCCGACGCTAGGCTTCATGAAAAGGATACAGGCCTCGCAACTACCTACCTGGCATTCTTTCTCGCGGGATTGCTGTTCATCCCTCCTTGGCGAAGCTGGGGTGTCCTAGGGGACGGAAGCTAGTGGGAGGAACGAAGCAACTCGATCGGAACAAGCAGGGAGCAGCAGCTGTTCAGAGGTTTGTTTCGAATTTTTAAGGAACACACAGATGGACATGAACGATAATGTGACACTGCTGGCTACCTTATCTTCACCTATCAGATAACAGTGACGGATCTCTGGCAACTATCAGGTGCTACACTGGCAACCTTTTGAGAACATTATTCTTGGGAACAAGAATCTCCATCCCGGAGAAGTCATCTTCTTTTTTCCGGGCTCTGCATTCTGATTCGAGGCGATGACGCAGGCCAAGGGGGTGCAGGCCAAGTGGGGAGCAGAGCATGCAAGCCGAAAGCCAGTCAGATTGCTTCTACAGTTACGACTAGGGAGGGGGGCGTTGCGGGAGATGATTTCATCGGAGGTTGCTCTAGTATTTTTGGGACATAAAGGTCCAGGCAAGTGAGAGGAAGAAGCAAAAAGAATACTTATATAGCTTGCCTCCTCGGGCGCAGGATGGATGTATATGGTTATCTCTGGTGTCTCTGGTACATCGAAACTACTTCCCTGCCAGCCCTGTTTTATGCCATACAAATCTAGCTTTGAATACTATTCAATTGGAAGATAGACATTCGCCTTGAACCAAGTTTCAGATCCTTTACTGCATGCTCGCTCACTTGCCTGCCCCGTGGTTGCACCGGAAGTAAAGGCGTACAAAGTAGAAGTCACAGAGAGCACGGAGAGAGAGACCTGCGTTGCAAACGATACAAATAAAAGGGCCGTCCGCAGAACCTTCAAGCTGGCGTCCTCAACTCCCAACTTCCTTTCCTTTTTCTTTTCTTCTCTCCTCGCCCTCCCCACCACCTCCGTTACGTCGATATTAAAAGCTATCAGCACTGCTCTCTCCTCGGCGATCTCTCTCTTCCACGCGTCTCCTTCGACGAGAGCTTTAGCAAGGCAAAAGACCGCTTCATCAGCTACCCTTTCCGCGTCCGCGTCCAGCAAGATGCAATCCAAGAAGGCGATCCATTTCGGCGGCGGCAACATCGGCCGTGGCTTCGTTGCCGAGTTCCTTCACGAGTCGGACTATGAAGTCGTCTTCATTGACGTGATGGACCAGGTCATCGAGAACCTGCAGAAGTCAGAGTCCTACACTGTCACCGAGATCAGCTCTGCCGGCGAGAATGTCAAGAAGATCACCAACTACCGCGCCATCAACTCAAAATATAACATGGAGGATGTCATCCGTGAAATATCCACTGCAGAAGTTGTCACCTGTGCTGTTGGACCCAATATTCTCAAGTTTATTGCCTCTCCTATTGCAAAGGGTATTGATGCCCGCACTATCGAACGCCCTCTTGCCGTCATTGCTTGCGAAAACGCCATTGGAGCAACGGATTCCCTGGCCTCTTTTATCAAAGAGCATACAGATAAGGACCGTCTTGCCACCCTTTCTGACCGTGCCCGATTTGCCAACTCTGCCATTGACCGAATCGTGCCCACTCAGGACCCCGATGCCGGTCTAAACGTCAAGATTGAGAAGTTTTATGAGTGGGCGGTTGATCAGACTCCATTTGGTGACTGGGGCCACCCAGACATTAAGGCCATTCACTGGGTCGACAACCTTGAGCCATACATTGAACGCAAGCTCTACACTGTTAACACTGGCCACGCCACTGCTGCCTACTATGGGTATAACTCTGGGAAAAAGACTATCTACGACGCTCTTTCTGACCCCCGTATTAAAAAGATGGTTGACGACGCCCTGAGCGAGACTTCTCGGCTCATTATTGACAAGCACGGCATCCCAGAAGAGGAGCAGCGTGCCTATGTCAATGCTATTATTGAACGTATCTCTAACCCATATCTGGAGGATGTCGTGGAGCGTGTTGGTCGTGCGCCTGTCCGCAAGCTGGGCCGCAAGGAACGCTTTATTGGTCCTGCTTCCCAGCTTGCTGAGAGAGGCCAAAAGGTCGATGCTCTGATGGGTGCGGTCGAACAGGCTCTACGTTTCCAGAACGTATCTGGTGACGATGAGAGCACTGAGCTAGCCAAGATCCTTCGTGAAGAGAACTGCGAATCCGCCACCCAGAAACTGACTGGGTTAGAACCTGACCACCCTCTGTACGACCGTGTTGTTGAGAAGGTTAGGAAGGTCCAAAATGAGTCTAGGTACGTCAGGGCATTAGGCAAGATATGACTTGAGAGGGGTATAATTAACGCTGTCCTACAGAGATATGATGCCTTCCGTCTTGTAAATCAGCGCAAGTACCATGGAAAAGGAATGCATATCTGTCCTGTGTAGCTGCACAAGCACCTGCAACAGTCGGAACCCAAATAAACAAACGCCTCTTTGCATCAGCAAACAGTGACAACTGGAAGGACATTCCCTCCTCCAAAGGATCAGCAGAAGCAACAGAATAAAAAGAACGAAAAGAAAAAGAAAAAGAAAAAGAACCAACAGCAAGCACTCTAACCAGTATGATTAACGATGTATCTATTATGCCCCCCCTTTTCCCCTTTCCTTTTCACCTTCTATTTCGGACTCGGGCTGGGCGTCGGCGTACAAGGAACCAGGCCAGCGTTCACAGCATTACAGACATGAACACATTAGCGATTCCAGCTAGCTAGTTACGAGAACAATCTCGACATGCCGCCATGAGCGAGCTGAAGCAATGAAATACAATTTGTAGCTCTTAGTCCTCGTCTTCATCTCATCTTCTCATCTTCTCGTCATGTTTTTTTTTTTTTTCTTTAATTCGGGCGGATGGGGATATCTTCACGCACGTGATCGGACTGTGCAACTACTTTTATCCGACACCTTCATTACATAATCTCGGTGGATAAAAAGATTCGGCGAAAGAGACGGAAAAGAAGCGCTGGAGACCGCAAAGGGGACGAGAAAGGAACAAGGGAAGGCGAGAGAAACGGGGCGAAGGAGCTGAGAGGGCATCGAGAGACGGGCGGATAGAGACAAGGAGCGACCACGTCCATCCATGCTTGGAGAACCAGTGAGGATGCGGGCAGGGATGTTACTTGCATAAGCTACTCCTTTTTATAGGCTGCGGTTCCTAGCAAAAGCCCCAGTGGTCTCTGATAATACCTATTACTTATATACTCCGTAGAGCCCTGGTATATCCGGCCAGACGAAGAATATGGCTTAGAAATAGCCGGGCCAGCATCAACTTCACACCTCCCTTTAGCCCGTGCAAAAGAGAGAGTAGCAGGCCTGGCGCCGCTTCCGTTTGGGAGCGCGGAGAGCGACGCATACAGCAGCCAATTCCCCGCCCTGCAGGATGGCTCGCGTTGTTTCCCTGCAAATGGACTCTTCTCCGCTTGCAGCAAGTCGTGAATGCAACCCGAGGCTTCTTGATCGTTCCAGCCACAGGCTAAGGTTCGCAGGAGGACCCGGATGGCGGTGCAAAGAAAAAGAAAGAAAGAGTGACAACGAGGCGTCGTGGGTCCAGAGCAAACAGGCAGGCATGCAAAGCTGAGCACTACCCACTGAGTACAGAGAAGGCTAATATATCCCTCTTGCAGTGGGAGAAACGATGGTCTTTGTTGCGCTGTGGTTACATTACTGCGGCGTGGGAGAAGCGAGGATAGCGAGCTCCCCTTGGCTTTCTGTAGCCTCATGCAGGGCGGATAGCGGCATCAGGTGCCCCCAGCGGACGGGTTCAACCGTTACTCCCGTATCTCTCACCGTGCCCATCTCTTTTGCATGTTCCTTTTTTGTGCGCCGAACTGCCCATTTTAGGACGATTCACAGCTGAATACCGCCCATCGCTCATATTCAGACGTGTTATTGAGATCGTTTATCGCCAGTTGTCTAGGCGCTTATCGCCCTTATCGATGACCTCATAACGTGGGCCGCTGGGAAGGAAAAGCGAAAAACAGGCTGTCGCTCTAACCGCACGCGACCGCAACAAGGCCAGCGGCCGACGGTGATCCTCGTCTGTATAGCATCGTCTTCCTGTACTCTCCATATATGTATCTCTGTATATGTGTGCATTTCCGCTTCGTTCATTCGTGCTGATATTATCTATCTTCCCAGCGTTGCGGCTTAGGCTTTTTGAGGCATCACATTCGTTTTTCGGCCTCCACACAGATTGTTGATAGATATTCCATACTAGCATATATATCCCGTCCAGGAAGCCCTAGGTGTCTGCCCACATCTAATATTCCAAACTTGAGAAGGCGGAGGAGGGAGCATGGCTACTCTGCCACTACCGCCTCATCGCTCCCTTCTCCATGGGGTCGAGCAGCTGCCGCCATATACCCCGCGCAGAACACCTATGAACGACCTTGAAACAGCATCTATACATTCCGATGCGCCGTCGTATGTTTCTGCTGCACCGTCCTACCACTCATATCTACCAGCATCCCACCGACGGGCGAGCGATGTTCTCACTGGCACCCCTTCACCAGCTGAAAGTCAGCCGCAGCATCAACCTCGTCAAGACTCGCAGCAGAGACAGGAGCGACAGACGGCTCGAACTCAGCCTGCACACAATAATAACTCAAACCGACATGGCCTCCCTCCGACACCGATGTACGCCCGTGGTTTCGAGAATCGCATCGGCCCAATATCCCCCTTCAGCAATTCATCCAATTTCACCGCCCGCTCTATACGCAACACTGCTTCTAGCCTTCGGTCAATATACAACTCGTCAGAGTGGGTGCCGGTAACAAGCGGTCTGCAGTCGCGCCATTATAGAAATGTTGCAAACAGGCGTGTGACAAGTTCGTCCAGCGAAATCAATGCCATATCGAGATTTATATTCCCAGGTCTTTTCCAGACAACAACCGATCTCTCAACGTCCAGTATCTCAGAGACGGAGAACCGGCCTTCTTCGTCAAGAAATACAACGGTGCTATCTTCCCTTGGACAGGCACATAACTCCTCCACCGTCACGCTCGTTCGTTCTCCGACAGAAGAACCACCCACCGTATCGACTGCAAATGAGATAGCCTCGCCCATGCATTCTGGCATACATCTTCCATTATCTCCCCATGAGGATCCTGATCTGGTTGGCGAAGAAGCTGCAGCTCGCTTCCGATCTCAGCGGCTTTACATGGCATCGCAGCAAGAAGAACTGAATCGAGTCCGCTATCCAACGCCACCTCGAACCCCTGCACAACAGCAAGAACCGCCTAGCCAACCAGGGTTGGTATATCAGTATAGTTCGCTAGTATCGCCTGCGTCTACTTCAATTGAATTCACCCCTTCACCAGAACAGCAGCGGAGAGCTCGTATGACGGGCTCTCCTGTTTCGTCAGATAATTTGTTACTTCGGCCAAGGCCTAGTAGGGACCGCATTGAAGCGACTAGGTCTCAGAGCCCAGAAGCACAGCAACTGAATATCCATCCCCTCACACCAACACCAACACAGGCACCTGCTACTGCACGCAATACAACAGCTACACTCAGTGCAGAAGCAGGGCCCAGCACAAGCACAACTGCAAGGTATAACCGCAGATCTGTTGTCGACCATGATAATGTCTTGCGTGCTCAGGAGGCACAGAACTGGGACTTCATGTTAGCCCAGATGGCAGATGGAGAAGGCCGCGAGCGTAGCTGGAAGAAGAGGTATAAGGGGCAAGTTGAGAAGCAAATTCACATTGCGAGACATTTGAAGTTAGGACCTCTTCTCATGGTTGGATGGAGGAGGCGGCTAGAGGAAAGGAAGAAGGCAAAGGCAAGGGCATTTAGTTAATGGATATCTATTAATAGATATCTCTCCACAATTTTCATTTTTGGTTTGGATGACTGTTGTCTTCGATTTTTCGGTTGAATATGGTTCTAGTTTCACTCAATTGGTTAATTGCGGGCTTGGTTGAATGGTCATCGCTTATATATGTGTAGGTGGGATATCAGATAGCATTAAGCATAAGTTGAGTTCACATCCTGCTCACTATCTAAGAGCATGGTCATTTCTTGTAGCTGTCCGGAGTATGGTTTCTGATATGGAGAGAGGCTCCAAGAGATCCAGGGATATGCTGCTTCTATATTGATTAGAGCGACTTATTATCTCCATTCGGATAGTTTCTGTCAGTTACCCATCGGCTCCTCGAGAGCCATAATATTCCAGTATACCTGCCTAAATAATTTCTAAACGTCCGCCCTATAGCCACGACTGTTTCGTGCTGAATTCAAGTTCACAGGTCCTTTGAGTAGATGCAGGTGGATATATGATGGGCAAAAAGGGCATTGGCAATTAAGCAAACTCGTGAGCTGTATAGCCCTAGGTGTCTGCTAGGCTTCTGGGGCGCCTGAGCAGATGATGGCTGGCCATGAAATCTTCCGTTTTGTCGAGGTTGAAGCTGGACGTTCGAAGTAGGTCAAAAGGAGCTTTCTTCCACGTGACCCGAGCCTCCAAAAGCTTTAAATTAACTCAGCGAAACATCCGCGACGGACAGATAACGAGCTGTGAATCCAACAACACCTTTGATGTTCCCAGGAATACATATATTAGCCCTCTGCACTCGGAGCAGTCATCGGCTAATTCCACCATGCGCATTGTCTAGAAGATGCACGGGTCTACAAACGGCGAGGGGACGGAGCAGCCAGCTCTGCTCGCAGTAGAGGATGCTTTAAGTGGGATGAAGAATGACCTTGAGTTCACGCAATGGTATGGCAGCGTGAAGGACGAATTGCTAGAAGCGAGCTACGAAAAATACCAGTGCGTTTTGATAATCTGCTTTTTTATAACCTCGTGTTATTTATATACGTTGACTAACAGGTTGGACTATCTAGATCTTGTCTCGATGACTTAGAATTAACGACCTGCCACCTTGACTCTCTACTCCAAGACACATCACACACTTTAGACGTCCTCTCCACTCTATCACAATCATTTGAAGCAGTGGAGGATCGCACGTCCGCTTTTCGGAAACAATGCGAAGGCCTCCTCTCCGCTCGGAACAAAAGCGCAAAATTAGCAGATGAGATTCAGGAGAACCTGACATCCTATGACTACCTGGATCCAATATCAAGAAGACTCAATGCACCAGGAGCTGGCAACTCAGTTCGTTCAAAAGATTTTTCAGATATGCTGAGGCGTCTAGATGAGTGTCTAGACTACATGCATGCGCATGTAAGTTAGGGATACTTTCCACCATCTCACCACCGTGTTTTGACGACTAATATATGCATTCACTCGTAGCCAGAACAAAAAGAGGCAGAAATATATAGAGCTCGGTATCGCTTACTCCTCACTCGTGCACTTACGTTAATCCGCGGCCAGTTTGTCTCCACTGTGCGGGACATCTCATCAGGAGTTACAAAGCGGATTGCCGATCGCCAGCTTAATGATACAACCATGTCAGCTCTATTATATGCTAAATTCCGTGTTGGTGCCTCTGAAATGAAAGACATGGGGCTCGAAATTCAGAAGAGAGCAGTTCCTCCCCTAGACCCTGAACAAGGCGCCGAAGCAGAATACCAAAGTCTCCTCAACGAGCTCCATGTAAACTTTGCAACTTCCCGCGCAAGGCTGGTGGTACCTCTTGTGAGAAAGAGACTGAATGATATCGCAAATGCACCAAGCACGTCAAAAGATTTAGTTGCGTTTGCAAGGACGAGCATTAGCTACGTACGCGGTATATGTCTCGATGAATTCGATTTGTGGGGAGAATGGTTTCATGGCCAGTATGGTCTTTATGATTTTCTTGAAGCCATTTGTGAGCCGCTTTATGACCATCTGCGACCTCGAATCATTCATGACAATAAACTTGTTAGACTCTGTCAGCTCTGCATACTACTCCAAACTCGGTATTTAAACGAACCAGACGAAGATGGAGAGTGCGTGGTGGATCCAAATCAGCTAGATTTTGCGATCTTGATCCAACCTGCACTTCAGGATGCGCAAACTCGGCTTGTATTTCTTGCACAGGCAATCTTGCGAGATGAAATCGAGAGATTTAAACCACGGCCAGAGGATCTTGATTACCCTGCTAAGAATAAGCAAATATCGTTAAGTGCGGAAAATAATACCACGCCAGTAGTTTCAGGAAGAAAGTCTTCATTAATTGATTCGAAGATGCCAATGGTTATGGATGAAGATACGGACTCCCCAGCAGAGAAAGAATCCCAATGGGACTTTACTTCTCAGGCAATGTTTGAAGGATGGTATCCGACTCTGAAGAAGGCAATCTGGTTGTTAAGTCGTATATATCGACTGGTTAACGCAAGTATTCCCTGTATTTATAAGTATACACTGCCCCTCGTTTTACTAACAGGATTGTCAATATAGTCGAAAGTGTTTGATGACTTAGCCCATCAAATTGTCCATCAGACAACTCTCTCAATTCAACAGGCTGGCACGGAGATATCGTCGAAAAAGTCAAAACCGGACGGCCTCCTATTCTTGATCAGGCACTTGCTGGTACTAAAACAGCAAATTGTTGCATTTGATATAGAGTTTGTGTCCCCTGACGTATCCTTTGACTTCTCTGGGGTAACCAGTACTTTCTGGGAACTACAAGAACGCGGAGGACTCTTCAATACCCGGACGTGGATTCAACTTGTTGGAGGCGGCCTTCTACCTCAGGTAGTTGAGAACATGTTGGACGCCAAGGTTGAGCTCGATGGTACACTTCGAACAGTAATCAATGACTTCACCAATACTTTCGCAACCAAAATGGCATCCAGCTTGCCTCCAGTATCAGGCAAAACAATAACCCCGACATTATCTCAACAAATTCAAAAAGGTGCATTAAATATGCGCCGTTCCATTGAGGAGGAAGTACCTATTCTACGGCGGTTACTAGACGATTATATTGATGACAAAAGAACAAAAGAAACGCTCGTTAGTGCTGTTCAAGATACAGTCACTCAGCTCTATGAAGATTATTTGGAGGCATATGCTGCAGCAGAGGCTGGCAAAGACAAGCCTGGTAGAAAAACCTCTAGAAAACCAGTTGCGACCGGAGAACTCTGGGATATTGAAAGATTCGGAGATTGGACTGACTCTATCTTCAGGCCGAAGATTGAAGTCTATGAAAGTGACAATGATGAAAGTCAAAATGATGACCCCGATGAGAATGGAGAGTATGGTATAGACAGCGACGAGGAAGATAAAAGTAGCTAGGCTATCTTGCAAGATTGCTCAAGAGGAAATAAACGCTTCTGACTATGGCTGCCCTTATTTCCAGCGTAAGTTTGTTATTGATGCACTCTGTCTGAGTTCCCTTTTAAACTATATAATTGCACATGGGAGCAAGATGCAACAGACCTTATGAATGTGAAGATATCAAAGTAATCTATTATTTCTAACGTAAAATGCCTATACAGTTTCGTATAGTAATATATCCATACTTCGGCGCCAGAACCTCTTTACCCCCATCGAAGTGCGCCGTACGCCAAGTATAATTAAATAATGCAAAATTTCCAAGACGTCCAAATTAATGATATATCAGTGATTTCGCCTTGAGTAGCATCATAGGCCGTCGGGTAAGTGTTATATTCATGACCATCAACAGCAGTATCCCATTGACATAACACTATCACCATGCAATCATTCCCACTACCATCCGTCATACTAGGCATATGACCTGCCTAATGCTGATAGGAACCTCAACCCCTGCAGATTAAGTAAGCAGTTGTTCTGCAGTTTCACATGACTAGAAAGAATTGGCCTGCTTACAAACAGTACGAACACCGAAGCGTCTTCTTGAGTGAACGTTGGACCACTGACGGGAATAGGCAGGTTCATATTCATAGTGCGGGCGGTTGCCTAGTCGTGCAAAGCGAGGTCGTTGATGAGAGCCCAGGCGGCAGCTTCCGAAGTGTACCTCTGGCCAAGGCCGGGGGTGTATTATTCCACAAGGTCTCTCTTCACGTCTCTCAACGGTGAAGCTTTGCGTCTCCATCTTCGTTGTGATCCAAATTTGGCACATCGAAGTGAGCAGCGTGCTGCGAGAGCTATTTGACAAGACAGGTGACGAAAAGCGGGACACCGGTGAAACCACTGTACGTACTACCCAATAGTCCCTCCTCAAGTTCCATATAACCTTGGTTAATATATTCGTAAAGGGTAGAATAAACTTAGGGTATTTAGCTGGTTGGGGTGCCACCAGTATTTTTCAACAGTCTCTCGGCTGATAAAGATTAGATAACTGCATTGATAATATCGAAGATTACGAAAAAGACCAGATCACAGAGGGGAATGCAACGATAGTTATAGGCACCCGCAGCAATCGTATATTTGTTGCATGAAATCACACAGCAAGGTTATGTTGTTAGGCAGACGCCGCAGTCACCAAGGCACCATTCCCTGCCATTCCAGGTGAATAGTTTTTTGGAATTCCTTCCTGGTTTACTGGAGCTCAGCATCCCGCCATGGTGGTAGTCTGCAAGCCTCCCGTGAGACGACAAGGGACGAGGAATTTGTTAATGCGCAATATGCCATGAGAGACAAGGCCTGAACGTGGAACACAGCCACATATTTTCCTACCAAAGCATCAATGACGTCGGTCTGGGTATATTTTTCCAATAACGCATCCTCTGGCTATGGAGGACCAGGGAAATGTAGGATAGGCCCATCGTCTACCTATGTACGGAGTAGGTTAGCTAGACATAAGCGCCAACAACTAGCCACACCTACGGCTCACGAAGGAGCCGAGCAGTTAACTCAGCCACCGGCCCCCACCAATTGCATGAAAAAAGTTCCCTCCCCTGTCGAAAATGGTTGGTCCAGAATAAGCAAAGGTCAAGGGGACGGGTTTCAGTTGCATATCCATGTGTAGGCAAGGCGTCTTTGGTCGACTCACATTTGAATATGTGGCTGGTTAAAGAGCAGCGCGCATGGATCGTGGACGCGCTGCTGGACGGAGTTTTATGCAAGTCCAAACAAGCTTATTACGTAACTAACATAATTACTTAAAGCGGTTAGCTTCTGTGGAGTAAGTGAATGACGAAATAGGACAGTTTCTCACTTTTAGATATTTATTTCACTTCACTGCTGCTTCTTCTTCATCTTCATCATCTTCATCATCTTCTTCTATTTTCCATAAAACCTTACCGAGATTTTTTTTTCTGAACTGCTCCATATTATCCCTACGCTTCTACCATGATCCATCTACTTACGTTGACAGTTTCAACCGCGAAAGATGATGCAGCTTGGTCATACCAAAGAAATGGCCTCGGAGATGATAGTTGTCTCCCCTGCTGCCAAAGAGCCTTTGCAGAGTGCCAGAAGCAGGAGTATTACGCCACAGTCAGAACGGATAACTTCTAAACAGATTGCATTCGTTTCCGGACTGGGCTCATTTCCAACAGTATCTCCCAGTCGTGTCAGTTCTCACTTATTCACACCATCAAGGCAGCTGTTCCCCAGTGGAGAAGCATTTATAGGTTTGTTATTCCGCAATACCATCTCTCTGCTACACCACGTTAACATTGTTATAGATGAGAGATTGACACTATGCCCTGGGCATGCGCACCCTGAAATTCCACCATGGAGACATCGAATCTCAAATAAGCCCTTCCCACGTCACATCATATTCGATTTTGATCTCAGAACGGATGCGGTCTTTGAAGAGAAGTCTTTCATTTTTTATGATATCATTCCGTCTACCATGAGCGTTATGTTCGACGGATGGTTTTTAATCTTTCATCTTGCATCTCTTCCACCAAAACCCTGGCCAAAGAGAATAGCAGGACTTTCCTGCTATTTTACAACCACAGAGGGAGATCTTGGTCCAAGTCCTCCGATAAATCGCCCAAACTTCACGCACATTCGCTTGTTGCCAAATTTGAACCTCTCGGATGATGAATCCAAGGCTGAGGAACTATTTCAGCTCACAAAAACACACTTCATTAACATTGGGGTAGCCATAACTGAGATTCAGTACTGGGGAAGGTTCATTGTCATTGTGATTGAATCTCGCCACACGGATATGTCTCATCTACCCCAATCTATCGCCAGATGCAACTGCTTCTATTTGTATGATGATGAAATGGGCCGTCCTCTGAACCGCTCTGCCTTGCGCCAACTTGATCCAGCACCGGGATATCCAGACAATAGCAAATATGACACCTTGCGTCCTGGAGTTATGCTCAGCTCGGGAAAACATCCCACAGAGGGATGGGAGCTATTTACTTCTTCAGGAGTACAAGTCCAGGACCGAAATGGATATCGGTACATGACTTGTGCAGCACACAGGTTCCCATATGATGGAAGAGTTTTTCATCCAAACTCTAGCGGTCAAAAGATTGGAACTCTAATTACAGAGATCACGCATACAGATATTGCTTTAGTTCAACTCGATAAACAGATTGCCTTTACAAATGAAGTATTCCAGAACACAGTTACTCCAGGGCCCCCAATCCAACTACAGCGTTTCAATACCGAGGAAGTAATTCGAGACAAACCAGGAGATGAAATTTACATCAACAGCCCATTTACTGGGTACATTGAGGGGACGAGGGGGATACTATCCACGTGCCGTGTTCCATCTGATGATCTACGTGAGCCTGAACAATGGTGGATTCAAACTCGGTGGGATTACATGGGCCAAGGTTCTAGCAACAGTCTAGCAGATGGAATATGTGGTTCTGCAATTTGGAATAACGAAGGGAATGTCTTGGGATTTTTCAGATATGCACCAAAATCTGGGCATTTTCTTGACTGGTGCATGTCGATATCCAGCCACGAGTTGGTGAAAAGAGGTTTCTCCATTGTTAATGATGCACACAGGTAAGAATGGCTATATCTTTTTCCACGATCCCCTTAATAAAAAAGGAGAGTCAGGAAGCTGACAAACTGCACTAAATCAAGTTCTGTTTAAAGCATTCTAGATGCAGACCCACAATAGTTCAGGCAGAGTGAGATTGGGAGGAGTGACCGTTGCACTGTTCCCGTAGCTTAGCTAGTGGGGAATTTGGAATTTTGTTAGGCTGCCTTGCTAAGTAGTTAATTATGGGGTTAATTAACTTCTGGGGTTCATCGCTCCGTCTTCCAATCTACCTGTCATCCGTCAATTCTCTTCCAGCTGCTCACACCCCAGTGTATGTCCGTGTCCAGAAGTGAGTTGATACAGATAAGTTTTTTCTACCGCTTCGAATGAAGCTGCAAGTGCCTCGTGGAATGGATCAGTTACTCCTTTTCCTAAGGCGCCTTTCCCTTCAGGCTAGCTACAACTCTCTCCAAATTCAAGTAAATCAACTATCCATTCCTTTAACCAACTTCTTGACCCAGCACGCCGCATTGTTTCTTGTCCATGAATGATTAGGAACTTCTTACGAGATGTACCGAACTGTGAATTAGACTAGCCGGCTAAGTGAGGATGCAAAGACAAATACTTCCCGCTTCGGACCCTGAAGCAGTTCGGTCGTCTCTGGACGTCTGGCCTCGGATTAGAAACATCGGCCTCTTAGATGACCGAAATGCCAAATAAGCATCCCAGCTATACCTGCAGATCAATGACGTCGAGGCTGACATACCTGCCGATGCAACGGCCCGACGGCGTTGAAAGAGATCAAGATAAGACTAGGGGTGTCTTTGAGCGCAAAAGACCCGATAGTAGAGCGACGGCTGATGAACAGCCAGATCTACAAACATCAAGCGGTTGACCGTTCACCCTGGCCGCTTCCCGCTTCTCACACCCTGGACCCGTTCATCATCGTCACCTGTGCTGCAAACCACATGCAGAAGTTTTCTCGATCTTCTGAACACGCAGTTTGCGGGGAAGAGTGAGCAAGGGTTCTCCGGAGCTGTATCCGTATCGGGCAAAGCCTCTGAGGCTGCAGAAAGACCGTGGACTTGCGTATTCTCTATTGTTCGAATGGTCGGTGAAAGAAAGGCACGTAAGGACTGCTCATATGTCCATGCTTATAGGCAAGAAGGCCTGTAGCGAGCGTAAGCCATCGCTCGGCTAAATAAGGGCAAGGCGAAAGAAAGGGCTACCTCGCAGACATCGGCCTTGGGAGTTTCTTTTGCATAAGAAACTTGCTACCTGCCGAGGAAAATGGGGATAGCATACGTACTTTCATGCAGTTATATATCTTTCCATCCGCCGATCCCCGTATCTTCTGGCGGAGAAGCTGAAAGGATGTTCGACTTCGCAGGGCGCGGAGGTAGTCGATATTTAGAGTATCAAGAGATACCCTGCAAGATTACGGTATCCCTAAAGGTTTGGGAGATAAGAAGTTGACGTTTTAATGGGCTAAAGAAGATAATCGTAATGGAAGATAAAAAAAGCAAAAGACCTTCAAGAAATACTACGTCACTAGTCAACTATATATGGGGTATCAAAATAGTATCATCTAAAGCACACATGTGATTACAAGCCCATCATCATCGCATAAAGGAACTATATGTAAAAAAAAAAAAAAAAGTAAAAAATGAAAAAAGATATCGGTGTATTATCTAAAAGAACAACAGGTCGTGAATAGACTGTGGTATCAGAATCCCAAGGTGCCAATAGGAAAAGCCGGTTCCCTACATAACTCATGTCCAACCGTGAAACACCAGCATATAAAAGTGTCACCTCGCAAGATATGCTCCGTCGTAGTGAAAAATATAAACAAAGAGAGTCGTAGATTGGCCGTGGATTCGTGCTATAGGCTGTTTTAAACTGGTGGGGGAGTCCGAAGACCAGGTCGGCCGCGAGAAAAGTTCATGAAAGCCCTTTTCTTGAATGTAAGACCAGATATTGATGAGCCGTAACTTGTGGAAGGGCGCGAGGAAGTCAACAGCGAGAATCGTCCTGAAATCCCGTCAATAGGAGACGTGTTGCCACTGCTACCACCATTGTTACTGCCGAAACTACTGTTGCTCCTCCGGCGGTTGAAGAAGTCGTCAGGGTCACTCCTGGGAGCAGCAATATGGTCCTGGTTTGGGCCAGTATTGGCACGGGGGCGATTAGGATGGCGAGGAGGTATCGTTGGTTTGATCCCCAGACCGGAATCTTCGAACGGCTTGTCCGGATAAGAGTGTTGTAGTGGAGACGAAGTGTGGGAAGTCATAGGCTTAGAGTTGAATAACGATGATACCCGGCTGGGTACATACCAAGGATGAGACGTTGGGACTGGGAGCGGTGGAAGGCTCTTTTGAGTTTGGAGGTGCATATCTTCCATCATCTCGTCGATTATTTCGGCAGAGTCATTTCCAGGGTGTATATTCTTGTCGTCAAATTCACCCCCGCTGTTGACTATATGCACGTTCCAGGGCTTTTGTAAAGCAGGCGGTGCAGGCGTTGCAGGAGTAGCTATCGTTAACGGCGTGCCATACACAGAAGATGAACTGGTAATTGAGTCGTCTGTGTAAAGTGAAATAGAGCCGTTGCTGAGATCGGTATAGGACCCAGTCTCGGCGCCACCCAGTTGTGCAGATGAGTCGGTGTATGTAATATTGGGAAGCTTATTGCTATCCTGAGTTGCCTTGTCGTTGACAGCATAGCAGCTGTAATCTTCAGGGAATGCCGGCATAGGAGGTATCGGTAAATCGCTCTCCTCACTCATATCAAAGGAACGAAGACTTCCAATTACACCGTCGGATTGTTTAACCTGACAATGTGGTTGAGTAGAGCCGAAATCGATTTGCAATATGGCCATTGCAAACTTATCGGCAACATAAGCGGCGAGCGGTCGATATTTTGGGTCTCTGGCAAACATCTCCTTGACAGCCTCTAATATCGGATCGACTGCATGGAAATAGGACTCAGACTGCTTAGCGGCGTCCTTCTCAAGAATGGCAATCCAGGAAAATATCTGTCGTGTATTCTGGTCCAGGTGGAAAGAGGTATCATTCGTAGATCGAACCGATGACTTTGTTCGGCTCGTACATCCACGATGTTGGGCGAAGGCTGATTGCTTTCGCTTGCATAAATGGGTTATTATATCGAGAATCACAGCAGCCAGAGAAAAGACATCAGAGGCCAGAGGCAGTTGTTCAGCAGAGTAACAATGGGAATTGTTAGGGATAGTTTGTGGTGGTGATGGGAAGGTTGCGCTTTGATTAGATCCATGTGTGCTGGTAGTTGACGTGGAGTGGGCATAAGATGCCCTTTTCCTGGATGGACCAACGCTCGAGAAATCAGAGGATGATCCCCAGGATGTAAGTCGACCTCGTGTATCGTAAGGACCCTTTTGTGACGTCAGAGGAGAAAATGCAAGATTGTCGGTACGGGTTAAGGCATTTCTGGTACCACCGGGGGGTTGCTGCCAGGCACAATGTTGGTTTGACCACTGTTCGGGTGCAGCGTATTCGTACGCTTCGGCAAATTCCTCTTTTCTTAGGCCGACAAGAAGGTCGTGAACATCAAAGAGGCCCAAGTATATGTGCATTTTGGCATCAATCAGGATATTTGATGGCCGGATAGCTCCATGCGCGTAACCCTGGTCGTGCAACCAAGCGAGTCCACTGGCTAAACAATTTGGCCAGTTAACAAGCCATCTTTTCTGCTCTAGTTTTGAGAACTTTCGGAGAGCGGAAGTATGTCTGTCATTGATAAACGACCGTAGGTTGCATTCGGGAAGGTGGAATAGCACATTGACTGTGCTTTCAGCTGTATATGTGCCAAAAATTGACAAAATATGCTCGTGGGAAAAGCGCTCCAACGACCTGACCTCCCTTAGGACATCCGACTCGCTTAGAAAGTGAGATGCTGTATCCTCGCCAATGGCGATCTTTACGCGAAGATATTCTTTCGTCTCGATTCCAGGGAGCGAAACCTTTTCGACAGGTAATCTATCGGACAGTACAACTGCGGGCCGTTCCTTGCAAACATCAACAGGTATGGTTTCATCTTCATCGTACGTGATATGCTGTCCAGCTTCGATACCTCTGGCTAAAAACCGATTCTGGACCTCGACGAACCTCCAGTTCAAGAAAAGGTCCTCGCGGTCCGGAGAGAGCCGAAGGAGCTCTGCCTTGTTCGAGTCGAAGGGCAAATCTGAATCATCATACGTCTCATCCACAAGGCGAAAAATACGACTCGGAACCTCGATTTCCACCAGAATTAAAAAGAGCCTGCGACCTCGTTGTAAAATCCACTCGATATAAGTGTCATCCGTCAATCCTTCACCAAATGCGATCTTACTGTTCAGGCGTGGATGGAGGATGGGGTCCACATGCTTCAGTACAAATTCTCGCGTGACGGTGAAATCTATTTTCGCCTCCGTCCATAATGCAGTTGCAGGGCCCATGGTTCCTACCGTTTACTGGGTCGGGAAAACAATCCAGCGTGGGCACTGTCAAGTTCTTCTTTCTAACAGTAGATGTATATCAAGGCTTGCATAATTCTTGTCGTTTCCATCTCTCGGTTCCAGTTGAATGTATGATCGAATGTCAGAATGTCGGGGGAAGAGGAAAAAAGAGCGATCATAAAACAATCAAAGCTGACCAGCCGTTGAAAGAAAAAGTGCCATGGCCAAGGAGAAGAGTGAAAATAGGGGAGCATCACAGTATATCTAGTCAATATACCGAGTGATCTCTCCCCCACAGTCACATTTTGCATGAGCAAACGCTTGGGAAGTGGTCAGCCAATTACTTAGATGCATCGGAAAGGCGACACTAGTCTGGCAGGGATTAGCCCAATTCTGGAGTTTCGACCGGGCTGAGCAGGGGGCCTGGCTGACAAGTGGATATCTTCCCCATGGGATCTGTGTTGACCACATGAAAGGACCTTGTCCATCTGCGCTATGGCTTGCCGGGCTTTTCCTTGTTTGTTCTCCTGGCTCCCTGCCAGTGCTTTTAATAACATGATAACCAACGTCCTAATTGGTGGCACCTTGCATGCATGACGGGGGGAAATTTGTCAAGATTCGTTACCTCCCTCCCGTCAAAGGAAGGGAGAGGAGAGGGGGCTTGTTCGAGAACAGAACACACGGGAACAATTCTAGAAAAAGAACTGCTCGTGTGCGCGCCATGAAACAGCGGGCTAAACGAGTTAGTTAGTTGAGGAGCATGAGAAAAAAGAGTTCGATCAGACACGATGGTGTTCTCGTACTACTCGTTCTTCGGCCCCAGCGAGAGCGCCATGCCCATGATACGGACTGATGGAAAACCATCTGAATCCTGCGTCATCGGAGAAGGCGGCAACTGTCGCATGTAGTGGGGAATCCTGGACGGCTCGAAGCTGTGATCGCGGGTCCCTGAGGGTGCTTGAGAGGCGAAAACAGCTGGTGAGTGGCCCTTCACCCCCAGATAACCGAGTTCCTCGTCCCGCTATGTCAACCAATAACAGATACGAAGTTGCGTGCCCAAATGGATGTCGACATGGCCTTTCGCCTATCGCAAACAGGTAACCCCCTGGCAAATCTTGACCTTTGTTTGGCCTTCTTCTGCTTCTTTTTCTTTTCTCGCCCCCCCCGTTTGCATGGCCGTTTTGTTCTCCACATCGTCCGCCCATCGTTGGAAATTTTGCTAGCGGAGACACTGTCGTACGACTTCACAATCGAAGAAGCAATAACACCAACAAACAGTGGCTGACTATATATTGAATATCAAGCCCGAGTCATGGTCGATCACATCGTGTCGAAACAATCCAGCCAACCAGTCCGAAAGGAATCGATCCTTCGGCGCTCGGGGATAGTCAGTAATAGTCAGAGAGGCCAGAAAATATGGAACGTTGAAGATAATCCGCTATTAGGAAACTATATATACCAAAATAATGACGTCCAGACACCAACATTTAGTTAGGCCCTGTATAATCCAGCAAACGCAATTCCTGCCCAACCCAAGGGATATCAAGGGCAACGCCAAAACAACCATCCAATTCGGAAAATATCTGGTGTATAAAATAGCAAACAAAAGAAATAACGTCAATCAGTGATGCAGCTGGAGGCGTTGTTGCTGCTCCTTTCTCTGCTTCCGTATCTGCTCTCCAACAATAATACTGAATAATCTCCACAAGATATCTTCTTCACTCCATTCCATCTCTCCATCTCCTCCATGTCGGAGATCGTCCTCGATTAAGTTCTGGCGAAATCGTTCAACAATCATCAGTTGGATCTCTGTGACCTGGCGACGGTGCTGGCCGTCCGCGGACCACATCCACTGCCCAACCATCTCATCCCGTTCATCGGTAGGATAGTATTTGAACTTCTCCGGTCGCATCTTCGCTTCTCGATAAATTTCGCGAAGTTCGACATAGTGGTCATCAGTAAAGTATCCGGAAATCGCGAGTGGTTTAACAAAGGAGTGTCTATCAGGAATTTTGCCTTTCGTACGACCCCAATCCTGACTCCTGGCAGAGGGCTGTGTAGCAGGGACAGCGATCTCAGAATTAGAAATCGAGCCAACGTCTTGCTTAACTCTTACGGTCGGCCTCTGTTTCGAAGATTTTGTTGGAGCAGGGGTGCTTGTTAGCCATGCTGGTGCAAGGTTGCTCGTCAATTTGTTGAACCATGTCACCGTGGATGTCTGCTCTGGGGGGTCTGGAATAGACGGATTGGTGATGTCACTTTCAGCAGGGTCGTTTTCCGAACCTTCTTCTTCGTGCACTTCCACATAAACGTCGCTTTCAGAAAGAGCTTCCTCCTGGACGATATTCGCACCTTGTAATACCTCGTCCTGGTTGCGCAGTGGTACTGGAGTGATGCTAGACTGACCTTCGGGTAGGGTATTGAGAGGATTGTCAATAACTCCTCCATCCTCTCCCGGCATAGATTTCTCTTGGTCCCCTTTGGGGTGGCTGTTTTGTGACCCTGCTGGCTCGTCAAAACTACGGTTATTACGCCGAGGCAGGCTTTCCAACATTTCCTGCGAGTGGTGATGTTGTGAATTCCCCACGCTAGACCGCTTGAAATTCCCCTCATAAAATCGAATGGTGGCGCTGTCTGGTGTCCCGAGCAATGGTGACAAGGATGCATCCGTATCCCTGTACTGATCCATCTTCGACTTGCCAACAGCCAATTTGGGGAAAGCGTCTCCGCCAGCAGAGAGGTCTGGAAGAGCGACGCTTTCGTAATCATCAGTTGCGCTATAAGCCTCTTCTTCCGTCCCAGCCCGAGGGCTTGGGAAGCCAAGCTTGCGGTGTTGAGGTAACTCTTTGCGCGCAGTATCAGATAAGGATGGGGAGTCAATTCGAGCTTCAGGTTCACGAGCCGCTTGCTGCCAAATGTCAGTCTCATCCCCGTCGTAAACCTCCTCTACCTCATCCTCCTTCTCATTCTCCGTATCATCTTGACTGTTAACCAGGTCTCGTTCATTTCGCTGCTGAGGATTGTTCTCCTTGTGATTGTCCATCACCCCTGGGCGAGCCGCCGGTTGCCTCAATCCGTCATCGCTATCAATAACAATGACTTGGCTCTCATTGGCCATTTCTATCTGACGGCTGATAGCTTCTCTTTCACGCCGCCATTCAGCTTCACGTCTAGCCATTAGTGAGTCCATTGAAGCATCTTCGGGATTTTCCTCTGCTGGATAAGGCTCCTGGCGTGGATCATCCTTAATCTCTTCTTCCCGATTTTCAGGGGCAGGTACTGTCGCTGGCTGGAATCCCTGAGATGCGCCTCCTAACTCCGAGTAAACCACGTTCTGGCTTGGCCGCATAGATGTTATCTCCTGTAGCCTTGTGCTTTCCCGCGTTACGGATAGCTCTCGCCGCTTTCCGTTTGGCTGACGAAGTCTTTTTACAAGCTCTTCTCCAAACCTGACCCCTGCGCGCAGTTCTCGCCGTGTCTCCATATTGAAATCTTGGAATAGATGGTCCAGTCTCCGCCGTGTAGCCGCCATATCGTCGGCAGAGTCCGTGTTAGGGCTTGAAAACGGGGTTTGGAGGTTACTACTTTGTCGCCTGCGATCCAGGAGGCCATGGAGAGCAATTCCAGCCCGTATTACGCGACATAATTGAGCCAAGGGCCGCCTTTTGGGGGGTATAATTTCAGGTGCAGCAGCAGGGGCAGGGGGAGGTCGAGTTACGGAACGAGGGTTGTTGAGCCGTGGTGTGCGATGAAGTCTTGAGGTCATATCTCTGGGGGATGATTGTTGGAGAGACGAGATAGCTTCGTATAATTGGCTATGTGGACGTTTAGAAGATGACTGGGTAGCGGAAATGTTAGGCGATAATGCAGTCGTTGAGGTGGGTTTCGGGGAAATTTGCTGCAATGCCCGGGGTGTTGCATGGGATTTTGGTGTCCTAGTACGGCTGGCCTGGTTTTCAACTATTTGGCGCAGTCGCTGCCTGGCTGAGGGTAAGGTATTGAGCGAGACCATGCTGAATCCCTCGCTTTCCATGATTGAGTCAAACTCGCGATGCTCGTCTGTTGGATCTGTCTCAGCGACATGGTTGGCGGGCTTTTCCAGCGTTTCGTCTATCAAAGAAGATGAGGTTGGAGTTGGATATATTCGCTTCGGCCGGGGCGTACGACCAGCGTTCGTAACGTTGATAGGAGATAGAGCTGTCCGAATAGAGGAAACCTTGGAATTTTCCAGCGACATTAGATCTTTCCTTCTGTCTAATGGTGTGATCCCAGTTTCGTTTGTTGAAGGCTGCCGTGGCCCAGCGTTCATTTCAACGTGATCACCCATCAAAGCATCACTGCCGCCATCATCACCATCATCTGTATCTCCATCTGCCGCCAGATCCAAAAAAACATCTCCAAAACCCTGAGTCGGTTCGTCCAAATCCTGTGGAAGAGCATTATCCTCCACGCTGGATATAACATCCTCTACCGCCTCTGTGTTCTCTTGAACCCCAGTCATTTGTCCCTTCTCAATTGTCGCCGAGGCTGCTTCTGTAGGCATATCGCCCTTTTTAGGCCCCGGTGTAGGAGGTCTTTCTGTGATGTCAGTCCTGCTCTTTCGTCGCCGGCGCCTCTTCGGTGTTGGTTCCGTCGAAGAAGTCCCCTTCAATGGTACCTTCACTGTCTTACCGTCAACCCATGGCCCGAGTCGCTTTTGCTTCATGGCCTGCCCCCCCTCTTCTTCGTCTTCTTGTTCAGCCTCAACAGTGACTCGTATGCGCCATGGACTAATGTTACCGTCTGACTGCAGGATAGCCTTGGTTGGGGACAGCGATCTCCGGTCGAAACGCGTCGCTCTCGAATTTCCCGATGGCGTGGAAGGCAGTATAATATCTTCTAATCGTATCGTTTGGCCGTTTTTCTTCACACTTTTCTTTGGAGACTGGTAGCTCTTTTGATGTAGCGGTGGTCGTCCACGTCGTGGGGTTCCGCGCTTTTGCGGTGACATGATTCGTTGAGAGAACGGCTTTTTGGCGGACGAGAGGAGATATTCCGGATCGCCTGGGTATCCCAAGGGATCTGGAGAGGAGGTGCTGCTGCGAGAGGCCATCATCGACGCTCCTGTTTGTGTCTGTCTATCCCGGCGCCGTCATGCGCCCTGTCGCAAGGTGGTGTATCGCAGCGCTTCGGTAAACAAAGATTCATGCTTTGACCTCGAAAGAACCCGAAAAACAACCTATTTGTAGCTTTTTCCGTATCTTATGTATTTCGCTGAAGGGTCAGAGGAGCAGTCTCAATATACCAGGCTGCTGGCATACTAACTCGTCTGTCTTCCCTCGTCTTCGTCCTCGTCTTCGCCTTCGCCTTCGCCTTCGAGCTTCCAAATCTCCAAATTGTCCAACCGGCCGTGTTGCTTGACATTATTAGTCATCATTCCACTAGCCCAAAAGGGAAGTCTGTTTATCCGACTCGGAAAAACTATCTTACCGAATCGCGGGCCCGGGCGCTTAGGTTCTAGCCCAATATGGCAGGTAGTGATGTCGATCCTTTGCTTGTTTGTATTATGTCATCATCCTCTTTTCTGTTTATATCAACAACGAGATTATTGAAAGCAATGACAAGAAAGAGACCAAGGACTGCTAAAGCTGTACTGTTGAAAGATTCTTTGGCCAGAGTTTATGTATTCGTGCTAATGTAGCTACAAGGAGAGCCTTGGAACAGGAAACGACTCGATACTACGAGGCCCATGCAGTACCCAGGTATGTCACACTGACGAAGGAGGGATTTTGCATAGGGTTGCGTCATAGCCATAAATACATTCCATAGATGGCTTCGCCAGGCAATGGAACAGTTTCCGCCGTGCTATTATGTCCGAAGGAAGTAGGGCCCTACGGAAAATGTTTGGAGAGATGAGCTATGGAAGCTCAAGCCACAACGGCTCGTATCTTTCGCCTCCTCGAAGAAACAAACATCGATCCCCGTCCATGCTACATAATGCGGGGGAGACCACACTCCATCAAATAAGAACTCACAGTTTGCCTTTCCAGTGTTCCATCCGCGCAGCTGGTGGCAGTGGTTGGCTTTTTATGCTTGCAACGGTACATGCAACGTCTTCTCCCTCACATCGTCATTGCTTTTGCCATCAATATTACCTAAAATGGTTGGAAGGAAGGGGTATATAAACCTCTTCAGTGAGCCTTCATAGCATCCGGATCGTCCCCTGTTTTGTGGCACTCCACACTCCACACTCTACGTCCGTTTCCCCTTTATGTGCACACTTCATTAGTTATCACCTGTATTATCACATACATCCTTTACCATGTGCGGTGTCCTTCGCCAACTCATGCTTCTGCCGCTAGCCTTCCTCAGCATAACACCCAGCTGCTCAGCATGGAACTTTCATCACCAATTAAACGGCACTACACCTTCAAATGGGACGCCTATGAATGGCTCATCTAGCTGCCCCCTAGCCAATGGAGCGTCGTCGAATCCACTCCAAGTATACACCATTGCTGCAAATAACATTACTGCATCGTTCATTCCATACGGTGCCCGTCTAATCTCTCTCATGGTCCCCGATCGTGAGGGTAAGATGCAGGATGTTATTGTTGGCTACGATGACCCCCAGGACTATGTCAAAGACACCCTCACTAACCATACGTACTTTGGGTGCATTGTCGGACGATATGCCAACAGGATTAGAAATGGTACATTTGTTCTAGATGGAACTACATACAATATACCAAAAAACGAGCTGAATAAAACTCAGACATTACACGGTGGGGGTGTTGGTTATGACCAGCGTAACTGGACTGTTACGGCTCTGTCGAATAGCTCCATAACCTTCACCTTGTTCGATTCCGGCTATGAACACTTCCCGGGTGATGTCATAAATCATGTCACGTTCAGTGTTAATTCCTCATATGGCTTGAAAAGGCCCAATCCACAAGCAGAGTTCACTGCCCGAACCGTTTCTCTCTCTTTGACAGAAAAGACGCCCATAATGTTGTCACCTCATATATACTGGAATCTCAACGCTTTCAAGAATGAGACCGTGCTAGAGGACACGCTACTTCAACTACCACTATCTAGTCGATACGTGGAGGTGGACTCGCGGCTTATCCCAACCGGAAACATAGGAAATGTTTCTTCTTCCCTCAATAGTACCCTGGACTTCACAAAGGGGAAGTTGATCGGGAAAGATATCAAGTCCGCAGATGGAATCTGTGGAGCAAATTGTACTGGGTACGATAACTGCTTCATTATTGATAGGCCCAATAATGCATCTGACTGGACTTCTTCCCCCCAAACAATGGTCCCTGCTGTGAATATGTCCTCGGTCACTACGGGTATAAATATGCTGGTCACAACAAATCAGCAGGCGATTCAAATATACTCCTGCAATGGTCAGAATGGCACGATCCCTGTGAAAAGCTCACAAATGGCAAGGAATAAGGCTAGCGGGGATGGAAACGGTACTGTTGTGGATAAGATAGAACAGTATGGCTGCCTTGTCATTGAAACCGAGGGGTGGATTGATGGCATCAATAACCCTGACTGGGGTCAGGATCCGTTCCAAATATACTCTCCCGAGTCAGGTCCTGCGATAAACTGGGCAACGTATGTGTTTAGTGCTTCCTGAGTTTTCGCATAGAAAGCTCGGCTTGACCGCAGGGAAATAGATATAAGGGCATGAGGGGTTGTGGGTTGTGAATGTAAATGCAATCAGCTTTTTTTTAAATTCTATTACAAAGGACAGCAGCACACAGTAATACTAGTTCATATGACCATTTAAGAGTTCATATTTAGGACAGGCTTGCTTCAACATTGGTGTAGACTGATAGAAGCTATTAAGGCCACCAGAGCAGTGACAAAGGAAGGCAAAGTAGTCCCCCACAAGAACATTATATGCAAATTATTCCTCGTCTTCTGCATCAAGTACCATTTTTAGACACAAAGAGAATACAATGTGGTGACGCCCAGTGAGTATTAGTTTAATAAGAGAACATATCATTCCATTCACGCGAGGAAGGGAGGTTTCGGCAGCTATAGAGGAGTCAGTTAGATATACAGAAGTTATGATTAAGAGTCATTGCATTATAGTAGTCTACGCGCTTAGAGAGAGGAAAAGGTAGATTTAGGGAAAGAATATAATAACTTACATCTCAAGAACATCATTCCCACCCATCTCTAGCTTTAAAGCAGAGATACGGTCAATCTCCTGCAGGTGAAAGGCAACAAACTTTGCCAGGAGGTTTCTTGCGTTTCTAACCCCCTGAAGACGCCAGTTCATGTACATAGCAGCACATTGAACCTCTGGACGTGTAGACATGTTGGCTAGCGTATAGCTCAGTTGGTCAAGGGTAGTGTTGTGCTCTTTGATTTCATTCTTTATACGATCCAGCTGGCTGAGGTGATAGTTCAAGAGGCCATCAAGAGCAACGAAATCCTTTGGAAGCTCGTCTCGGGGAGAAGGCGGGGCGTTAGATGGAGTTGGCGAGTGGGATCCTTCGCGGCCACGAGGCGGAGGAGTTGTAATGCAGGGCTTCGAACTATCGTCGGAGGTGAAATGCACTGAGATGGGGGCTTCTTCATCAGTGGTTGGGATCCTAAGAAGCGAGCTTGTCGAGATCTTTCGGCGCAGCTCTTCCGGCTGACGGGGCTGTGGCGTCTCCATGGCTTCGGCGACTTAAGCGTGCTTCTCTCTGGCTGGTTGCGGCTTGGGATGAGATAGGATGAAGAAGACTGTGGATGTTGGTGGTGGTTAAGAGAGGTGGGTGAAAAGAAGAAGAAGAAGAGACCACTCGCGTTTTGCAATAAAGAGCTACCAGAGTTGTTGAAGAAGGAAGTTTCCAGCAACTTCAACTTGAGGAACACAGAATTGATATCAAAGTGAGCAGGACACCAGGGCAGAGTAATAGAAATACCAAGTGACTGTGACAGTGTCCTGTCACTCTGTTTCTGACAAGGGCCTAATAGAGTATGTGACTGGATATGGAGAGACAAGGGTGATTGTATTGTCCCCAAAGGAAGTAGTAGGAATCTAGCTGCTGCTCTATGTTGTCTCCCTAGCTAGTGCCTAGAGTAGAGGCCTAGTAGCTTAGTGATGAAGGACTGGCCTTTGTCTTTGCATATATTTATCGGCCCCAGAGAGGTATCAAAGTAAAGGTATCAAGGTATCAGCTTTTCCGCTCGCAGAGGATATACACGCCTGTATCCGTCCAGCCCACAATATGCCAATGCAAGAATAACTTGAAGGAAAGGCAAGTAAAATGTATTCTAAGGGTATCTTATAACACGCAAAACAAGGCGAAAGACATGACAGCCCATGTGTATAAGCAAACAAATACTATCATCTCCATTCACCGAGAGTCCAACTGGATCTGTCTCCGCCTGCTCGAACAGCTCCTTGTCCATGGCCAGATCTCCGATCAGGGGGGTTCAGTTCATAATCACGGCTAGCACCTGCCAGACCATGCTGGAGATATTTCTCACGTTCAATTTCCACCATACCCCTGATTTTGAGGCTGGCAAGTAGGCTAGCCCCGGCCCATGGACCCATCGATTCGACCTGGCGAAGCACTCCGTGAACATATCTACCGTCCTTTCGCTTTAAATCCATTTTCTCATCGATAAAATTTGATTCTAGCTCGGGTGGCTCCCGGAAGGCAGAGTTCGACTCGTCCGTATTTGATGGCGTGGAATTCCCATTACCGCTCTGTTCATATAAACGGCTCTTCCTCTTGTTTATAGATTTCCCCCTAGATACAGACCATTGGTTCTTTTCAACCAGGGCACTGACATCATCTAATATGCGTTGTCGTACCCCTGGAATGTTCGCGCCGCCACCTGTAAATACTATCCGTGACATACAGGTCCCTCGAAGGTCAGGTGGTAGCGAGAGGAGGAAATAATATATCAGAATATCCAAGGGCATGTCTTCGTCATCCCAGTCTCGGTTTTCATATGACCCACCGAATAAAGTAGATTCAGTGGGTTGTGAAAACCGCGAAAAGGGTACTTCTGTATATTTTGAGTCCGATCCAATCGGTAAGGGGACTGAAACTTTCGAATCCAACGAGCGAGAGTAGGTGTCTCTATTACCGCCTTCTGAAACTGTCGAGGGAGCGGAGTGCGCACTCATAAATTCCGAATCTTCAGAATTCTGAGAGCTCTTTTCGCACCAGGCCATGCGCACCAAAATTTCCTCACAAAGTTCAAATGGAATGCATATTGAGCTTTCCTTCCCACCAAGGCTAGATCCTTCTATCTCATAGATAACGCTGCTAAGCATCTTCCCCATTTCATGCATCATCATCTTCATGGCGCGGGTGCTTCGTTTTGACCGGATTTCTCGATATTCGTAAACGGCAGTGACAACAGTTTCCTCCCATCCAATATCTACAACAAGAGACGATCGTAAACCGGCGGATACAGTCGCCATCGCCGCAGTTGGCAATAAAGTGATACTGGGGTACTTCCAGCGGTGGAATATAGTTGAGAGAAGCGATGCCAGCAGTGGGTGAGGGACAATAGAGGGTATAACAAGCACTAGTCTTGAGGAACCAGCATCGGTGAGTAAGTATTTGTTATAGACCTCTCGAATAGCACGCTCGATCCTATCCTCAAAGAGTTGGATATCAAACCCCCGAAGATCTGAGGTCCAAAGCTCATAATTCTTCGACCATGTTCCAACGTCATAGGTAAGTCGTTTTCTCACAGTGCTGCTGTTGTTCCTAATCCAGCCTCGATAATCACCAACCCTTCTCCCTTCTTCAGTTCCGAACCCAGTTACGCAGGTAGGCATACTGTTCCCTTCAAACCCCGCACGAAGCCATCTTGACCCAATTTCTAGTATCACTGCATCTTCCTCCTGACGAAACGAGGAGCCGGGGGAGGAAGTCCCTGTATACGGAGATAGTATTGGGCGCTGTTGCTGTGGCGTATGGGGAGACCCAGGGATAGAGACAATGGAGCCGCGAGCCTGACGAAGGTTTCCTCGTATACTGGCGCTCGATAGAGACTGTCTCCTTTCCGAATCGATTGTAGACGACGGGGCTGCGGCCATCCTCGAGCTTCTTCACCGTGTGGTGGTCGAAGGAGTGTTTTTCCCTGGCTAATTGGTCAAAGAACAACAAATTACCAGGAATAAGGTGTTTTCTCGCGTTTAATCATCATACAGACCACTGTTTAGCTAGCAAAAATAGACGATGACCTCTTCAGCCAGAGTATTCCACGCTGCTGCGCTGGAGAAAATTGGCTGTCACAAACTTGATAAGAAGAAGTTGAGGCTCCTCGAGATGAAAGTCTATTTTTGGTCCGCCGCCAAGACATTCCGTGTTTACCTGTCCGTCCGTCCTCTCAGCTTCCACAGCCCAAGTAAACAACGCTTTGGTACCATGAGCAGCAGGGCCCCTTTCTCCTTTTTTTTATTTTGTTTTTTTGGATTCTCTGATGTCATGAAATCCTCATAGTTGCGTTTAGGGGACCATATATCGAGATCCATCTTCCTTCGATCGTTACTGGAACGTCCACGTCTGCGTGTTAACTCATGAATGGGGATTCCTGGGTAAGAACAATACCTATTATCCTGCAAAGGACGAAAGATTGCTGATGCATATTTAATAGTCTGAAAGATGAACTCGGTCCTGGGGAGCGTATCTCCTTGGCCAGATACTCAGTCGGCCATCTGCAACGCACGAGAAAGCCATTACGCTTAGCTGTTGATATTTCCATATGGCTTTTTCAAGTCCAGGCAGCACAAGGAGGGGCAAATCCCGCCCTTAGGACCCTCTTCTTCCGACTAACGAGGCTGATTTCTCTGCCAATCCAACCAATCTTTGTTTTCGATGGGCCACATAGACCGGATTACAAAAGAGGCCGGCTGGTCAACAAGAATGCCGCCGCCGCACAAATAGAGCTTTCAAGGAAGCTAATTGAACTATTTTCGTATCCGTGCCATATGGCCCCGGGGGAAGCCGAGGCAGAATGTGCAAAACTGCAGCAGGCAGGTGTTGTTGATGCCGTTATGAGTAACGATGTTGATGCCCTCATGTTCGGCTCCAAGGTTACCCTTCTCAATTATTCTAAGGGCTCGGCCAAGCAGTCAGGAGCTGCAACCCATGTTGATTTGTACAATACCGAGGCGGAAGATGGAGATAGCAAGGTCACACTGGATACCAGGGGCATGATTTTAGTTGCATTACTGAGTGGTGGAGATTATTCGCCTGCTGGTGTAGCTCTCTGCGGTCCAAAACTAGCAGTTGAGATCGCTAGAGCTGGTTTCGGCGAAGATCTTCTTGAAATAACTCAGGACTTACTATCTGGGCGATCAACCAAGAAAGCCGAAGAGGCATTGTGTGAATGGCGGGAACGCCTTCAATATGAACTCCAGAGTAATGAGAGCGGGTATTTTAAAACTAAACATAAAGCCGTTAAGATACCTGCCGACTTTCCGAATTTGGCAGCTTTACGAAGTTGTGTTGATCCGGTCACCTCGTCCCTCAAGGAGATGGATGCACTTCGCCGATCTGACATATGGGGCAGAAGAGTCGATGTTGACCGGCTTCGCACATTTGTTGGCAGATACTTGGGGTGGAAAAATGCAATAGGGGCCAAGAACTTGATAAGAAAACTTGCGCCCTCTTTGCTAAGCTATAATTTATTTTATAGCTCTCTTGGAACACCGAAGGACAAGCCGCCACTTAAAATATTGGGTTACAAGTCGGCCGATTCCTTTGATGCATTACCAGTGTTGAAACTAGAATATGTGCCCCTCCAAATTGTCAATGTTGACCTGGACCAGGAAACTACCACTACTAGTCCACAAGAAGAGGAGGTTATGAACAGTGACTCTTCCGATAATGATGATACACCAAAGGAAAGTCACGCTATGGTCAGGAAAAGTACTCTGGCTGAGTATGACCCGTCTGCTTCCCAGAAAGCATGGTTGTTTGAAGCCATAGTACGTCGGGGTATCCCAGATACCGTGGATGATTGGTATGTGGAGTGCAAGAAGAAGGAGGCTGCTAAAAAACGGCTGGTGAAGAAGTCTGAGACACGGAAGAAAAAACCCAAAGTGGTTGACCCGGGAATGAAAGCTGGTTCTATTCTCCGGTATGGAACTATAACCAAAGGACCTGTTATACAAAGGAATGCCACGTCTTCATTGGCCAAGGAGTCACCTCCTTCTAGCAACCACAGCCTTTCATATAGCGACATAGCGGGGACACAAACGCCTCCGATTTCGTCTGGAAAAAGTACAGACCCCCCTGCTTCCTCTGAATTTATCGATCTAACATTCAGTGACCCGTTGGATGACCCGGTGGGTTTAGATCATACGCAAGACAAAAAAGGTAGGAAACAATATCCATACTTCCTCCCGACACATGCGAATCCTGCTTGGTCCTAATTTACAAGATTGCATTACCAGATACGTTCACGAGATAGACTTGGCTCTTAGCCATGTACATATTTCAGAAAGGATGCTCGCAGGAAGCACTCGACCAGACATAATCTGTGCCCCCTCTCAAGAGCAAAAAATTCCGAAATGCAAGGAACAAATTCTGGTCCCTCCTGTGCAGCCTAATGAGGCAAAACTACCCAAGGAGAAGAAAGCCATTACGAAAAGCCCCTCTCCACATCCGTCGTACTCTACTACTCAGGAGTTCCCGTCCTTGAACCAATTATCAATCGAATTAGAGAACATTTACAATATGAACCCTCCAAGCGATACCCGGACGCGACATCAGAAAACAGATCGTCATGTACTTTATAGAGACAATGGACCACCTGCACCAGAAGGTATTATGGATGCTTTCAAGCCCAAGATGATATCCAGCGAGCATCGTCCTCCTGCTTTGCATGTTAAAATTGACAATGGATTTTGGACTCAGGTTCAGGGTGCAACTACAGATTGTCCCTGTCTGCTAAGCTCTGAGAAGAACTCAAGTTTGAATTGCTTATCGGGCAGGCCAATATGCCTAGGGTACGTTAGTATAGTTGATCTTACTTGATTGGAATTACTATGCTTTTTGAATATTCCGACCAGGTAGAATGCCGACTGCCTAGGGGATAATAATCTTGGATGACTATATCACAATTAGATTTGCATGTTTCAACGTGGACGGGGCATAGGACGATAAAAACAGGTCTGCTGGTGTAGGCTAGGTCCAGTTAACTACATTCACATATTGTATTTATTGAATAATGTAAAGCTACTAATCTACCGTAAATATTTAGAGTGCATGCAAAGCAATCTATAATCCGAATAAATTCTATTATCCTCTTCGCGAACCAATAAAAGGAAATCCGGCTCCAGATATTAACGTAAAAGTCAACCTTGGAAAGTGAAACATTAATCATTACAAAAAGGAAGGGTGAGGTAGAAGAAAGAAAATAGGGTATTGGGTAGTTTGAAAGGCGTGAGTAGGCTAAATGTAGGGTAAATAAACACTGAACATTGTTTTGCAGATTTAGATGATCGTCAAGGGAAATGGAGGAGAGAGAAATGTGAAATAGGGCACGCAGGATGCAAATGGGCAGTTACTTCAAGGCAAAGGGAATTGGGCGAATATAGTACAGCCAGGAAAGAGGTGTAGAAACGGCTTCTTTGGAATATGTATCAGGGAGGGGAGGAAGAATTGACATTGAATGAATCACTGCAGGTGGAGTAGTGATGAGGTAAAGTGTAATGCGATGAAATAATGAGCGGCAGTGGGAGGAGAGCAGAGAAGGAATAGATAAGTAAATGCCAAATATCACAAAACATAAAAAATTAGAAAGAGATTTAGGCACCAAAGACCTTGAAGAAACCCCACAGTCCAATTCCGCTCAGAAGTGGGATGGTCAGGTTATCATCGAAGCCAAAAAGGTCGATCAACTCACTTCCAGCGCCCACGACGCCAGTCCACAAGCTAACAATTCCGAGAGCAAGTGGGCCAGAGACGATGGAGCTATTAGAGGTGGGAGTTGGGAGGCCGATCCACTCCAAAAGCTTGGTTGCAGCGGAGGGCAGAAGCCTGATAGAGCCAGAAAACATGTTGGCGTCTTCCGGATCGTTAGGGAATGATCCTACTGCGGGAACAATATATCCCCAAAAAGCGACGGCAGTCATCACGCCGACAACCCAGGCAGCAAGCGTTCCAGCCAAGCTCTTTCCACGTCGAAGACGTGGCGTATAGCGACCGTAGAGGCGACCAAACGTCGAAGCGGCTGTGTCACACCAGCTAAGTAGTAGGACAGACACCATGGCAACATCCTTGGGGAGGAAGTGGAGGACTATAACGACGCCCAAGATGTACCAAATCACGCCGTTGAAGCCCGACACTTCGGTCTCGCGCATCAGAGCCCCAAGACAGCGGATATAGAACCTATTGACGGCCGGGAATCGGTGGCGTAGGAAGTCCGTTGCTGAAATAGGAATGAAGGCAGAGAACAACCAGGGTGTTAACTGGTTTGCTTGTACCCCCCTGCGGAAGAAATCGAGGGCAACAAAGCCGATGGAAACATGTAGCAGCTTCCGCGGAATCTCATGGCGATGGATGAAGGTTCTATAATGAGAATGGAGGGGAATCAGGCCGAGAGGAGAGGGAGACCGTGAAATAACACGCCAGTTTTCCTGAGCGCTCGAGTATGGTGAGAGATGGCCATTTGCCGACGTGTGTCCGTTTGCTACCAACGCAGCCTTTTCGCCAGTTCCAGAGTTGGATTTGCGCCTGCGCTGTACAGAAGACGAGAGCACCATCGGACTTCGGGATCGAGTTCGAGATCGTTTGTTCAAGCTAGAATCTGAGCCGGATGCATCGTCGGCAACTGGATCTTCTTCCGGGATAGGCGGAGGAGACGCGAGCGGCCCTTTATCTGAGATGTGCTCTCTCGACTCTGAAAGGTCCGAAGGTGTCGGCGACGGTGAGATCACACGCGGCGTCGCGGGAATCTTGTATTGGTTTGGCATCGCAACGAGCGGTCTTTTTCCTGCTATCCGATCTTTGAAGCTGGTGATGGACGAACTCCCAAGCTCCGCCGGTAGTTAACGTTATCTGGCCAAAGTCCGCCTGATAAGCCGCTCGACAGCGCACTCAGGATGCCGCAAAGATGGCGCCGCTCAGCGATAACGGGCGCGTCTCGGGCTCGGTCTGGGTCGTAGCGGGCGAGAGTCGATGTTCCCTGCTGGCAACGGCAAGGTGACCGACTGTTGTTCTCGTGAAGTTGTCTTGCGCCAGCTGTCCGCCTCCGGGAAAATTTGAGCCTAACAGGCAAACTCACTAACGAGTTAGTTGGTGAACCTTGGAAGGAGGCGGGCGGCGGAGTTGGTGCTGCGGTCGTCGCCCAAACGGCAAGCCTGGTCGCAAGCTGCAGAGGAAGACGAAGGAAGTCCCCTTTTTTCACTTCCAGCTCTGCTTGTCGTCTTCGTCTTCGCCTTCTTTCTTCTTCTTCTTCTTTATTAATTTATTTTCTTTTCTTTTTCCCTTTTTTTATTTCTTATTTTTTTTATTTATTTTTTTTTTTCCACGAAACAAAGTTTACACGTGATAAATTAACACGTGAAGATTATGTGATTATATAATCACATGATGATAACCTTAAAAAGGTGTTTGCACTGTTTGTCTCTAAACTTTCAAGCTTTTTTTTTTACTTTTTTGTTATCAAAAAGCGAAAATCGAAGGACGAAAAAGTTGGTGATTGAGATGGAACGAATTGGAAGAGGGAGCTGGACGCAAATTATACCTAATGAAGGTGCTTGTTGAGCAAGAAATTGATATAACTCCATTGTCCGCAGCTTAGCTTTTTTCTCCGCCATCCTCGTCAATGGCCAACGGCAGCAGTGCCCCGAAGAATCCCCGCGCGTGGGAAGCTCTCACCCCATCGCTCTCACAATGGATTCTCGATGCCGTTTCAGCTATGGGATTCAGTCGCATGACGCCTGTACAAGCGTCGGCCATACCCTTGTTCATGGGAAATAAAGACGTTGTTGTGGAAGCTGTCACAGGAAGTGGGAAGACTATGTCCTTTTTGATACCCGTTGTTGAGAAACTATTACGGCTGGACTCTGCTGTGAAACAGCATCATGTCGGAGCTATAATAGTATCACCTACTCGGTACGATTGAAGTTTTTTGATACTCTTTATTTCTTCGAACGGATTTTTTAACTAACGATCGCAGTGAGTTGGCGGAGCAGATATATAGCGTGCTTCTCTCGCTTCTCGCTTTCCATGGCCCTTCGACGTCGAAGCTTGCCCAACTAGACGGGAAAGAACCACAATTAGATCCTGAGACGGGGAAACCGTACAGGTCCTCTACGCTCACAGTAATCCCTCAATTACTGCTAGGTGGAACTACGACACCTGCACAGGACCTCAGTGTCTTTCTCAAGCGCTCGCCAAACCTCCTCATTTCGACCCCGGGCAGGCTGCTAGAACTTCTGTCATCTCCACATGTACACTGCCCTCAGTCTTCGTTTGAAGTGCTAGTTCTCGATGAGGCAGACCGTCTATTAGATCTCGGGTTTAAAGATGACCTACAAAAGATCCTCGCCAGGCTACCGAAGCAGAGGCGAACCGGTTTATTCAGTGCTAGCGTCAGTGAGGCTGTGGACCAAATAGTACGTGTTGGATTGCGAAATCCAGTCAAAATTGCCGTCAAAGTCCGCGGGGCTGGTGCAGAGGATAAAAGGACTCCAGCTAGGTACTTTCTCTTCCATGTTATAGTTCTGAATACCACAGTTCACGTTCTAACGTCTGCAAATAGTCTCCAAATGACATATCTTGCCACTCGCCCTTCTCATAGAATCCCTGCTCTATCCAAACTTCTCTCATCTATCTCTCCAACCCCTCAGAAATCGATCATCTACTTCTCTACTTGTGCAGCCGTGGATTACTTTAGCCTAGTTCTCCCTTCTTTATTACCATCTTCATTCACCACTGTCCCTCTACACGGCAAACACGCCCCCAACGTTCGTCAACGTAATTTTACCCGTTTCACCCAATCTGTGGCTCCAACAATTCTTCTTACCACTGACGTTGCCGCTCGAGGACTTGATATACCCATGGTCGACCTAGTAGTGCAGCTTGATCCACCCACGGATCCAAAAGTATACATCCACAGATGTGGACGGGCTGGCCGCGCCGGCCGTCGCGGACTGAGCGTTCTATTTCTCACTATCGGCAGGGAAGAAGATTATATACCCTTTCTCGATGTCAGAAAGACACCAGCCACCCCCTTCTCCACTCCACCTATAATAACGACAGATGCCGAGGCACAGGATGCAACGGAAATTATTCGCCGCGCTGTTTTAGCTGATAGAGCAGTACATGATAAGGGCCAACGTGCATTCGTCAGCTGGGTACGGAGTTATAGCAAACACCAGACTAGCAGTATATTCCGTATAGCTGATATCGACTGGGAAGACACCGGCCGGTCCTGGGGGCTGCTTAATTTACCCAAAATGCCTGAGTTGAAAGAGTTTAAGGGGGATAAAATGCTGGGACTCGGCCCGGAGGGAGTGAATTGGGACTCCTTTGCTTATATGGATAAGCAAAAAGAGAAGAGCAGGCTTGCTGCTCTAGCCGAACTCAAGGAAAAAGGAGAAGGAGCCCGGCCATCTAAAAAACGTGCAGCTGCGCCAGGAGAAAATAGCACGGTGGCTTGGAGCAAACAGCTAGAGAAAAAGGGTGAGAAGGAGAGGAAACGTGAGAGCAAGCGGATCAAGAGAGAACAGGCTAAACTTGAAGCCATGACTGAGGATGAGAAGACAGAACTACGGCGCACTAACGAGATGCTGGAAAAGGTGCGCATGGCGAATATAGAGGCTCGAAAGATGAACTCTGGTGCTTCTAAACAGAAAAAGTCGGAGCCTTATGTTGCTGATGTTGTGGATGATGATGAACCTTTCGAAGGTTTTGATTGATAATTCTTGTGTTTACCTGGACCTATAAAGGGGAAAAAATAATCAAATATTGGCCGGGAAACAGATGATGACGGCAACAATATATATACTTCGTATTCATGTTCATAGGCATTTAATGCCCTGGCAATAATCTATACTTATGCAACGCTCTCTCTCGCTCAAGCATTCTCATGCTCTTTCTTGAAAAATATCACAAAAGCAGACTCCTGTCATGCTAAATACATACCCGGCCAGAAACATGAACAAACAGAACAAGAACGCCCAAATGCATACAGACCCAGACTCCGCGTACAAACACTGACAGCAAACGAATGACAATGAGAACTCCCTGTTTGACCTACCTAACAATGCACCGTCAACCCGAAGGGAGGCACAGAGTAGTTGGAGCAGCCAGGAAGCCTCGAACGCTAATATACAGAACCAAATCCCTTTTACCAGCAATGGCAGCAGAGCCAGTTTGGCACCCAACTCCAGACGGAGGGGAAACCAAGCTGAACTCCGCAAGGGAAACATGGGACGACAGAACGCCGAAAATGACAGGAGCCGCAACTAAGTGAGTGGACGTAGGACAGGGATGGTCTCTTTCATTGACACGCCTTCTGAGACAGGATTACTCCTGCGTCAGAATCTGCCGGAAGCCCACTCTCAGCCGTTCGTGACTCGGCTGGGCTTCAAAAGTGAAGCCTGTATCAGCGGCCGGAGGCCACTGAAATGAGTGGGAAAGAGGTCCCTGTCCTACTACCCCTTGGAGAGCCGGTGACGAAGCCGGCACGGGGCTTGACGAGTATCGCTCCGCGGTGCGCAGGCTGCTGGGAAGCCGAGGGCGGAACCTTTCCATGTCCGCCAACTGCCTCTCAACAGCCGCCGCTCCTACCGATGCGGGGCGAAACGACGGCACAGGCATTGTCGCGAGGGCGGGCCGCGCAGGAGGTGCAGCGGCGACTTGGCCGTTGGAGTGGCCAAGAAGTACTCCTCGTGGAATTGGCTGCGGGAGTACCCCGACTTCTTGGACGATATCGGAGGACGACGAGGCTCCAGCCCCAGAAGGGACTGGATCCTCGTCAATATCGTCGAAGAAGTCGTCGCCGTACAACTCTTCGTACGTGAACCCGTAAGTGCTCTGCCCTCGGGGTTGGTTGTTGGACTCCCGCTCCCTCAGCGGGCTTGGCGATGTCATCTCGACGTCTTGGGGCGACGCGTTTGTCGAGACTGGGCGGGAAGCGGGAGTGGCCTGTGCCGTCGTTGTTTGTGATGGAGACTCTGGGGTGTCGTCCACCACGGCCGATGTGCTGAGGTCTGTCAACCGGGACTTCGATGGTACCTCTGGCGGGCTAGGGCCAAAGCGTACCTGTTTTCGCTGTCGAAGTGGGCCGCGCGCAGGTGTTTGGCTGTCTGCGTCAGTCGTGTCTTTCAGCACACCGGGTCGAACGCTGGCCGATGGTTCGTCGGGTCGTTCGTTGTCGGACGACTCAGCTTCGGAGCTGGAAGTGGACCCGAAGTAGCGAAGGTCCATTCCATAGCTGCATCCTGGGGGGTTTGGAATGGGCTTTCTCTTCTTCTCCTTGCGCGTTGTCGACTTGGTTACTCTGTTAGCGTTGGCCTTTGACGATGTTGGCTGGTATATCTTTACCGTCTCTTGGGCTTGTCGTGCTTGTTGCTTAGCAAGGCGAGCTTCTTCTTGAGCCTGACGCGCAACTTCCTGGGCAAGGCGGGCTTCTTCGCGTGCGTGTTGGGCTTCCTCTTCGGCTTTGCGGAGAGCGGCTTCTCTAGAGTAGCTTGATAGCGGGTGGTTTCTTGGGAATAGGTCGTAGGAAAGATCTTCTTCATCGAAGTCTGGCTGGGTGAGAGCTGGACTTCGAGCTGGGGCTGAAACAGCTGGCGTCGGCAATGCCGTTGGAGTGTCCTTCCACTCCTCCGAAATGGAAGGACCAACTGCATGCGTGCTAGTAGATACCGTAGTGTAATCATGGCGGTCGTTGTTGTTTTCATGAATTCGAGACGCGTAGCCAGGCTCTTCTGTTTCATTGGAAAGGCTTTGGGAATGCACCGTTAATCCAGGACGCTGACTTGGTGAATGTTCTTCATGTCTCTCAATCTGGGATGCTTCAGCACGGAACGGTAGAAACCTTGAGATGGATCGAGGAACAGAGTCGAGCAAGCCGCTAAAGCTCCATCCAGTGCGTGCTGGTGTGCTTGGCTGAAGCTGGGGTGGAGACGAGTGCAAGTCGGAGACAACTGCAAGCTTTGTTGCAGAAGGAATTGCAGGAATAGAGATGGTGTCGATATCTGAATGCTCATCGTCATTAGCATTGTTGTTCTCATTTGAAGCAGCTTCAGCGGCCTTTTTTTGCGCAATTAGCTCTGGAATACGGAACAAGGTTCTTTGGATCTTGCCCTGGCTCTCTAGGGCACGACGACGTTGGCGGTCGGCATATGGTGTCACTTGACGGAGACGATGTATCTCTCTAGATTTGATGGGTTTGCGTTGAGGTTTCTTCGGTGGGGCGCGTTTTGCTTTGCGGACTGGTTGATTATCAGCGTCCTCATTTTCCTTGTCCTCGTCTGCTTCTCGTCGTCGTTTGCCGGTGACTGCTGGCGGTGGTGTCAGTTGCTTGGTTCTTTCTGAGAAGTAGAACCCATTGTGGGTCCATGTGTCATGACTGGCAGGGCAAACCAGCATTTGGTTGCAGCAAGGGCACAGTGGTCTGCGTTCAATAGATATCTGAGGTGCAGGAAGGAAAGCTGGGGTTGTTGGAAGAGGAGGTGGATAGAAGACAATCTCTTTAGGAGTGGTGCGCTCGCCGTTGCGAGTCACACCGCCCTCCAAGTCAATGATAGGGGTTGGAGAGAGCTCCAGGTTGCTAGGGCTAATAAAGGTGGCGACTGGGGCAAAACGAGAAAAGGGCTGGTGCCTAGCAGGCAACCGGCGGGTAAAATGTTTGATAGGACGTGAAGAGATATTCTGAGGCTCACTCTGAGACGGGGCTTGTTTGCCGCTGATATTTGTGTTGGTATTGTCGTTTTCCTCGACATTAGTAGTGGTCTCTGCCACGGGTGGGACGTGCACTGCTTCGGCGCTGCGAGTTGCAGTCTGGGGAACCGGGGTAGGTGTGGAGGGAGTTGCGTGGTTAGAAGCACGGCCGTTTGCCGGCGAGACGGCGGGCACGAGGACCTGAATTTGGTGAGTGGAAGGAGAAGGACCCTGTGCGCGTGTAGCACGAGTTGTAGTCGTATTTGGAGCAATGGCAGGAGCAGGCCTATCAACCTCGGTGGCGACATCTTCGTGCTTGTTGCTACGGGGTTTGTTGTTGTTATTGTTGACATTTTCGCCGTGGCTGCCATGAGCAGTGCTGCTCTCTGCTGGGGAAGGAGCCTGTTCATGCTCATCGTCCGAGTCGTCGTAGCTTCCTGGAACGCGCTTCTTTGGAGCTGGCTTCTTCCCTTTCTTGGCTTTGTTTTTCGTGATGCGCGTAGTTGCCGACTTGGGCCCTTTGGAGGCAGCAGCCTTTGCGGCAGGAGCAGCTTCTGCAGTTTGCTTGCGGGTTCGGGGTGGTGTCTGCCACATCCGGTAGCCAGATGGCGAGAGAGGTTGGGATCGAGTGCGAGCCATTGCTTCAGCTACACGGACAAAGACGTTAGCACGCGCTCGGAGCAACGGGTAGAGAGAGCAGAAGCAGATGTTGAGAAGCAATAGGAGCTCATGGGAGCAAGAGGCCAAGTTGTAGTGGTAGACGTGAGAGCTGGGAGCCGGAGAGCAGGACATGACTCGAGGCCACGACAGGCTCGAAGACGCGAGAACAGGTATCAAGCTAGCCAGCAGGTACATAATAGAGAGGAAACACAACGCAGAAGAGCTCGTAGTCTCTGAAAGCAGAGCTGTATGATCAAGGAGCTTTGGACTCGGAGGCGTCTAGAGCCGCGAAGCTCGAGGACGGAGCGGGTAGAAGGCGGACAGAATCACATCAAAGGGGCAGGAAAGCACAGAACAGGATATCCAGCAGATACGAGCTCGAGTTACTTACCTTTAGACACGAGAAGGTAAACGGCAATGCCTTTGTGGTGAATGCGAGGGTATCAGCTTGGCTTTGACGCTGCGGCTGCGGTCGTGGTGTGGATGTGAGAGGAAGAAAAAGGCGAGGAGGGAACGCGGGGGGGGAAGAGAGAGATAAATAGACGGCGCCAGACAAGCAGGAGGACAGCTATGGTGGCGAGCGCACCGCGAGGGCAGGAGGACACTCAGGATCTCATTGCTGTGTTGCTGTGTTGACGGCCTCGAGGCAGAGAAAGCACGCTGAAAATGCTTCCTAAAGTGGTTTCCATAGATATTTTTTTCCCTGGACGTTAGTTGACGGTGCTTACGTAATAAGACGACGCCACGGCAACCGCAGGCAATAGAGATGGGACGAGCGGGCAGGACAAGGATGGGCAGGACAGGACGGGAGAGCAGAGGAGAGCAGAGGAGAGTCGGAAGGGCAGAGGAGGACAGTCGGACTGGATGGCAGTGGAAAGATATAGTTGTCGAGACGGTTGGGCAGAGGTAAGGCTAACATTAAACAGCACTGCGAAGATACATCTATGAATACGCCTAGAAATACAAAAGTGAAGCGGCCTAACAGGTGAATGCTTAATAGTCACATCGTCAGCGGCTTCGTCCAATGACGGCCGTCCGTCGTCTTCATCTCAATGTGATCTCGCCCTTCCACGCTGCGTCACTCAACCCAAGCGTCTGCATCAGGTTCTGCCATCTGGGACCACCCCTCTCCTTCCTCCGTAGATAGCTGAGCAGCTTTTGTCTTCTGTGGACGAACAGCCGTAGTCGGCGCTTGTTGTGCTTGTCCTTGTGTGAAGTAGTCTTCAGCTGCTCGGCCAACACCAGGATCTTGGACGTTAGGATAGCCACTTGTACCTCGGGCGAACCCGTATCTGGGCCAGCGCGCGGCCGTTTGGCAGATGGCTCGAGGCTGGCAGGGTCTTGACCTGCAGCGGCCGGTTTGGGAGGGAGTACTCGGTCGGTGTTGTGGCGGCCGAGTATGTCGATTGACCGCTTGATATTCAGCTTTGTTCGGTTCCTGGTGCTGCCGTTCTTCATCGCCAGGATTCGACGGACAGCTTCCTCGGCATTCTTGTGGTCTTCTTCGTGCTTCTTGATAGCGTCTTCGACCTGCTGGGGATCAACGACGCTACCGTCAATAGGCGGTACAGGTCGTGTGAGCTGCTTGGACGTTTCAAGGGCGAATGCAAGCTCGGACTTGGAGATGCAGTAGTTCACATAGCTCGATTGCTCGTTGTCTGGGGGAACATGCACACCCTTCGATCCCAGAGTCGGATAGAGCGACGGGTTGAGCATGGCTTCTATCATCGGTGTCTTCTCGCTGGCAACCGGATCGCCAAACGCTTCCGTTCGCTGCTGACTCAATTCGCGCTGTCGAGATATGTTTGCGGCTTTCCGCTGACGTGCCTGTGCAATTGCAAAGGGATCTCGCTGTCTCCGTCCATGGCGCTTTGTTGTGACCGTCCTCGATTGCTGCGAGCCAACCCGGCTCAGGGTCAGGTTACTGAACCAGCTACATAGGCCTATACAATCCCCAATTGATCAGTAATGGATCAGATTTTACCTAGCACACATGCGCTGTACATACCACTTGAGCCCACGCGAGGTGCCATCTTATGCCGGTTGAGTCCACTTTCTCCCCTTTTCGTTCCTGTCTTCCGCTGTCACTCTCTTGCTTTCCTCGACCTTCAAATTTCTGTCTTCGCAAATCTTCATCCGCTTCTAACTTCCATTCTTGGCGCTCCAAACTTAAAATCTCGGCTTTATTTTTCTCCGTCGCTGCCCTAATATCTTAGTCAGTGATTAGTCACGCACAAAAAACGAGCGACTCCGCCAAGAATTCCAAAATAGGCGAAATTTCGACCTTCGCGACCTTTGATTTTTGATCTTTTTCTTCGTTTACTCTCTCTCATCCCCGTCAAGACAACCGCCGTCGATTGATACTCTTCCTTATACACCGTCCCCCAGCAGGATAGATATCAGTCGCCCATCATGGCTCCCTCCAACCTCCCACCAGTCTTCAATGCCACCTCCCAGGACATGGAGATGATGCTCACTGCCCAGTGTCATCTCGGCTCCAAGAACATGCAAACCCATATGGAGCCATACCTGTGGAAGACTCGTCCAGACGGTGTCAACGTTATTAACATTGGCAAGACCTGGTATGCGCCGAATTCTTCTGGACACCCAGCTATAAACCCAATGACGCGCAAAAAACTAATATGCCGTATTTAGGGAGAAGATTGTCCTTGCTGCCCGTATCATTGCTGCCATCGACAACCCAGCTGATATCTGTGTTATTTCTGCCCGTCCATACGGCCAGCGTGCTGTTCTCAAGTTCGCTGCCCACACTGGTGCTGTTGCGATTGCTGGTCGTTTCACCCCCGGTAGCTTCACCAACTACATCACCCGCTCTTTCAAGGAGCCCCGCCTGATCGTTGTCACCGATCCTCGCACCGATGCCCAGGCCATCAAGGAGGCCAGCTACGTCAACATCCCCGTCATTGCCCTCTGCGACGCCGACTCCCCTACCGAATTCGTCGATGTTGCTATCCCAACCAACAACAAGGGTCGCCACGCTATTGGTCTTGTCTGGTGGATGCTTGCCCGCGAAGTCCTCCGCCTCCGTGGCACTCTCGCTACCCGTGAGACCGAATGGGATATCGTCGTTGATCTGTACTTCTACCGCGACCCTGAGGCCGAGGAAACCAAGGAGATTGAAGAGGCCAAGGCCGCTGAGGCCGAGGAGGCTGCTCCTGAGGCTCTCAACCCAGCTGATACCTGGGATGCTGCTGGTGCTGCTGCTCCTGCTACCTTCGGTGCTCCCGCTGCTGCTACCAACTGGGAGGCTGCCAACACCGACTGGGCTGCCTCCGGTGCTGCTGCGGGTGAGAGCTGGGCCGCTGATACCCCCGCTGCTGAACCTACCTGGTAAATGCAGCTACTCGATTGCAAAAGGCACAAAACCAAATCCGATTGTCGGTCATGGCTCTACTCTATTTGTCCATCTACGACGGTCGTTCATGTTAACTGCGACAAAAGAAAGATTAATGAGTTCATCAACCCCTTTCTCCATACGGTTATTGCTTTGAATGTCACGGCTTTCATTTGACGGCGCTTACGAGGGAAAGATACCCATCTGGCCTCTGGTCCTTTGGGGGAAAGCCCTGTGCTGTCAACAAGGGGCGTACTTAATCGTTGTCCCACTCCCATTAGCTAGATCTAAATAAAAAAAATACATGCAATTACCCGAGCCAGTTGTCTTGCACACTGCATAAAACATAATAACTCAATTGCTAAGGATAAGTGATGGATATGCCGAACTTTTGAAGGCGAGGGAAAAAAGGATATCAACCGCAGTAATATATGTAGCCTGTATTATCGTGCTGGTGCAGCCTAGTGCTATAGAAATCAGCATGTTCTACCGCGCCAATCTCTATCAATAGGCTCGTGGTCGCATACTCGCTAGTCTTGAAAGGGCGCGTCCTCTCGCGTTCGACAGTCAAACCTAACGGTCGACACCAAGGACGACAAGTATCGGCCAGCCTCACCAGGTGGCCCACGAGCATCACCCAGTGATAGATTTCTGACATATCCATTGTACTCTGGTGCTGCCCAAACTGTACGGTTCGGTTCCCTGAATCAAGTAATCCGCCATCCAATGAAGCATGTATGGCCATATCTTTTATGCTATATGCAAGTTTACCGGGGTTATTATCGTGGAAAGCAACTGCTCCATCCCAAAGTCGACACAGTTGCTGCATGCTGGTACAACTTTGAATTGCCTCCTTGACAGCTCGTATGTGCAAATGTGATAGTAAAATGAAAGGACTAAGGCAGACTGACTCACATACCCGGGATGGGGGGTGGATCTCTTGCAACTGCAGTTGGAATAACCAGATAAAACTCAAAAGATTCTCAACGGTTGTCAAGGAGAATCCTAGGCTCTCTAGGTCTTTACCGCCCGCTGCCTCGTCTTTATCTGCAGCAATATTGCCCACGTGTACGTTCAACGAACATGAGGCATTGACCACAATATCAAATTGCTGATCTAGGAAGATCAGAACATTATTGATTAGATCAAACGATGGGGACCCATAGGTCATCACGGGCGCTACAAGCCGGACCGGGCAGCCACCCCATTCATCCTTTGCCATATCAAATTCTTCTGTGACTATAGAAGTGGCCTGTTTGATCGTCCAATATGATGCGTTATTGTGATTTTGGAGATAAGGATTCACCAGGAACCCGTTGCTTTGCATCTCATTGATGATATGTTCATATACTGCCCGCAGTAACTTCCATTCCGCCGGGTGGTGAAAACTCCCTGTGTTTATAGCAGTAATAAAGTCCGCGATCTTGAAATTGATGATAAACTCAACCTCCACACCGAAGGTGTACAAAGTCCGAACTTCTTTTGGCAGACTGTTACGGAACCGGGCCATAATCTTAGGGTATCTAACAGGAAAGGCAACCTTCAAGGAATAATTCCCCAACTGAAAATGCAACGGGGGCCATTATATAGGGTAAATAAAAAGTTGAGATATATAAAGCTCCATAGTCTCTGAGGCATATAGAGCAACCCCGTCTGGGGCTCCAGCTGTTTCCCCTAGCCGTACATGTTTTTGTAGGTCTTTTCTCCAATATACTGGAGACTGTTTTACGTCCGGTATCCTACTATCCATGGTTTTTATAACTAAACAGATAAATACAGCCCTCAAAGAAAACATGTTAGAAGAATCAATTTCATTATTATTAGGCATAATGATTTTGATGATTTGTTCCAAGGATAGGTAAACGTTTGACATCGTCAAAGAGATGAGGTTCATAGATAGATGTTAGAATTAACTCTGGCCTTGGCGCTAAATGATCACGTGGAGCCTAGTTAGCAGGCGCTTCCTCGACACTGTCTTCAAGCGCGCTGAACCTAAAGAACACTATCTCAAGATGGGACCTTCCACATCCCTCTAGGTCTCTTTCGAAATGAAAATGTATATGTACTCCCGTAGGTTTTGAATTTTTTATTATCAAACCAGCGGCAGATATGAAGTACCGAACAAAACTGTATCTATGCAGTGCTATACTGCCCCCTACGACCTGTAATCCAATACCTATCTATGACTACCAACAAGAAAGGATGGATGGTATAGGTTTAGTAATAATAAAATACTGAGTGAGATAAGCTGGTTCTCCATAGCCTGATATTATATCGAAATATCCCGCTCAAAGTCCAGCCAAAGCCAAAATAACCTTCACGTGACCATGGAGCCGGCTGAATTTTCACCTTTTCAATGGAAATAAAATCTACATAATTCAACATCAAGGACTAAATAAAGAAAAAGTATGAGAGTGCCATGTCGGGGGAGTTGCACTAATGTTAACAGAGTTACAATATCCATAACACGCACAAAACGATTCTTGTCGACTCCTAGGTTTCTCATCGAGCAAAAGATGACCGAAAACTCATCCCATTCGCCGTATTCCGACTGGTCTAATACCAGCCTTATAAATCGAATTCATGAACTGGAACGGCAGTTAAACCAATGTCCTCAAAACGCCGTCTCAATTCCTAGCACTGAATGCCTAAAGGTTGACAAAGGTCTAGGTCAGGCGGAGAGAACACCAACTGATGGTCGACCCCGCGAACGATCCACGAGCTCAAACCCTTCTCGAACGTCGAGTAAGAAACGCCGGAAAATTGACCCTTCAAAATATTCGACTCGCCATATTGCCATTAAGTTTGCCTATCTAGGGAAACGATACAATGGATTAGAGCATGCTAATGGCAATTATACTGAGGTACCAACAATTGAAGAGGAACTCTGGAAGGCTTTGCGAAAGACTCGCCTTATATTCCCGACTCATAAAGACTGTACTGAGGAGTTTAGCGGAAAGGATAACAGTCCCTCTCGCCCATATGCAATACACTGGGATGGGTGCCAATACTCTAAATGTGGTCGGACGGACAAAGGAGTCAGCGCTTTTGGGCAGGTGATAGGTATCAGAGTGCGAAGCTTACGACCCGCGGAGCCAAATCCCCCTGTTGAGTTAAAAGGAGGGGACGTTGTGAATTCCGTCGTTGCAACCGAATCGGGTATGGGCGATAAAAACACACAAAGTGGTGTTTCTGATACAGGAGAAGCCAAGGGATGGGATGATATTGCAGACGAATTACCATATATACAGATCTTGAATGGCGCTCTACCCGAGGACATACGAGTTCTTGCGTGGTGCCCTCATTTACCTCCTGATTTTGACGCACGCTTTTCATGTCGCCAAAGGAGGTACCGTTACTTCTTTACCCAGCCCGCATTTTGCCCGACTCCCGGTACTAGAGGCATAGTCAGATCTCCTGAATTGAAAGATGATTTATCTTTAGCAAGGCCAAGAGAGGGATGGCTGGATATAGAAGCTATGCGGAAAGCGGCACAATATTTCGTGGGCAGTCATGACTTTCGAAATTTCTGCAAAGTTGATACGAGTAAACAAATAACAAATTTTGTGCGGCGTATTTTACGTGCGGATATAGAACTCGTGGACCCTCAAAGAACCCCACTTGGCTTTGTGCAAATGCCTGGGTTTGAACCTTTTGAAAACGGCCCTAGAAATACCGGGGTCCCCGGAAGCATTAATGACATCAACTCAGCAGCTGGAAAAGTGTATTCATTCACAGTGCACGGGACAGCATTTCTATGGCATCAAATTCGTCATATGGTTGGAATCCTATTTCTTGTTGGCCAAGGCCTTGAACATCCCTCTATAGTTCCTGAGCTATTAGATGTCACAAAAAACCCGCGACGGCCGGTGTATGAGATGGCATCAGACAGCCCTCTTGTTCTTTGGGACTGTATTTTTGGAGAAGAAGAGGATGAATTAGATTGGGTCTACCCAGGTGACCCACGAACTTTGAAGTCTCCGTCGCGCAGGACAGATGGAAATTTTGGTCAAGGTGGTCTTGTTGAAGATTTATGGACCCTCTGGAGGAATAGAAAGATCGATGAGTTACTGGCTGGTACATTGTTGGAATCCATGGCGAATCGAGGTCAGTCGATTGCTGCTTCGAAAGAAGATGACCATCCGTCAAATCAGGTACAAACAGTACGGAGTCCTAGAGTTTTTAGCGGAGGAGATAATGGGAAACCCGTCGGAAAATATGTCCCACTGTTGAACAGAACGAAGCTTGACCTTGTCGAGGACATGAATGCCCGGTATCTGTCAAAAAAAGGGCACAAGTATTGGAACAAGGTCCTAGAATACCAGGAAGAGCAGCGAAAAGCAGCACTCAATGGCGAATGAGGTCCTTTGAAAATTGATAGATAATCTAGGCTGGGCCATCACCCGTAGCTTACTATAAAGCCACATGACTTCCCATTACGAGGAAGATTCGTAAAGGCATTTTCGAGCACCTTTCCACACTTCCTCGACGATCATACGCTTCGGTAACAAGTTCTGTAACTTATTAGCTATGCCATAAACGTTTATTGTCATAGGAAATCATAGTTAAGAAGTCAAGGAGTACTGGGGAATACCCACAGGGAACACAACAACAACGTCGGACTCTCCATCGACAATGATAGCTAGGTAGTATCGCACTTCAAACCCCCTGAACGCTTCATGGATCACAATATCCTGGATTTGAGTTGTTGGGATAAATCTAGTTGTCGCACTGGGGAAGTAAGTCGCAGAAGACGTCGATGTCTGTACTCCCAGGCCTCGAATGACAAGCAAGGATTCATCTTCCAACCATCATTAGCGTTCTAGTCGCTCGCTAAACGGAGTGATATGGAAACAAACCAGTATAGCCTTTTCTAGCAACAAAGTATAGCAATAAGGCGCTGCAAGCAGCAATGCCTTGCCACATATAGGCATCTGCAGTATTGCACGCAATCAGGCCTATACTACTCGTCCATATTGTGTCCCATGGAATAGTGGTCCAACTGTCGGGTATGTGATTGCGGCATGTGGCGGTATCAACCAAAATAACCAATGCAAATATTACAATTCGGATAATAATCCCAACGTAGAAAATGATCTTCGAGGCAATTGTCGACCTTGGGGCGGCATTCGAGACTGTAAATTGAACAGTAGTAGACGAAGGACTATAAGTTTTCAGATGAGGTGGCATGGTAGCTAACTCCTGTTATGAGTCTCTATTCTTATGTACCACAATTTCGTTAATAGCTTCCTCGCGTGAAATATGAAGAATTCGGCCTGTGCAAATACGGCTCGAATATTTGTAGCTTTAAGTGTTTTATGGGGGGTTTTCAAGTTGCTTTTTTCATAGCTCACCAACAGTCAGGGGAAACGGGGAAAGACAAGCATCACGTGATAAATCCCACCAAGAGAACAGTGTTTGATATGCATATGAAGGAGTTTTTGGAATAATGGATGACAACTAAAGTTTTATCTAGCTGTATGGGGGTGACTCACAGGCCGAAGTTATGTGCTCCAAATCATGCTACATTCTAGTGTTGTTGTGCTGCTGAGCGAGGTACGTGGTTGACCTACCGGGTTAGTAATAGCACTGTTGCGGATTTCTCGGCTAACGCGAGTTAAAGTTTAAAAGTGGCCAATCATATAGAAGAAGTCACCTGCTCAACTAAAATGGAAGGCTCGCGAGAGAAATGGATGTTGTAGGTTGGAGCCTAGACAAATCATACATCTAAGGGACAACGCAATCTGCCTGGGACGCTGTTCAAATGCCGCGGAGCCCTTCACCACCTCGAGACGAGCGAAGGAGCCGGTCCCCCGCGAGACGGCACGACGAAGGAGACAGATACAGAGAACCTGCGAGGAAAAAACAATCATCCGGTTTTCGGTGGAAAGAAAGGCGACGCGACGATGATAGGGACAGGGACAGAGATTCATGGAGGTCCAGAGGTTTAGAGCGTGGATATCGCAGTAGTGATAGGCGAAGGTCTCCATTTAGAGACCGTGATAGGGAAAGGGACGGAGACTTGGACCGTGGCCGTGACCGCGAACGCAGGGCAGCAAGGGGCGACCCAAGCGACCAGAAGCATGTCGAGAAAGAGAAGGATAAGAAGAAAAAGAAGCCATCTGCTGCTCCGTCTAATGAGCCTATGATCATTGTTAATGTCAACGATAGACTAGGCACCAAAGCTGCTATTCCATGCCTTGCTTCAGATCCTATTCGTAAGCCTTCCTGGCTCGCCTTATACCCTGTCCTGACCTAGGCTAATGTGTCCTATAGGTCTCTTTAAAGCTCAAGTAGCTGCTCGAATTGGACGGGAACCACATGAGATTCTTCTTAAAAGACAAGGAGAGAGGCCGTTCAAAGATCAACTTACCTTGGAGGACTACGGTGTCAGCAATGGCGTACAGCTAGACTTGTGAGTTGCCACCTGCCTCCCTTTTCCTATCCTAGCTGAGACATGCTAACTTTACTATAGGGAGGTGGACACTGGAGATTGACGCGGTTGCATACGGATCTCCCTCTATACACGCTCGAGATGAAGAAGCTTGCGGTCATGAGCTTTGTTATGTTATAATGAACCATCCTCATTCGCTCATGCCGCTGCTCTGGGCTGTGATGAAGCAAAAAGAGCCTCCAAACTAATACATCTGTTATAATATATTTTGGTTTCTATCTGGTTCTACACCCTGTTCGTGTACTAGGTATATCTGCTGCACCCCGGATAAACTCTGGCAGTAGCTTGGTAGCCATCTCCTCTGTCCCTTCCTTCCTCCTGCTCTCCTCTATGTCGCCCCTGCTGCCTCTACTCCCTCTCCTATGCTCTTCCCCATATCTCCCGCCCCGTCCTCCATATCTGCCTCACCTTCCGCTGCATCATGTGTCGTCTTGCCTAAACCGGCCCCGAAAACGTCATGCTGACTAACAATCGCGCCTTTCCACTTTAGGCATAACATGCGCCCTATCCAGCCAATCAGTATGTTTTATTGCATGTGACCGTCGGCGGAAAAACTGGACTGCAAAAATGGAAATTTCGAAACATCCACAAATTCCGTGACTGACTTTTTGCCTCATTATTGTGTCCGGGCCAAAAACTCTCGCTTGCAACCATGCTTGCCTCCCGTATCTTGAGCCTGCTCTCCTCCTCTATGTTGCCCTAACAATGATGTTGAGAGCGAGATTGTGATTACTATCCTCCTGGAATCAGTGATAGCACCTTTTGTCTTATTTTTCGCTGTTCGTTGTCTTTACGAGTTTGATTGGCCTTTGAAAATTTACTCCAGCCGCGGCCGTTTGACAAACCCTCATCGATCGGCATTTCTATACTTCCCGGACTTTACATCATAACCATCAAGGATCCCATCTAGCACACCACAGACCTTAGGAAGACTTGCTACAGCTATTTCACCATGGTCCGAAACCTCGTTGTCCTGGGCGGTAGCTCGCATCCTCAGCTGAACGCTACGATCTGCAGACAGCTGGGCATCCCTCCAGTCAACGTTCTGTTGACAAAATTTTCTGTTGGTGAGACACGCGTTGAGATCAATGAGTCGATCCGAGGGAAAGATGTCTACATTATCCAATCTGGTGGAGGAAAAGTGAACGATCACTTGATGGAACTTTTTATTACCATCTCGGCTTGTAAGACTGCCTCTGCCAAGCGAGTCACTGCTGTCCTTCCTCTCTTCCCATACTCTCGCCAAAGCGACATTCCTTACAACAAGGCCGGAGCTCCCCTCGTAAAATCGGCCACTGTCGCCAAACCAGAGGCTAGCAACGCTTACACCTTCGAGAGCACCCCGCCTACCCCACCGGCAGGAAATATAGAAAGCAACGGGCTTCAGAACGGACTAGAAGGGCTTCACAAGGGACTCGCTCAAGTCCAGCTGAACGATCTCGAGAACGCCGGTTCTCTTAACAAGGCTGTGCGACTTTCTCACTACGTTAATGGGATAAAACGCAGTGACACCTTAGATTCCCAAAAGTCTGAAAATGGCCACCACCGTATTCCTACTAGCCACAGCGATGAAACAGCAAACAATGCGTCGAATACCTTAAAGATGAACGCATTCCAACCCCGCCCTGGTTACCGACAATGGGTTGCCCAAGCAGGAACCTTGGTGGCGGATCTGCTCACCTGTGCTGGTGCAGACCATATTATCACCATGGACTTGCACGACCCTCAATACCAAGGCTTCTTTGACATCCCTGTTGACAACCTTTACGGACGTCCTCTTCTGAAAAGATATATTCAACAGAATATCCCTAATTTCCACGAAGCAGTCATAGTCAGTCCCGATGCCGGAGGAGCTAAGCGAGCTACAGCTATTGCAGACTCTATGGGCATGGAGTTTGCCCTTATTCACAAGGTAGAACCACAGCTATTCTCTAACCATCCCGTATATCTTTCCTGCAAGCTTGACTGACGCCGTCTTCTCCAGGAACGTCGTCCCACCAAGATCACGGACCGTCAGAATGCCACGATGATGCTTGTCGGAGACATCAAAGACCGGACAGCTATTCTCATCGATGACCTCGCTGATACCTCCAACACTATTACCCGCGCCGCCAAGTTGTTGAAAAAGGAAGGAGCTTCGAAGGTCTACGCCTTGGTCACACATGGTATCTTCAGTGGCGATGCCATTGATAGGATAAATGCCAGTGCTCTGGACAAAGTCGTTGTCACAAACACAGTCTCTCAGGAAAACAACCTAAAACGATGTCCTAAACTTGAAGTTCTGGAAGTTGGCCAAGTTTTTGCTGAGGTATTTCTATATACCCTATCCCAAATCAGAAATGCTTGCTTGATTTTGAGGTAGTACGCTTTTTAGCATATTACTCACTAATCTTATCTGATTATAGGCAATCCGTCGTGTTCACCATGGTGAAAGTATCAGTGTTCTGTTCCAATATGACTGAGCAAAAAAAAAAAAAAAAAAAAAAAAAAAAAAAAAAAAAAAAAGGCATATAATGCGCAACATCTTGCTATCAGAGCAAATATTGGCCTTTATGTCTATTTAGCTGCACGCTACTGCTATCCCCTTGTCCCTTTATCTCTCCCTGTCTCCTGACTTAAAGTGTTTCCTTTTTTTTTTCTTTACTTGGCCTGGTGTTCTGAGGTATGCAGCCCAGCCATACCTCAAATTCAGCCACCTAAGACAGTCATTTCAGATGAAAGACTCTGCCTATATCATGACCATAGCCCTCTTATCCCCTTATCTCCCTCCTAATGTCTCGACTACTTTTCATTCTTCCCATATTCACCAAATACTAGCAAGGTAGGTGGTGAAGGCAATGTCTTTATTTGGGCTCAGATGAAGATCCCTTTTTCTTTCTCCCAAATACCATCCATGAGAACGCCGAAAAAAAGAAAAAAAAAAGTGAAAACAAGCAAACTTGAAGACCCAGAAAAAAAGCCTATAAAGGAAAGACGAGGGGGTAGGTTGTTACTTTTATTGTCTTCCCTTTATTCTGATTGCTTTTTGTTATTTTCATTACTATTCCTTGTTTGCCTTGGGTGTTATGTTTTAGTCGCTTGACTGATTGGCAACCAACTAGTCCTTGCCATTCTACTTCTGCAAGCAAGTGAGCCTGATATATCGATGTATTGGGCTTGCTAGAAGAGCTTATACGTTAGTATCTAACATTTATTGCTGGGTACATATCTTTACATAGTACTATGCTGTAGTTTCTTTGTGCGAAGGTCTCCTGATCCTTGTATAGGGTTACTACGGAATCATGGTGTTAGTAAACCCCTCGTCGAAATTATTATGCAAGGGATGTGGGAGGCTTCATGTTAGAATATTTTACCGTACAAACGGGATTTACGAGCTATGGATATAAACAATGCATTATGGCCTTATATTTGTCTATTTCTTCTGCTTAGCGGCACGGAAGTTTGTACTACTGCTACCGGAAGGCAAGACGATGATAATTTATCTAAATCCGAGTAGAGGTGAACCGCTCGAACTGCAGTTCATCATATAAATAACATGAGGGAATTATTATGGCAACATTGAAGAGATATACTCCGAATCAGCATTATCAATAACTCCAGCAATATCAAGATATAAATAATTCAAAGAAACAAAGGACCCTTAAAGTACGCTTATATAGTTCCCTATCCGGTCTTTCTGGTTCTGTGCAATGCACTCTGCGATCCAAGTAATGTTCCGAATTTCCTATTTCAATACATGATTAGCTCATATGCCTGGTATAACACTGGGTACCTGTAAGAACTGACCTGTTCTCGCAATTTGACCCAGGCGTATATTATAGCCGGTGTGAACTGGCGAGTGAATGCCAGCTTCAACAATTCCATCTCTCTCTGGTAGAAAAGGTCTTCCAAGCTCTTGCCTTCGCTTCCAGCGCCAGATCCGGACTGGTTCAGACCAACAGTGTCAAAGAAGGCTTTGTAGTCGGCAACTACAGTCACTGCGAGAGAGACACCCTCGAGGTCATCTGCGCGAGAAAGCATCAAAGAGCCTTCAGGATACAATTTGCCGAACTCTGGATATAGCTTTTTCCTCTCGGTCTTGGAGAGTTCGGTGCCGAACGAGTTGAGAGTGATGTTGATTGCCCGACGATCAGCCTCAAACTCTAGTGCTTCACACATGACTTGGGAGGTAGGAGAGTCTTTAAGCTCGGGGTCAGAGTTGATAAACCGGTAAAAGTCCTCCAGATAATTCTTGTACAGAGTGTTTCGGATGATTTCGATGTTTAGTTCATCCAGATCCTGATGGCTCAGGCTGCCCTTGAAGTATGGTGCTAAAGGGGTTTCGATAAGGACAGAGTTATACAATTCTTCGATATTGGTTGCCACGCATAGGACTGGCATTGTCTCAAAGAAACCAAGTGGGTGGCATCTGTCCAGGAGCTCCCGAGTGTCTCGCTCGTGAAGAGTACCGGTGATGAGAAGTGCGATGTTATCAATCATGTACCCATAGGTAAGGTATTCCATAAACTTGGCCGTCGAGCCACTGGCTTGCGCCTGCAGATAGCGGAATTCAGCAACAAGCTTATCGGTGGCTTTACCAGCTAGAGCAGATGTAGAGGGATTCGGGGGGAGAGCGGCTAGAAAATCGCCATATGATGGGCCAAGCTGGAGCTTGACGTCTGTATTTACATGGTCAGCCCTAGCACATCACAAGCTATCGCGACGACCACTATCATCAAGGGATAATGCACATAGCCATTGGCAGCTATCGTAAGGATAGGTTCATACCATCCACGGTATCGCATTGCGTCAAGTTACTGTAGTTCTGCGAGTTTAGAAGGTTATTGCGGTATCCGCGAACAACTCCTTCGACATAGCTGAGCAAAAGATTAGCCGTCCGTCTCGTTCCAGCAAATACAAGGATGACTTACCCGTTATCCACGTTAAAGAAGAGACCCTCCATGGTTGGCCAAGGAATGCGTGTCTGGTTGTTTCTGGTCCTCCAGCCCCGTCTGGTCGTCTTCCTCGTCTTCCTCCTTGATATCACTTCCGAAGGTCAGCATGAGCTTATACTATTCACGTGATGTATTACATAATACATAGCGTGCTTTTTTTACGACATCGAAAAAAAAAAAGAAGCAAAAAATTTATTTGGATTTTCGATTGAAAAAGCGAAGAAACAGTTGTGCGTCTCTTGTGCTCAACGCTGCAGAAGCTCTCCCTGACGCATTCTGCTCGCGTGATAGCTCCAGTGAAGCTAGGCGAGAGTCTTTTTTATTTCATTCAATCTCCCGGGACGCCGTCGCCATGACACTATTCATCCTTACCGAGACCAGTGCGGGCTATGCCTTGCTTAAGGCAAAGGATAAGAGGCTCCTCAAGCGAGATGATCTCGCTACAGAGACAGAGACCGCTGAAGGAATATCGAATCTGTATGTTTGCAATTGCGCTTTTCTGTTTGAGATGGTCGATAATCCTTCGATTGCGATTTATACCACTGCATTATCGACATTGAATCTTTCCTCCGCATTTTGATAGCTTCAGCTTTTCGGGTATCTGCTTTTTTGGAGAAATGGACTAATAGCAAATTCTTGCAGTATGAAATTGAAGAACTTCCAGAAATTTGACAGTGCCACTACTGCTTTGGAAGAAGTTGCATCGGTTATCGATGGAAAGGTCACACCGAGCCTGGCGAATTTGCTCGAGAAGATCAAAGACGAAAAGAAAGTCTCCTTAGCAGTTGCCGATACCAAACTTGGTATGTTTCCTTTCGCCTTCGGCCTGTATAAATTGATCAGACTGCGATTCCCCGCGCAAATATGTAAGCTTTGCGTCTTGCTGACGGTTGATTCTCCCATAGGCAACGCGATTGGCAAGCTGCCTGGACTCTCCATCCAGCCTATTGCAGATGGAACGACTGCTGAGCTTTACCGTGCCATAAGGGCCCATCTTCCCACTCTTATTCCTGGATTAGTTCCCTCTGATATCTCCACCATGTCCTTGGGTCTATCCCACTCCCTTGCCCGCCACAAGCTCAAATTTTCCGCAGATAAGATTGACACTATGATTGTTCAGGCAATTTCTCTGCTTGATGATCTCGACAAGGAGCTCAACACGTATGCAATGCGTGTGAAGGAATGGTACGGCTGGCATTTCCCGGAGCTGGCTAAGATATTAAACGACAATTTGGCCTATGCTAAGGTTGTCCTTAAGATGGGTATCCGTAGCGACTCTGAGACTACAGACCTTTCGGAAATTCTGCCTGAGGAGATTGAAACCGCCGTCAAGATGGCCGCCAACAAGTCCATGGGAACTGAGATTAGCAATGAAGATCTCGAGAATATTCAATCACTTGCTGAACAGGTTGTTGCTTTCTCCGAATACCGCCAACAGCTTGCGAACTACCTCTCTGCTCGTATGGCTGCCATTGCTCCTAATCTTACTGCCTTGGTTGGCGACCTAGTTGGTGCTCGATTGATTGCGCATGCTGGTAGCTTGATGAATCTCTCTAAGAGTCCTGCAAGTACTATCCAGATCCTTGGTGCTGAAAAGGCCTTGTTCCGTGCTCTTAAGACTAAGCATGACACTCCCAAATACGGGTTGATCTATCACGCTTCCCTCATTGGCCAAGCTACTGGTAAAAACAAGGGTAAAATGGCTCGAGTTCTGGCTGCCAAAGCTGCAATTGGTCTCCGTGTTGACGCGTTGAGTGACTGGACTGCTGACGCTGACGGCAACGAGCCCACCGAAGAAGAAAAGAGTGCCCTCGGTATGGAGTCGAGGTACTACCTTGAGAAGAAACTTGCATTCCTCGAAGGAAAGCCACTTAAAGCTAGGGGTGTGGCTATTGCTCCAAACGGAGTTGAATCCGCTGTTCCCAAGAAGTGGGAAATCAAAGAGACCAAGAAGTACAACACAGATGCTGATGCCCTAGCTGGCAACAAACCCGAGAAGAAGAAGTCTAAAAAAGATAAGGATAAGAAGAGTAAACTGGTGGAGGAAGTTGAAGCTGAGGATGAGGAAATGAAGGAGGCTGATCAAGAAGACGAGGAGGATGAAGACGACTCAGATGAATCTGAGGAAGAGAAGCCTAAGAAGAAATCTAAGAAAGAGAAGAAGTCAAAGACAAGTGGCGACGACAACGTTGAAGAACTTGCTGAGAAGGCCGGCCTCAGTGTCAAGCGATATCTCCGAAAGCTTGAAAGAGGCGAGATATCTTTCGATAAGGACGGCAACCCAACTGCTATTAGCAAGAAGGAGCTGAAGAAAGCCAAGAAGGAAGCCAAAAAGGCCGAGAAAGAGGAAGGCAAGAAGAGAAAACGCTCAGACGTTGGCGATGATGCCGAAGAATCCAAGGGTGAAAAGAAGAAAAAGAAGAAAAGCAAGGCCTAATTGATGCGCAAAATACCCTCAATGCCGTCCGATCCTTTTTGTTGCTGTATCATATCCAGCTTCTGGTGTCTTGGTTTCTGTCTTCTTTTTGATAGGGTGGCATCACTCATGGCGAGATGTTATTTCTTTGAATCTTTCGACTTTTTCTGATTTTTTTCTTGTCATTTTCCTTTGGATCTTTTATGGTGGCGCTTGGGGTTCATTTCAATTTGGTTTCTTCAGACACAGTACCAAAGGAAAAGTGTTCAGATACTTTATATTTATCAGCCATTGAAGCCTTTTATACCACCTCTTCTTCTTTTTTTTTTTTTATATAGCTGTATTGCTATATCAGTAGCTGTACTCTGTAAACATGGAATCAGACTTTCCAGACTGCCCTTATATCAGCATTAGGCATCACCATTGCTCCAGATTAAAGGTATAGCTGTTTTCACCCATCTCATCGCGTGCAGGAGCCCTGTAGTTGATTTTTTAGGTTACCAGTTTCGGGCGTTCCTGTACTGCTGCTGGATTCGTTTACATTTAGCTCTTCTAAAGCATAGAGCCAATTCTGTGCCTCTCATATTCTTTCTCTTAGGGTACCTAGCATTTGCATGTAATAGAGAGGTTGAAGAACACCTGCTGACCAATCGGAGTCGGGCCCCCGCCGTTTCCAGAACGGCCGGAAATGGAGTAACCATGATCCGCAAGCATTATTATGTAATCACCTCTATATCCCAAAATTTGCAGGTTGCAAAGCTTTGATAGTCGGAAGTTGGTGATGAATTGGATTGATTGCCGTTAGATATGAAGGTAAGTCCATATTAACTGGCTATATTCAGGGAATATACGATCCAACGACATGTAACAGATTCTTGATCCTCAAGCTGCAACGCTTTCAAATGTGGAAGTGCTGGCTTACTTGAAGTCCAACCCTCCGCGCCTGTCGGCCCAAGCGCCTCTCCCGAATGCGAAGAACTTTGTGCCTAAACCGGACTTGAGAGACTACAACACAGTGGTAAAAGAGGTTAGAACTCATTCAAATCTGTTGTTTGAGGATCTGCATTGCTGATCTTGACCCTAGTACAATGACTATGTCGTTCGGCTCTCCCCTCACCTCCTATCATATCCTAGCTTTACGTCTATATCTCCCGAGAATGCTGCTGGCGATAATTCAACAACCGACCTGGACGTTGCGCTTCGAACACTGATCTCGAGCTTGAAACCATTCAACCTGACGAAGGCAGAAGTGTTGATGATTATCAATTTAGGGGTTGGCCTTGAAGCTAAGCCAGAAGGAGAGGCTGCTGAGGATACGGTCATGCAAGATGGAGACGGCGAAAATGGGGACGCAGGTGTTGACTATGGAGCCCTAGCGCTTCTCGATACAATTATAGAAGACCGAGAAGAGCGACTAGCGGATGAGGACGTTGCGGAAATACTAAGAATTGTGAGGGAGACTCTGGTTAAAAAAGAGCCAGTGAAGGAAGAACCTGAACAAACAATGGAAGAAAGCTGAGCGGTCTTTCCTCTCAAATTTCTTCTATCCCACGATATCTAAAGCACACCGCTCCGCCCATCCTTGGGATAGATGGGCTCAAACATGAAGAACTCTTGATCAAGACAGAGTACGGGTAAGAAATGCTCGGTCCCACCACTTCCCTTCAATGACTGATTTGCCTGGATAGGGACATTGTGAATATTCTCCCCGTGACTTTATTGGGAGCTTTCTACCAAAGGTGCTAACCCCGTAAGTGACAATTGGTGAATTGGTTGCACTACTGCGTATATCTTTTAATGGGACTCCTTTGAAATAAGTACGCAATTTGCTAGTTGGTTAATATTACCCTAGCAATGGCGAGCGCTTTATCTAGTAATAAAATGATAGCTGCAAGTTCTATAGGAGCTAATTGCCCAGAACTGTGCCATGGATGCAATTGACTTGGGCCTAGCGAAGATAAGGAACTTGATTGCGCATATATAAAATGCCTTTCATAGTGAATAAAAATAATCCTTCCAATTTGAAATTGTGCTAATATATCCATGAACAATAAAAAGGTGGGAAAATGGTAATTAAAGCAACAATAGTTCGGTTCAAATATTGGCACAGTTCATCATTTGCAGAACTGTACTTATTTTATTAAAAACTGGTTAGGTCTATTCAAGGTATATCTCATCTCTCAGACGTTGTAAATTGCGCATTAGTCCACTACCAGTACTCTCCGACTTTTCTCGTGAAGGAAGCTCAGAAGTTCTGCCCTTGGAGGCAGTCCCACCGGCCTTTCGGTTCTCCCTTTCTTCTTTTTCCCTAGCTTGGTTTTCGAGGACCTTCCGCCTGTCTTCAACAATTTTTGCAAGGCTGTCGACAAACTTGAGTCTCGGTTTCTCCTCTACCGTGCCCTTCCATACGCCCGCGAGGAGCCGTAATTCCTCAACTCGACGAGCTGCTGCTTCCAAACCGGCTTCTCCTCCACCGTTGCTGTCCAGCAGCCCGGTGACCTGTGATCTGAATTTCTTAGCTACCTCGCGGCCCTTTTCTTCCAGGCTCCGTGATTCAGGGCCAGCTTCTGGAGCTGAGACAGATATGAAGGAGGAGGTAATCGATACCTCTGAGGGGGGCAACGGCCATTCCATTGCATCTCCAAATACCTGTATGACCTCCTCCAGCCGCGTTCTAACCTGCATCAAAGTCCGTAGACGAGATATATACTCTGGATCTTCTTGTGTGATCTCTGGCTGCGTCTTGGTCCCTGACTCGTTTTCCTCATTTTCCTCCTGGTGTACATCCTCCTGCCGGGCGGCGACGGCGGGCTCGGGCAGGCCCTGGGGTAGGAAGCTGCGAATATCATCCTGTAGCGTATCTGTAAGGGTGTCTGAAAGGCCGATTGTCTCTCCACGCAGGACCTCAACCTCATACGCCAGCCGCCCGCTGCTTCGTATTATCTCGTCTGTAAGCTGGTTCAGCGAGTTGGATAGCCGGGCGTTTTGTGCGGTGAGCTGGGAGAGCAGCGATTGGGTCAGAGCAGAGACATCCGCGATTGAACTACCGCCTGCTGAGCGTGATTGCGAAGTGCTCAGCGGCGGAAGAGTGTCGTTGAGGAAGTCGACGGGGTCGAACGAGGGGTCTGAGAACTCCGGCAGCAACGGCTCAGCTGGGGAGGACGAGGTTTTCCGCACATCCTCGCTCTGCGGCCCAGGTCGTTGAGCCATGTTCCCGTGGATCTTGGTCCCAGGAGCTATCCTATCCCACGAGAACTCGACCGGCCACGCCAACGAGCAGCAAGCAGCAAAGCGAACAGGTGGCCGTGTTTTCAAAGCAGTAAAACATATATTCTACAAAAAAAAAAAAAAAAATTTAAGAGGCTGCTTGCGGCAACTAACTAGGTTTCGTCAGTTCAAGCTTAAAACGGAGGTGGGCCGTTGACGTCAACTCAAAAAGCACTGCCAGCAAACGGCCACGAACCGCGTCTGGCGGCAAGGGGACGACAGCCAGCAGGTCGATGTATCAACACGCCGGGACCCGTCAACAGGGGCCGTCCGGGGGCGCAGTGGGCGTCGTGCTGGCCGGCGTCTCGCTGCAGCTTGGGCTTGGGGCGGGCTTACGTGAGGCGGTTCTCCAGAAGTCGCACGGCAGGCAGGCAGTTAAGTAACTAACAACATAAAATAACCAAGGCAAGCCGAACTCTTGAGACGAGGAAGCAACGAAGACAAACACCGGGCGATGACGCTCTTCGACCAGCGTCGCCGCAGGTCAACGAGGCTGCAGTCTTTGGTCGAGCGCGCGTGGTGGGATGGGCGGCAAAGCCTGCCTGCCTGCTGCTGCGTCGACGTCAATAGCCTCCGAGGGCCACAGTAGCCGACTACCTACCTCCCTGTTATACCACAGTGTGTACATGCTCTCTTTCATGTTTATTTATCAAAGAACCGGAAGTTAGCGAGACGGAGTGGAAATTGACATGTTCCCTTGTTACAGACTTCTTTACCTCACTGCCCTTCTGTCCTGCTGCTAATTTCTGGGCTGCCTTCCACCTTTATGTCTGCCGGCTTATATTCACAGTATCGGCGTCTACCTGCTTCTTGGGCATCATTTCACTCCCGTTTTCCTCTCATCTCTTCTTCTCCTTATCCCTCCCTCTTCTCTTCCTCTTATTCTGCTCCAGCACCTTTTCCTGGTGGGGTTCTATTTTCTCAAGTCACTGGTCATTTCTGGACACAAAAGGTGCAGTTACTGGACATAAACTGCATAGATATCCTGCCCAACCTTGAGAATGCCTAGAAAGGCGTTCCTCCACGACCTCCACGAGGCTTCTACGCCCGGGAGGTTCCCAGCTTTGACGAACGTGAAGTCTGGCGAGGACGATGGCACCTTGTCCTGCTCCTTGATTCTCAGTGAAGATCCCAGGCAGTCGGTGGACCTTGAGTTCATGGTCACAGGTAAGGCCTTATATATGAATGCACCTCAAGAGCTCACTAGCTAATAAACCTTGCCTAGACATCTCACTGTACCCGAAGGAACATGAGTTTCTTATCTACACTACCTCAGAAGATGTCCCCCAGTACGTTACTGAAGTGCTTGGACAGGCTCAGCAGGCAATTAGCCGCCTGGAAATTCCGGACATGCTATCGCAGCTCAGCTATACATTTCAGAAAAAAGTGGAACCGGAAAACGATGGACAATGCGATTTTGCTGACGACATTTTTCTAAATGAAGATGAGGACTCGGTTTATTCTGGAATAGAAGACGCTATTCCGGATTTAAATGATGACGAGTATCACTTTTCTCCTGTTCCGCAGCAGACCCAGCTAACTCACCCGGACACTATCACAGAGGAGATACAAGACTCTGAGGAACTGTTATGCAAGATATCAGAAGACTTGAAAACAGCGAAACTGGCCGGCTTCCGCGTGGGATATCTAGGGAATAAGCTGTGCCCCATTATTTCTGTTTCATGTCGCATTTCTAAACTTGGAATATCAGAAGACGCAATGAAGGCATGGCACATCAAGGAGACGCAGTATTTGGTTTGTCTTATTCGGTACATTGGGAAATATCAATCTCTGGAAAACCTGCTCCTTGAACTAACCGGAAAATCATCGGTCGAGGTACGCGTTGGCATTTGCAACGTGTATAAACCTTCTATAAGCACTGCCCTCCAGATGTTTGACCAAGTCGCCCAAGGCGCAAAGTCCCGCGTTGCTATATGTGGGAATGGCTCACCAAACAATGACGACATTGTATACTCTTTTATTAGCGGGCCTCTCAATGCCTTGTTTAATGAAAGATTTATTAAGATACTACGCTATAGACACGATTTTGGTCAAACTTGGTCTGGGGCAGAACGATTTTTCAACGAATGTCAGGGTAAACCCGTCGGCAGCTCGGACCCAACATCTCATATCTACCAAGAGCCGGATATTTCTGAAGAGAAAGCTGCCATGCTCCCAAGTGCTCTCTCAGCAGATCATCTGTTGGAAAAGAATGGTTCAGGGGCTTCCTTCCCTCTGATAGCTATGCAGTTCATGCTCCGTCATTTCGTAAGATGCACGGAGTTCTGTCTTGTCTGTCATTGCAAGACAAATGATAATTACGAGGCTCTAAGGCCTTATGTTTGCTCCAAGAGTTTATGCCTATTCCAATACATGACCTTAGGATTCGGACCTAGCTTGGAATGGGAGATCATGACGCAACCTTATGTGGTTGACTTGCTGGTCAGCTTTACTTATTCTAGCGCGACTCGACATCGCCTTGTCGACCCACCTACAGGACTTGGGATTATGGTTCCAGGCGGCATGCACGATGCAAATTACAAAAATCTCTGCAGTGATGCCGTGGAATCTACAGCCAATTCTCACAGAGAAGTACGCTTTGAAGTAAGCTTTGACGAATCAAATATGACTATGAGTTTTGCTGGCAGTATCCTGAACCATCGAGTATGCGTGGGAGACTGGTTAGTCATTATTGACGAAGGGCGTTATCTCCATTGTCGTATCACCGATACAAGCTTTTGGCCTTCAGTTGACATTTCAAGCCCAATCGAGGTATCAAAGTCTCGAGAGGCCATAGAGAATGAGACAATGCCAATTCCTAAATTGGTCAAGGCTGCTTGGTATGGACAGAACTTCGATGATCTCAATCCAAAGGCACAGCATCAAATGATAGTGTCTCTTCTCGATACCCTTCCAACAGTAGTTGAAATGAAGCAGTACCTGATGGAGAACTCTAGGGGCTCGCAGCCCACACTTTCACAATGGAAAGATAGGATTTCAAAATCTGCTCTCGATCTGTTACGATGGATAGTCGCATCAAACCGTTCGTGCATCATTCAAGATGACCCCGATCCGACAGAAGACAGTGCTGACACCAACCAAGCCAATGATGACCGTGTTGGCGGAGTTCCTGGCTATATGCAATTTCGTTTTGCGCAGGGGGCTCCAGACAAGGAGGAACGATTTTTTAAAGCCGTCATAACTAAAAATGAAAACTTTATACACCCTCATGCTACCATTTTTGCATGGCATGGTAGCCACCTCTCGAACTGGCACGGCATTCTACGCGAAGGATTGCACTTCAAGGAAATCGTGCATGGACGAGCATTTGGCGATGGTGTCTACATGAGCACAAGCTTCGCTACGGCTGCAGCCTACATTAGTTCTAATTTAGGTTGGAGCTTTGGGTCTCCTACTGAAACGTGGCCCAACAGCAAGTTAGGAGTTACCGGCGCAATATCGTTGAACGAAGTGGTGAATTCTCCTAGTGAGTTTGTTAGCACCTCACCACATCTGGTTGTATCTCAGCTGGATTGGATTCAAACGAGATATCTATTTGTTCGATGCTCCTTAAACAAGGAAATTGGAGTCAATACACCATCAATAATACTTCCATATTATCGTCAAGATCCGAAATACGTTGCCCTCGGCCCAAATTACAAGACAATCACAATTCCTTTGTCTGCATTCAGCCAGAAGCGCCGCCTTGCTCTGGGCATGACAGCTGTCAGCTATCCCCCGACAAACGCTCCTGCTAATTTCCCTACAAAACAAGATAACGTCGTTGCAAGTTCATCAACCAAGAAAACTATATCGATACCCCAGAGCCAAGCTGCTCAGGGCCGAGGCTCCACCTCCGGCTCGGCGAACAGCCACGCGGGAGTAACCCCAAGTTATTACACTAATAATACCCCTTCCCAGCAGACTGCTGGTTTATTTATATCAGGCAAACCCAATCATGTGGAAACCGACGGGTATCTCAGCGACGAGACAGATGTTGATGATCTCAATATCTATATAGAGGCCGACAGTATTAGGAGTAAACAAGCTAAAGACAACAATCTACAGCAGTTCCCTCAAGAGAGTGGCACCAAGGGCAAAAACAAGGCCCAGAATGAAACAGACTTTATCCCCGGGACCCTGGATTCAGCGTCTCTCCCTATGATAGCAGCACCGGACAACGCAACTCCCTCAGCAACGGCATCTCTCCAGCGTGACCTACGAGGAGCGCTTCGTATTCAGGACAACGAGCCGCTGGCTGATCTGGGCTGGTATATTGACCCAAACTTAGTCGAGAATGTCTACCAATGGATTGTGGAGCTACATTCCTTTGACCCTTCTCTCCCCTTGTCTCGGGATATGGCAAAAGCAGGAATCAAGTCTATTGTTTTAGAAGTTCGCTTCCCCCAGCAATACCCGATGTCGCCACCATTTGTTCGTGTTATTCGCCCCCGATTTTTGGGATTTCAACAGGGTGGAGGTGGCCATGTCACCGCTGGTGGCGCACTTTGCATGGAACTCCTAACAAACTCTGGTTGGTCCGCCGTGTCTAGCATCGAGAGTGTTTTATTGCAGGTTCGCATGGCAATTTCTAGTACAGACCCTCAACCTGCAAGACTAGTTCCTGGCCAGGATGCTCGGAAGGACAGGATTTTGGAGTACGGTGTTGCGGAAGCTGTAGAAGCATTCGTTAGGGCGTGCAAGGCTCATGGTTGGCAAATCCCAGCGGATTTCCACCGAGAGTCCAAGGCCGCCTTGGCTGCCGAAGCATCATCTTATAAAAATTGATGTTTCTTATTTACCATAAATGTCAACGACGACTATGTCAATTATGGTGATATACGGAGCATAGTTGGTCGTCACACTACCAACTCGGCGATACGAGGCAAGTCTTAAGTGGTGAAGATTATTGGGATGGAGGAGAAAGGGGAGTGGGGAAAGACTTTGAAAGTTCATATGATTTGGATCGAACTGAACTATCGAGTCGATAATTTCGAGAGATAAAGGGTCTTCTAGTCATAGAGTGCTTTTATCTGGCTCTAGAGTTTCTTCGGAGCGGCAAAGAAAGAGAGCAGAGATCGGTCTGTGTAAAAACGATGGGATGGCACCTGTAATGACCTTGGAGAAGAGGAAACGAGGAAGCAAAATAAGAATGAAACATTGATAAGTATGACAAATCTCCTCCCTTCCTGCCTTTCATTGGAGTCGTATGAAGTGCGTAAACCAATGCCACCAGCGACGGACGTCGAGACATGAAATTCCAAATAAAGGGAGAGAACCAACGTACAGACGTGAACAATGCAAAACTAGAACACCAGGAAACTCCGCCATTTTTGCTCCAGCCTTCCCCCCCCCCTGGTAATTTTTTCGATGATGAGTGTGAAGAAGTGGAAGAAATTAATGGGATAAAGATACATATAAAGGGGGGGCAGGGAGTGTAAGAATAATAATAAAAAAGGGTAAGGAGAAAGAAAAAGGAGCAATCAAGAATTTTTTTGTCTTCTTGGATTTGCAATTTGTGGTTCATCAAGACCACACAGATAGAATCACCACACCATACCCAAGAAAATTTTGAAAATCAAAAACACCCAACCGGTCAGGTTAACTCGTGGAAAACAATGAAATCATGAAACAAGGAATATAGGAGGCAGCAGATGTGAAGGGAAGTATAAGTGACGAGGGAATGGGAGAGTTTATCGACGAAGTTGCCAGTTTTGTGGCGCTAGAAGATCATTTTGCACTGGTAAGCCGTTCTGCATGCTGTTCTGCATACTATTCTGGATGCTGCTCTGAATTCCAGATTGGAGTCCATTGGGTATAGCATTTTGCGGGCCGGTTGGTAATCCATTGGGTACACCGCTCGTCATTTGAAGTCCGTTTAAGAGGATGGCGAGGCCTTGGGATTGGCCAACGGGGCAGTCCTTGTGCGCCGAAAGCATTGATTTTAGCATTGCATTTTCTTCTCTAGCTTTCTCTAGAAGGTTTGTTAAAGCTTCGTTGTCGCTAGAGTATGCTTCTGCTTTTCTCATTAGGGTGGCTACCCATTGCTTCTTTCGTTGACGACATTTAAGGGCGGCAACCCTGTGTTGAAAAGTTAGAAGGCTAATTCAAAATATACGAAGTCTATTGTAACACAGGTGTGTTGCGGTTTGACATACCTATTACGCTCCTTGAAGTTCTTCTTCTTTTCTTCGTCCGTCATGGCTTTCTTGTTGCCAGTTGAGTTATTTTCACCTTCACCATTACTATTACCATTATCGGCACCATCGGCATTATCAAATTCGACCGAGTCATCATCAGTAGCAGGTTGTGCCTTGTCGGCAGCAGCATTTGAAGCCTTTTGCTTTTTATTTGATCCCTTGGGAGCGTCTTCGGCCTTTCTGCGACCATTTGTAGTGCCTCCTTTGGCAGTGGAACCTTTCTTGCCTTTGCTACGAGTGTTGATCTTCGTATCGGGACTATCAGAGACGTTTCCGTTGGATGGCGGAGCTACGCCATTCGACTCATTGGTTTGAGGAGAAACCCCATTCATTGGTGGGCTATTATTATCGTTATTCTGCAGTGACATTTGCATAGGTTGCGAAGTTGGGCCAGGGAAAGGGTTGCTCGTAGCCTGAGCACCCTTAGCTAGCATGAAGAGACCATTGGCAGCATCAGTAGCATCAGCATGGGCAAATGGATAGGACTGGGGCTTCTCCATCGAGGCAGCAACTTGCTGGAGAATCGAGTCTGCTTCTCCAGGGTTAGATGTAGGCGCAAGGTAGCCATTTTTCTTTGCTGCAGTGATGGCTGTCCTCTGGAAATCTAGAGTAGTAGGAGTGGTATTTCCACTGGAGAGTTGCTGGAGTAAACCAGCAGGTCCGGGGCTGGGAGCGGGGAACATAGAGCCACCACCGCCAGGAGTCAGGCCAGCATTCAAGCCAGTACGCAACGAGGACTCATTAGGGGTAGGGAACCCGCGAGTTATACCATCAAAATAGTCGCTAGGTCCTGCAGGCCCTGTGAGCATTGCCGGGCTTAGTGGACCAGCACGGAGAGAGTTTGGCCAGTTGAACCCACCGCTGGTCGACGTGCCTGGCATGGCAGGGGATGTCAAAGAAGCGACAGGTGGGAGAATAGACTTCCCGGGGGTATCACTGCCTGTATTTCCAAAGGATTGTTCGAACGGGTTGGGCTCAAAGGACAGGTGGCTGGTGTTATGGATGCCCGAGAAGTAATCACCACTTGCATCGTCACCTGGTTTCTGTGGAGCCGGGATGGTAGACGGCGCATCTAAGGATGAGGTGGTGACGATGGTCTCAGGGACATCTATTTGGGTTGTCCCACGATCTAAACGGGATGATGTCAGTGGTGACAGACAGGAGACAGGAGTGTTAACTCTGAAAGTAAGTTGAGCGAACACCAACACCAGGGACGACAAACAGAGAGGAGGCACAATAGATCACAGCAAGAGGTCCACCAGCTGAGGATGGTGCATGTAGAGGGTGACATGACGAGGGTGATGATAATGGGCAGGAAGAATTAACTGGCTGCTGACCTTCTGGCTTGACGCTCTCGTTCGAGTCTTTCGCATCCATTGGTGAATCGGTGCGAGACGCCGGCAAGCCAGCCTGCGGCGACGCGGCCTTGCTGGCTGGGGCGGACATGGTATATACAGGTAAAGAGGGAGGGAGGGTGTGTCTGGGGGGAGTGGTGATGCTGAAATCGGACGAAAAGGGCAGACGAGAACGGGCGTCCAGCGACGATCTCTCCTCGAGTCCTCTGCCGACCGCAAGGAACAAGAGTCGAGGCAGCGGTTCACTCCGCTCGAGACTGGCTGGGTGGATTAAGTGCGAGTAACGGGCGCAAGCTAGTGGATTCACGCCTAAAAGTGTCTGTTGTTGTGGGTTGTGCGCCGTTCATCGAGCGATGACGATGAGATGACGATGAGATGACGATGAGATGACGATGCAGAGCGACCTTCTTTTTTTTCCGCTGGGAGGAAAGCAAGTAAAAGAAAAAATAGCAGAGAGCGAAGGCGAAAAAACTCTGACGACATTGATGATGTCGTTGGCTTAGTCATCGTGCTTGGCAGAGGCTTGGCACGACGGAAGCTCGCTTAAGCATAAAACGTTAAAAGCATAAAAGGAGGGCGATGGAGACGCTGATAAGATGAGATTAGATGGACGGCGGCGGCAGCGGGCGGCAGCGGGCAGTATGGGGGCCTGCGGTGGGGTGTGCAGGCGCTGGGGGAGCCTCGCTGCGGCATGCAATTGCAGGTCGACTCGGTGAGCACGTCGCTTTTAACTAACTAGCGCCGCATCCTGCTCGCTAGCCGCTTAGTCCTCCAAACCCAGCACGAGCCGATGACGAAAGAATTCCCCGACTACAACCAGCTACAGGTCTCCCACCACGATTAACTATTCTTCTCAACCAGTGCCCCAGACTGCTGATAAATGATAGCATCAGTACACTCCTAGGTCCATTTCCCTATCCCGGACCGTGCGGCGCTCGACTAATCAGGATATGATTGTTATACCTGCTGCTACGGCTAAAGATTTCACAGGCCCACATCCCTGAATAAACAAACACTAAGAGAGCTCTACTCAATATCAAAATACCCAAAGCTCAGGGTTGTGCATATTGAATGAAATGCCAGCATGTTTTGTGCATTCCCCCTTCCACTTTATTATCACTATCATTCTTTGTATTATCCTTATTATAATTTTTTTATAACGGAAGAAGGCCATACAGTTACAGGCATTACGTGAGACTGTTTCAAGGATAATAGTAGACTTGAGTATACCATTGTTTGATACAGTGATAGATCCCAAGCCTATGACATTATGAGAGAATATCTCAGCAAGGACCATTACCCAAAACCAGCTCTGGTAATATTTCCATCATATTCACCCTACCGCTGGGCCGAACCTCCCCCAGCCTAAACAATACCATGATAAACTCGATCGTGATAGGTGAAAAGTAGAAGGTAGTATGAAAGTCGAGGAAGGAGGAAGAGATGCTTATAAACCCAGGTTTGATTATTCTATTCGCGATCGTTACTTCCAATAAAGGCCGCCTTCTCTCCTAGATGTCATCATACCAATGGATTTCGATAGGAAGCTGCGTCCTGAGAAGTGGAAATCACTAGAATGAAGTAGCCTGCAATTTTTTATCTGGGTACATACTTGGTCCCGTAGGCCCTTTAGCTGCGAAGTCAGCATTATTCATGTTTCTACGGCAAAGCGTGATGCATGTATATATCAACGACCAGGAACTGATGTACAGTCCTGGTAATATAAATCTGCATTTTGTGTTATATCAAGTCCGTGCGGTCAGATTTAGCAGCTGCGGAAGCATTCTATTGGATAAATACGTCTTTTGACTAGTATCTGGCTGGCAGTCAGTGAATCATGACGTCAGAGCTCCAAGCACCCTGGCATAACCCCAACTATCACGATCCACGATAGGTGGAATAATTCCACGGTCCGAGCAGCACAGGAACATGATAGTGCCTCCATCCCTCCTCGCCCTCTCTGCCGTCAACTGCGAATCGTACTTCCACCTCTGGCCAGAAACAATCCTCAACACCCTGCTCACGGTACCACTGGTCAACTCCACAGAGCCGAAGGCTCCAGGTTGAGCGTGATGTGTTTGACCCCGCTCGGTTGGGCAGCTGTGCTAGGGTAGAAGAAACAGATACAGAGTCGCCCTCACTAGACCAATTTTTGACCCGCCCATCCGAATCCGTAGTTGCTGTGAACATAGGCTGTTTGTTGGTTGTGGAAGAAGAAGGAGAAGTTGGTTTGACTTCGGAATTGACTAACGTCAGAAAACATAGAATTCCTGCCCCTGGGCGGCCAGTATAAGTGTTTAGCACATGGCAAGTAATCGGGTCTTTGTCTGCCATTGTTTTCTCGCGGATTGTATCGAGTTCCTTTTCGCCTTTTTCACCCGGGTTTGTCTCAAATCTCGGGTTATCGGGTTGGAAGTATTGCTGGAGTTGTGAAAGCCTTTTGGAAGCAGCTGTGAGGTCATCAATTTCAAGGTGGATTTGACCTGCCATCAATCATGCCGTGGATTTTTTGAAATGTGGCCTGAAGACATACGCCATGCTATCCCTGGGCTATGTTGCTGCTAATCAAGTTACCGCTGGGTTATCTGCCAAATCACCATCAACCGGAGGTCCCCGACTAGTTGAACCAGTTACACGTGACTACTAGGCCGCTCCCCTAGGTGCGCAAGGCCGGATCAAAGACTACTTAAATCCTTAATCGTTCGTCACTAAAAATGACAAGTCTATATATAAATCCAAGGTCTAACTATATCCTTCTCACCCTTGCTCCATAGCAGAAATATTACCACAGAAACATATAACTACTTCTGAACGCAATAAATGACCAAACAATGAATGTAATGGAGAAATAGTCATCAGTCCTCGCAGCTCTGTTAAGAGCTACCAACTATACGCATCCTCAATGTACCTGATTTGCCGATATCCCTGGAGCATAGCGTTGTGAATTGCCTCTCTTGCTTTGTCTGCTAGAGTATCCGGACCGCAGACAAGTACGGCAATTCGCGAGTTGGCCGTATTTGCGCTTTTTGCGTGCTCCAAAATAATAGACTTGGTATCCGGTCTCCCATACTTCACCTCGTATTTCGGAACTGCAGTAAGAGACTGCAGCTTGGAGTCTTTGGCCAGATCATCTAGAACATTAGTATCCAAGGACGACGTTGTTTTCGTGCAGACTGGGGAAGGAACGGCAGACGCAGTACTCTTGTTAACATTCGTCAAATAGAAGGAAGCAGAAAAGTCTCCACGCTCAAAGGCAGGCTGTAGCTCCCTAGAGGCCACGCTGTGAATGAAGGAAGCCTGTCTCGCTGACCAAACAAGTGTTATATCCTTTGTACATGTACCTGTTCCGGTCGCAGATGTGCGTCGGATATGATCCTGGATATAAGGCACAGCAGCGGCAATGCCTGTGCCACCGACGATAAATAGAACCGATTCGTACGCCCACAGAGGAGCAGAGTCACCATATGGGCCTTCCAATAGCAAGGTAGTTGAGATAGCAGTGCCGCTGGACTTCATGCATTGGTCACGAAGTTGGCGAGTCCACCCATTATACGGTCGTATCCAAAATATGTATGTTGTCTCATTAGATGGGCTACCTCCTGGATATTGGTCATTGGAAACATTGGCGACCTGGTGCATTCCATCACTTTTGTTGTTCTCAACTTGAGCCGAAGAACCGGTCTCTGAATGTTTCTCCGTGGTCAATTTGGAAGTCTCAGCCCATGCTCCGAGGGTGAATGGATGGCTCTCATACCCAGTCCATCTGAAGGGCTGATACAAAAAGTAATACCGTCCAGGCTTTTGAGAAATACCGGTTGCAGCTGGTGTGACCTCTAGCCTGATGATATCTGAGACTTCGTCATAGTAAGCAATAGAGCTCGTGTGTTGAAGACCACCTCCAGCGAATCGAACTCGAAGGTTGCAGTATATGATTCGAATAATGCGCAAAGTCCTCTCAAAGCCCCATATAGCAACAAGTGGCCAAAGGTAAGGGTCATATTCGCCTGAATAGACGGATACGTGGCTAACATAACAAAATGAGCAGGTGTCATGAAAGATATCATATTCCGGCTGTAACTTACTAAAACAGGGATATAATTGTCACAATAGATAGAGCAATGTGGATGAGTAAGAACAACTCATATGTTTTCCTTCGGAGCCATAGACATGAGAATATTACCAGGAAACTCATTACCACAGTTCCCTGTAGATTAATTAGTAAGTCCCCGGTAATTGTTATGTATGTGGATCATTTATGCACTAACCACAACACCCATGCAAAACCATTTTTCTGCAAACCGTTTGATATATATTTCCGAGCCTGAATAACAGAAATCAATTGGTCAGCCAAGCTTCTTTATATCTTCCCAATACGGCTACACTAACCTATTAAGAAGAAGAATATTGTAAATGCAATGGAATGGGCAATGGCAAGTAGGGTTGCGGCTAGAGCAGCCTGTCTATGGAAGATATTGAACATTCGGAAGCTCCAGCCTGTGGCCCAAAGGAATATATTGTTCCTTCCTGCAAACATCCAGGCGAGGGGCAAATTTGCAAAGGAAAGCACACCAGTACGACCAGCAATATACCGGCATAGCTGTGCATTTGTTTTTGGTATGCTATAGAGATGAATGTAGTCGTTAGTAGGGTTCCCACAAAGCGATACTGAGGCAATCATACTTTAAATTCCCAGCGAAAAGATCATAGTTAACACAGCACAGAATCGCAATGATGAGCCAATACGAGAATATCACAATTGCTTCTATTCTGGTTGGCATGTCGCACCCGTACAGTGTCCGCAAGTGATAAGATCCAAAAGTGCTCGGGATTGTCAGATGTGTTCGAATCCAGTCGGAGAGATACAAAAAAGGCCTGAAAATCCGATAAGGGTTTTTGAGCTTAAGATCATAGCTACCCTCCAAGTCACTCCTCTTTGTCCTCGACTGCCTAAAAAATGCCCACTTGCAGAAGTTGTTGATCATTCCAAGGACCAAAACCGTACCCCAAATGCCATACATAGCAAATCTAGACCAAGGTCAGTAAAAAAGAGTATAGAATAAAAGATACGACTATTGGAATATAAATATTTACCCATAGTGGTGACGGTGCTTCACTTCAGTATTATTGACAACCTATGCGCCGTTAGCATCTCTTCTATACCTTTTGAGTTAGAGGCTTCCCTACAACTGTCTTTAATGAAAGATCGAAAAATTTCTTGGAAATCAGAACCGGTGTGTCGACCTTCTTCTCTGGCGATATTTCTCCGTTTTCGATAACTTTCATTTTAGCAATAATTTCGTCGGTAAGGTTGGCAGCAAAGTCCGACATCGGCAGCAAAGGCTGAGAGATGCGCCGCTGACAATTCTCCTCGAGAACGGCGACTCCTGGAAGTATTTCTTCGGGTCGGCAGTATACCTTTGCGGATGCGTATATAGATTCTACCTTCAAACGGTTCCGGCAATACATAACCCATTGTTTTTTGCCAGGAGTACCGGCAAATTTTATAGGTTTATATGCCCTGTAAACGGCAGAAAAGCATATTTCATTGTTTGCCAGTTCCTTTGATAAAACGATCCTTATAAACAAGGCTCCTAGAAGAAGCTTGAACAAAAACATAGTGTAGACTTCAAATTCTCCCCTATCGAAGGCAATCGTATCAATGGGATACAGTAGGAGAAGGAAAGAGAAGTCAAAGCCGTATTAACTCGACAGCAAGGCTCTTGCAAGTCTAACATAACCAGAGGCTGCCCAGGGTGATATATAAGTTACGGCCCTAGCTATGAATTCGCCTAACTCGGGGCAACCGGAGAACCCTTGGCCCAGCCTAGGTCTTGTATTATGAGCATGCCGTGAGAAGCTTCAATAGAACAACTGTTGATTCTCTTCTTTCTCCTCTTTACCGGGAATAACATGACCCACAGATAAAATATTGAAAAATTTTGCGGTCCCAAACAAAGCAGACTACCTGGGTCCTTTTCGGGGTCTTTTCAACCCCGTCCACAATGGGCTCGCCCGGCCGGTTGTAGTTGAGTAGTTGTCTTTCTCAACTACGCCGAAATACCGGGACCATTCCACGCATGGGCATGATCGAAATTTCGCATTTGCCACACGAATCAGTCCACATTGTGAGTGGGGTATTTTAGTTAGTTGACTACCCATCGAGGTCATATACGCATGGAAAGAATAGTGTGTGTGTGTGTTTTTTTTTTTTTTTTCATTTTTTTGAGAATCACTCAAAAAAGAAACCAAAATAAAGCAAAATATCAATCAATACCAGATTGATATGAATCAATTGTACCATGATAGCTATTTGTATGTCGCATTTTAACCAAGTTGTTGATTAATTCTGACTCCTATGAGTGTACGGAGTTGAGGATGCAGAATTGGTAGTTCATTTTATAAGGTTTTCTATCGCCAAGCATGTTGATAATTAGCGGATCAGATAACTCATCAACCAATTATCATGCTCCATTAATGCTCCATTACGTATTAATTCACTCATGAGGTAAGCAGTAAACTCGATGGATCTTATCTGATTTCAATGTCTACAAAATCTTATCTAATCGATCTTGGTCACTACCGAGTGGATGATATGGAGTATCCTTCCTATAATCCGAGCGACGATGCATCGCATAATTAAAAAAAAAAAAAAGAAAAAGAAAAAGAAAATAATAATAATAATAATAATATAATAATTTTCTTACAGAAGAAGCCAAGCCCGTGACTACGCCGCCGCTTTTTCAAGATTCTAGCTCCTGATTTTACTCCGAAACAGATACCCAAGTTATTTCTCATGTCCTCAAGGAGGATAGGTCAAACAGGCTTCAGATTAAGTATAATCTCATTATTGAGGGGTTATAGTTGTCTACACAGTCAGTGTTGTGGTTAGAAACTTAAATTGGAAAGACCACATCCTTGTGTGCTTCAGTACATAACTAAATTAACTACGCTACCTAAGCCATTTGTGACCGTTACAACCGTGGGAAAATCACCCACTATATGCGACAGCTGATAAAGAGAGCGGGGTCATTTCCTGCAGATAGCGGTGGCTTACCGAACACGGGTGATATAGTTTCTTCGCCAATATACACACAACGGATACTAAAGGGTATAAAAACCAAGGTCAAGTAAGGTACAATACCCGCCGAAACTCGAGATTAATTGAAACATTGAGGAGGAAGGAATCGGACGTGCAAGTTCCGCAACGGCCTTGTTAATTCTAAAAACGTATTCGCAGGTGGTTGACCGTAACTCAAGAGTTAGCCGAAGGCTGAATAGGGCCAGAATAGGCGCTACATGTATCTTGCAGTAGCATACAAGACTTTGACCGCGAAATCCATGATGATGATTGGAGGCTATCCCGGTGTTCTCGAGAGACTTTGCGCAAGAAGTGAACCCGAATAGTATGGATACGGCCAGGGCGCTAATGGCGCTCAATTTCGGGCCGTAGCTCATGTAACTATGCCCTGTATTGAGTTGGAGCCGGATTTCCTCAACAATAGGGTATAATCTCCGTTGCCCTAGGACAGCCGCATGACCAGAAACTTAGATCACTTTCTACGTATAAGTGCCAAACTAGGTCGGTCTATACAGCCTCACCTCGGGAAACCGTACTTCGGTCCATTTTTCTGGCCAGGGTGACTGAAGGAATATCTGACGTTGATGTACATGGGCAGTTCGGAGAAACTCTAGTTCAACCTCCTTATGCTATCCAGGATTGGTTTGAATCTCATATCTGGATAACTGTGGATATAATGATTCATTCAATCTTGTTAGTTAGACCAGGCTTGCCTCGGCTGTGTGGGAGTCCCCTCCTTATCTGAATTTAGTGGTCTAGTCAAGGAGATAACGGTAATTGTGGGATTCGAAATCAGCAGTCCTCGACACAAGCGCTGGAGGATCTAAATGGGGGTAATTTCAAAGCTTTTTGGTTCTGTTACCGTCAGCTTCACTATCTGTCCTTTGCCTCTAGACTCTCCTGTTAGCTGTGCCAGTGCACAAAAGTGGGTTCTGAACGAGGAATCCAGCAGCAAATTGACTAATTAACAACAATCCTTGCTGTCTAATGAATGGATCGACAGCCTGGTTAAAAGGATATGGTACGCGAATTGGATCCTGGACTCGAATTGAGCTCCCATGGCATATTCCATTAAAGGCCTTACCACTACGGGGGCATTTTCAGGCGGTGATAAACCTTTCACTGTAAGAACTCCAAATTCGCTAAAAGCACGACGTCGAAATCTGTGGCTTCTTGTAGAAACGGCCGACTTGGCGTGTGTGTCATGTGATCACAACGCAGCGCTGGCCCAAGCGTCTTTTAAGTAGCCAAAAATGCAATTGAACACTCAAAATCACAAGCAACGATATTAACTCGTTTTAACATATTGATTAACCCTGAAAGCTGGCTTACTTGACGGCACAAGTTTATGCACTCGCCGGTTAAGCATCCGTTACTGAGATCACGCCTACTTTTTAACCAACTTCTCGAATACCCCTCCGTAAACCCCCACCTAGAGCGTTATCGACATGTCGTCAACCGCCGTGATAGGGGACGACGACGTCCTGGAGCCTACCCTTCAATGCCTTCTAGACCATAAGACCCTTCGATGGATATTTGTCGGTGGAAAGGGCGGAGTCGGCAAAACGACCACTTCATGCTCGCTGGCCATACAACTTTCCAAAGTGCGGAAGTCTGTGCTTCTTATATCCACAGATCCCGCTCATAATCTAAGTGATGCTTTCGGTCAGAAATTTGGCAAGGAAGCTAGACTTATTGATGGATATGATAATCTGAGCGCTATGGAGATTGATCCCAATGGAAGCATTCAGGATTTAATGGCTAGCGGGGGTGGTGACGGAAATGACGATGCTATGGGTGGGTTTGGTCTAGGTGGAATGATGCAAGACCTGGCTTTTAGTGTAAGTATCAGCCACAATATCTCTTCGTTGAAAGCTGCTAAAATTCCGTGTTAGATACCTGGTGTCGATGAAGCGATGTCCTTTGCAGAAGTTTTGAAGCAAGTCAAATCTTTATCATATGAAGTTATTGTCTTTGATACTGCTCCTACCGGCCATACTCTTCGGTTCCTACAGTTCCCAACTGTATTGGAAAAGGCCCTTTCTAAGCTATCGCAGCTTTCTGGCCAATTTGGCCCCATGCTTAACTCGGTCCTCGGTGCTCGTGGCGGCTTACCAAACGGGCAAAATCTTGACGATGTGCTATCAAAAATGGAATCACTACGAGAAACTATTGCGGAGGTTAACTCTCAGTTTAAGGATGCTGATATGACCACTTTTGTCTGCGTGTGCATTGCTGAGTTCTTGTCATTGTATGAGACTGAGCGCATGATACAGGAGCTGACGAGCTACAACATTGATACTCATTGCATTGTTGTCAATCAGCTTTTGTTTCCCGGGAAAGATAATGCGTGCCAACAGTGTGGCGCAAGACGAAAAATGCAAAAAAAGTATTTGAATGAGATTAAGGAGTTGTATGAAGATTTCAACGTTGTCAGAATGCCACTGCTTGTTGAAGAGGTCCGTGGGAGAGAAAAGTTGGAAAAGTATGACTATCCCGCCCTATTTTTATATTCGAAAGTAAACTGACTTGTTCGTCTTGTAGTTTCAGTGACATGCTGATCCACCCTTTCCAACCGGCCCACGAGGACTAGAGTGACGAAACTATAGAAGAACAGGAAATCTACAGAAGAAAAAGAAAATTATACAAGGCTCGTGGCAATCGAAGAGGGTGGTAAAAACATGAGTGTTTCCCCCATTCTTACATGGTATAGGAGAATATATCGATTTTTTTTTTTTTTAATAGAAATTACCCAGCCGATCAATAAATGTATTTTCTTCACTGACCAATCAGTACGACGCGCTTACACATGACAACCTTTAGTGATATCTCCGTTAAAAAAAGCGAGAAAACGACGCAATAATCATACACCGAACCAGGTGAAACAGGAAATTACGCCTTATATTTACAATGCTTGATTATGATGTATTGCTCAAAGGGCCCTGGATGGAGCTGGTGAAAAGATGGAAGCACAGGACCACATACATAAATATATCCGCCAGGCTCAGAATAAGCTTGACCCACGCACAATGTGAACCGTCAAACTGTGGAGAGGTTGCAACTTGATAATTCCACAAAATTGTGATAGTTCTGTCATCATCATTATCAAGATTCAGTCGGCGGTCATCTGCTAGAAATACCCAGGCCAGGAACTTACTTGGCTTCGTCGTGGATATGGACGACGGTTGGCCCTCAATGGACATAGGGTTTTGTCCCTGTCTGGTTTCTCTTAAGGAAATCGATTGCAACTGTGCCTTCTAAGCGAACCAGAACTTTCTGGTCCATATGGAGCCTCCTGATAGACGGCTCACGAAGCACGCCCTGTGCGTGGCGGTCAAGATAGAGCGAAATTGAGTTATCTACTGGAAATACGAAAAGGAGGCCATTACTTGTATTCCTCGGGAGAGGACTTGACCCATGGTGTATGGCCGGTTTGGATCACCATTCGTGAAACTCTCGTTAAGTGGAATTACGCTATTCTATACTCAGAACTTTTTTTTTCTTGAGTGCTTATTGAACCGGATGTGCAATGCAGCTGATGACCTCATTTCAGGTGTGCTCCAGTCCACATGTCCCTGTGGGAACAAAGCAGGCAGCAAGGGCCATGACGAGCAAGGGTTCGTTTAGATACACCTATCCATGCAATTAGATGGACCTATTGGGAAACTGCGAAAGAAAAAGTAGCTGAGATCGGCCAGCGCCGTTGATGCACTATCTCGAAATTATGGCTACTAGCATGTATAAATTTACCACCTATGAAGATGCTTTCGACGGGCACGCCTCTATTGACTATCCTTGCACGCATCTTAGGTAGTTAAGCCTGCCTTCGAAAGCATGCCATTTATAAGGCTGGAGCAGGGTATCTAGCGTAGGCCTTCACGCATTCAGGCGCCGGGTGGCGAGGCCAGGGCACTCACTAGAAAGGGAATTTAGCTGGAGATGCTGGGAATTCTTTATGCGCCTAACTGGCCAACAGTTAGTCCCACAGGAGGAGCTTTCTACCAATGCGACGATGGGATAGAGACAAAGTCAAGGCAAAGCACGCTCGTTCATGGCTCCAGGGGAAAGGACAATAGGATCCTTTCCCTTCTGGTACGGAGTGTCTAGATGTATCAGTTGCCACTGGCCAGTCCGCTTCATTAAGGAGGCGCCTGCCAGAACAATCTCAGCTCTGCCGATGGCTTGCCTTCTTCCCCCTTTTCCCACATTTTTCATACGGATGGCTGCCGACTCGCTGGCGCCAAAGCGTCTTGGGCGACGACCCGAACTAGGCAGTCTGGTCAACAAAACAAAACCTGCACACAAAAGAGGAGCGAAAACTTGCGAATCTGGAAACGCCACGACTGGGACAGGGGGCGTGCAGCGGTAAATGAATTTAGCTGCACGCAGCCCACAACGATCGGAGGCCTGTACGAGCGTGAGTGGATGTGCTGAAGCCTTGTGCTCGCTGCGTGAAGCCTCACTTCGAAGCTGTGGTCGAGAGCTGAGGAAAGGCCGAGCGCGCAGGGATCAGCTGACCTGGGTGGCCCTTGGCTGACGTAAGAGAATAGGGGCGCTTCTTTGCTCCTTTAAAAGTCAGCGGGAAATATAAGACGGGGTAAGACGCCTGCCAGCTCTGCTTGCTTGCTCTTTGCTCTCCCGTCTCTTTGGCTGGCTACAAGGAAGAAGCACCGCTTGTGTACGAAGCTGGCTGTGTGATGGACGACAACTAGTCTTCTGTTTCCCCCGTCTTTTTCTGTTTACCTCCTTCATCTTTTGCAGAAGATGAACGTCTGAGTGTGTTGAACATCCGTCCTCAATACACGCTGCACTGCACGGCACAACCACCCCCTACCTGTGACCGAGTCATAGATAGTCTATATCTATATCTTTGTATCCTGCATCTGCTTTGTACTCTCTTCATCTACTCTCTTGTCGTCTTGTCTCTTTTTTTTTTTTTTTTTTTTGGTTTTTTGTCCGCTCGTGTTTGCTTCACTTTATCCCCCTGTCAACGCTTCTCAAGCTGCTACTCCCTGAAACCACGGCGTCCAGTCAAGAAACAGAACAGAACAAAGAACAAGGAAAAATGTCACAGCACGAGCAGTACTGGCTACCAGGCTACGAGCTATCTCGACAAGTCATTCTCAGCAATATCCACATCTTTCTCGGCCCAACGGCGTCGGCGAGGCCATATACCTACCATGTATGGAACCTCCAACCTTTCACTAATGGATACATAACCCTTCCGTTTTCCACGATTCCTGACACTGTAATTCTAGGGCCGAGATGGATACCTAGTCACTGGAAGCAGACTCACCCAAGTACGTCATGCCCTTCTCTCCCTGCTGGTGCGGCCTACCTGTGGACCGATTTGCCTAATGATGTGACCGCAGCAACAAATCGACGACCTGAAGAGTATGTCTAAGAAGTTTGAACTGGACCAGACGATAAAGACAATGCAGTTGTCAAGTAGCCTCGAAGAAACAGGTGACCCAGCCACTCAGACCTCCATCCACAAGCCTGTGCCGGTGTCCATTTCCAGAGGCCGTGAGCGAAATAGAGACCGAGAACGGGGAAGAGAACATCGTTCTTATGATCGTGGGTCACGATCGAGACGATACCGGTGTTGAATACAACAGGGCACGATGATCTTGGATGTATTCATTATGCCACGGACCTACTTTACTGTACAAAGCATACAGTACACATTTTTGTTTCATTTTTCAATTTTTTTTTTTTTAATTTTCTGGATATCCCCTTTTTTTGCCGCTTCTTTTCCCTCCATGGATCGCTACGTTATGGTGTTTGGTGGCTTTCTACTTCTTTCTTGAATAGACATACTGTTTTGATACAAAGCTGTCGACAAAACTTCCCAATACGTTGCCCCTCCATATAGGTAGATTCGCTCTAACTTTGGAGTTTCATATTTTATATAGGTCCACAATGGGTCAATCGAAGTAAAAACATGTGAGCAGTTATGGCATAAATCTCGTTTACCATTGAAGCTAAAATGTTTAAGAAACCTATGCATAGATAAGAGTATGCAGACCGTTAACACACAACACAGGATTAACTTGAAAAACGCCCACCCAAAACATGTCAATCCGAGCAGCCGTTCCACATGGCGAAAGGATCGAAGGAAAGAAAACATAGGTTGTTGGAAAGGAAGAAGACTAGAAGAGGAGTGTAAGGGTGTCGGCATCGTGACGAAAAAGAAGATGGGCTTTTGGATCATTCCTCCATTCATCGTAAACATTGACTTGAGTAAAAAATGAGGCAACCAAATCACGTCTATCGTCGAGAATTAAATTGAATTTATTTGGCAACAGCCGAGCTAGAGATTATATTAGCAAAGTTCCAGTAAAAGAAAAGGGGATAATAAGAGCATACCTTAAGACTTGTGTTCGGAAGAAACCTCCCTTTGTCTTCTCGATGACTTGTTGGTAGACTGACTGGGGAGGGTGGTTCATGAGAACAGTTCCTTCCTGATAATCGATCTTTGCATCGACCCGGGTGTCACGGATCAAGTTGACAATCCATTTCTCGCCCTCATTCTGACTTAGGCCAAGGCGAGTGGAGAGGTCACTATAGGTTAGTTAGTATGCGATGCATAAATAGCACAAGCTTAGTAAAAACATACTTGATGTCAATTCTCTGGTGGATCTTGCAGTAGCTCTCTGATATTAGGTGTCTCGCAGATTCGACAAAGGCATCCGCCGCAGCAACAAGGAAGAAGTCACTCCGTAGAACTTCTTCAGCTTCACCAAGTTTCTTCTGGGCCTCTTCAAAGTCGAAATCAATGTAGAGAGCCTTTATGAACTCGGTGATAGGATCCTGGTATTCATATTCTTCCTGTCGAACAACACGGATGAGATCCTTGAGTTGTTTCTGGTACAGGGCAGAGTTCTTGTGGGCGCGGCTCCGGTTGGTGATGACAGCGGCAGTGAGGTAGCGGAGAATCCAAGGGCATGCGGTCTGTATGGTGTTGATGTAAGCGGGGTGGAAAAACATATCTGTAAGCACATCACGAGCAGGCTCGTGATTGAAGAATGGGAAGAGAGACCAGTGAATGAGCCATGAGCGGTGCTGGAGCTGACCGAGCGGGTTGTTAAAGAGACGGGTATCGATCGAATCTTTGACCTTTGTGATTTCCTCCATAGCACCCTCCCAATTGGTAGTCAAGATTTCACAGGCGAGTTTTCCCCACGTAGCGGCAGCAACCTTGTCATTATCGGTAGAGAGGACACGGAACTGGTATAGAAGTTCAGCAGCGTTTCCATAGCTACCACAGCTGTACTGGAATCGCCCAAAATCGTAGAGTGTGTTGACCATCTCAATGGTCGCTCCGTGCTGCTCCTCAAGGAACTTCAAATTGGCGGCCTTATCACTGCGCAGATTGCCTACTACAGCATCATCTTGTAGCAACTCTGTGATCTTGCTGCTTGCATCGACGTAATGCTGCAATTTCTGCACGACCTCTTCTCTCTTGGTAACGAATTCCTCTGGTACGGTATCCGAGTCGTTGATTTCCTGCCACAGACTGGCAATATAGTCTGCCATGTTGGTATGCTTGAGGAGCTCATACTTCGACTTTGTGATCTGGTCGATAGCCTCATCGTCCTCTTCCTGATTTGACGCAAACTCCAGCAGCGGGAAGATGAGCTGACGGTCGAGATATGGTATAAGCTTAGGGAGCAAATCGTGCTTTTTGGCGACCTCGTCGGCGGTGGCTGCAGACTGCGCGGCGGCATCCTTGAGCAGCGTGTTGGCTGATGTCGGGGCGTTGTCTGCCATGGTCACGGTCTCGCTCTTGCAATAGCCAGTCGGGGTATTCCTTCGTGAAGCGGTCCGTCGTCTTTGTCTCTCCGTCGTTCGTCCTGCGTCGTCTATCTTCGTCTATCGTCTTCGTCCCGCCAAAAATTAAATCGAACTTTTTGATGGGTTTTTTTACTTGTGTGGTGGAAGCAGACGCGCTAGTGCCTGATCGGGTTAAGCGCAGAAAGCATCGGGTGACTTCGACTTTTTATATGAAAAAAAGGCGAGAGGAAGAAGAAAAATCGACGTCGAGATAAGAAGAAGAAGACGCAGACAAAAAACAGAAGAGCGAGGGAGCCCTTTTACCTGAAAAAGTGTCCCGGATGCTATATAATAGAAGCTCGGTCTAGCCAGACAGACGGGGGACACTCGGCTTTTCACCAGCTTCAACAGCTTTCTAGCACAGCCAGCACCAGCTACCAACTTCACATCTATCAATCAAGATGGCCTCTATACTTCCTGCTCAGCGGTCAACAATCCAATGCTTCCAGCGCAGGTTTACCTCTCCGGCCTCGTTTAACAGCCTGCTCCGAACAGCAGTCCCACAGTCGAGAAGTTTGCGTAAGTAGAAGACTTGTTCCCTCGTGCCTCCAATTGAGCAAATCTATACCACCGCAGCAATACCAACCAAAATCAACCGTAACTAGCAATGGCAACATGTATTAACATATCAGAAATAGTATCACATTCTTTCCCCGCCACTTCTTCCCGCACAATCGTCACGCACATCACTCGACCGTTCACTGCTCCCAAATCTACCCGCAGCCAGGCTAGTCTGCAGCCTCAGCAGTCCGCTCCAGCAGGACAAGCTGATTCTCTTCCACTCACTAATCTACCATATTTTATCCGCCGAACCCCTTCAAACCAACTACCCATTTACCTCGTTACCAAGGCCGGCGGAACCAAGCAGGAGACTCGACTCCGTAAGACAGAAGGAGACCTTAATGCTCTTCGAGATGATTTGGTGAAATATCTTGGCCTCGAAGCTAAGCCATCAGAGGTATATATCAACCAGACGAACGGACACATTACAATAAAGGTATGGTGTTTTCCTTATTCACAGCAGTACTAGATCATGTCTAACGGGGTTCGGTCTATAGGGATGGCGAAAGCCAGAAGTTATGCAATTCCTCCTTGATCGACGATTCTGAACGAGAAAAATCTCCTCTCTTTTTCCTGTCCAAAATGTATTATTTCATACCACTTCTTCAAAACGGCGTTTAGCGATATTTGATTTGTGATTCCGCATACTCCGCATAACCTACCTCCTTGGTCCGTTCTGATAATGCTTTCGTCTTTATCTGCTTCACTCCCTATTCCCTTCACGCTTAGCTTAGTCTGGTACGGATTGGTTGGTGATTTATCATTTGGGCAATTTGTTACTGTTGGGGGTTTTTCTCGTGTTCCTGTCTCTCATTTGAAAAGCTACGGACAGTTGTATAGTATGTATGTGTCTATGGTATTGTTAACTTGCTCTTTATGTACTTATGTGCATACATACTATAGCTGTGTGTGCTATTGAATAGGGTCTACTCCGCTTATCAATGTCAAGTTCAAGAAGAGAATCACAAGATGCAGAGGACATGCAAGTTGATGAGTAGATGGATTTCGATTAAGCTGCTCGAAAGTGTTGTTTGTTACCCAGGTGTGTGATTAGGACCTTCACCTTAACGCCCTGCATAAAATAAGTAGTTGAGATATACATGCAAGGAGAAACATATAGGCAAAAAGACAAAAATGGGTAGGAAGCAGTTGTTTGATGATATGGCGTGTTTATATGTTTGCATGCATGCGTACATGCTTGCTTGCTTTCCTCCTTTTAGTGCTTTTAATGTTTCTCAACTCCCCCCATACCATACATAAATACATACATACAATTCCCTCCTCGTCCAAAAGTTCAATCTGAAACATCGTCATTCTTTCCAACAAGCCGAGCTGGTTCGTGGATATGATTTGGTAAACCAAATTCCCAACGACGAAAGGGGAAATGACGGGGAAAGAAGATAGAGACAAAAAGGTAGACGAAAGAAAAGAAGAAGGGAAATAGAAAGGTGAAACTGAAAAGTATAATAACGCGGTTGAAAACGAGAGTCAATAGCGGGGAAGGAAAAGGTGTTTGGTTGGGTAGAAAAGATTCAATGGTAGTCGACCGCCTCCTTTATTTTCACACGCAAGTCCAGATGCAAAGAAAAGCTGTGGTTTGTATGATAGCTACCGTCTGTCTAGCTCTTGATACAACGACACATAAATAAGGGCTGCTATGTGGCAATTATCTCGATAGCCCTTCGAATTCGCAAAGCAATTTGAGCGTGCTTGGGTCGATGGCTCTTGAAACCAATGCACCTAGTATATTCTCCTTCTTAGGCAGGACGTTGAGCCCCAAGTCTATACCGCCCTGCTTGCCTTTATTTGCCTTCCGTACTTTTGAGGCAAGTCTGTTGAGTATACCGAGTGCACGAGACACAATGGTATAGTAACCTTGTGCATCATCCTGTCTAGCACCAATAGCATTGGGATGTTGGGGAATAGACTGACGAGGCCTTTCTGTACATAATAGGCCAGCAAGGTGAACAAGACTAATGGCAAATCCGTCGTGGGAACCTAGCCAAGCACGAGCAAATGAAGCATCGGCGAGAGACGATAGTACCTCCGCAGCTAGGAGACCTTGCATGAGGAACGGCTTGCGAGCTTCCGTTATAGGTAAGACGTTCCCCTTTGAATACTCCGGTATTATGGAGATCGCAAGTGAGAATGCACGCGTTAGGAGATACGTTGAGATATGCGCGCCAGCCGTTGATGCATTGACAGAGGGGTCGGAGAAGATAGCCTTGTAGAGGGTACGGTTGGGGTCATCACGGGCTAACAGCTTAGCTAAACTGTCGACTGCTGCTGGCAGATAGCGATGGATGCTTGGCTGGTAACTAGGGAAGATGAGAGGTTCGTCGTCTGATGTTGGTGGGGTAGTTAAGGGCGCGAATGAAAGGAGGAAATATAGCAGCGCCAGGGCCTCATCCTTTCCTGGTATATGTATGGCGTGGGCGAGGTTGCTGAGGAAGATGAGAACGTCTTTCATGAAGTCTAGGGTATTCTGATGCGTGCGAAGGAAAAGATGCCTAGTGCCCATATATCGAATGGCAAGAGCAAGGAAACGGACAACGCTTGGGGCAGAGAGGAGAGGGAAATTTGATTCCGAGAAGCTGAAATTGCGCAATATGGTGGTAATACAGATGAGACGGTCGACCGCTCGATCGAGGGAGTGTTCTAAACTGCCAAAGGGTGGAACATCAAGCAACGACTCGATCTCCTGGCGGCATCCGCGCAGTAGTTCCTCGTACGAAGCCAGCTGTATCTCATCGGATACTTCCGGTGAATGTTCTGCGAGCAGTTCAAGGTGGTCTGTTGCTGTATCTAGCAGAGTTGGAAGCAGATCATCGCAGTTTTCGAGAGAGAGATGGACCGCTGGTTCAGCGGACAGGGTGGTTAACGTGTCTAGGGCCAGACGAGTTTCAGAGATGAGTCCAGATTTGAGGCTCATCGTTAAAGCATGGATGTCGATTACGCCCAACTCATGAAATCGAGGAACGGTGGGCTTGAGACGAAGTAGATCATCACCCAGAGGGAATAGCTCATCGACGATGACAGGACCATGGAAAACTGGCTCAGGGAAGGTTAGAGGTGTATACTCTTCCGGTATTGGTTGCTTGAAAGTATATGTTGGTGGAGCAAAAGCATCTTCTTTCACAGAGGGAGAGGCTATGCTCTGGCCATTGGGAGACATGGACAGAGACTCTGCGTGACTCAAGCCAGAGTGTTGCTGTAGCTTGGGCTTGCTGGGTGTTGAGTAACCGTTCATGACTTGAGGTGGCTGCTGCTGCATCGACGGTTGCATGAACCCCTGTGCTGGCGCTTGTGCTTGGACCTGAGGGTCAAAATGGCTATTCATTGGCTTGACGGGAGACATCATGTCATTCTGAGGCTGCATCGGCATTTGCATCTGCGGCTGCGGTTGTGACTGGTCGCCTGGTTTCTGATGTGTAGAAAGCCAGGCCTGTTCGTAAGCGGCAAGGTTACGGTAATAGTGATCCCGTATCTCCCGTGCAGCTGTGGGATACTGCATGGCGGGAAAATGCAGTTGTTGAGCGACGACTGGCCATGAATTAGAATTGGTAACCTTTTGGGAACCACCTAGCTTCATGACAGTGGCATAGAGCTGCATAAGGACAATGGGCCGTCCGCATACGAGAGGAGAGGGATCAAGTGGTAGTCGTCGAGGAATCATAAATTTCTGCAGCACGCGAAGGAATCCTTCTGGTGTGGTAGGTTTTGCCATAGCCTGTGCTTGAGCCTGGGCCTGGGCCTGGGCCTGAGCTTGTTGTTGAGCTACAACCTGGGCCTGTTGCTGGGCAGCTTGAACGGCCTGTTGCTGTACGGCATGCTGTTGTGCCTGTTGTTGTGCCTGCTGTTGTTGTATGTGGCGCATAGCAGCCATCTGGCTCTGCTGCTGGCTCGACATTGGCTGGCCTGGCATTGCGGGTGGCACCTGTTGTTGCTGTTGCTGTTGCTGTTGTTGTACTTGTTGTTGCTGTTGCTGGCGCACCTGGTTAGCCATGTGCATCTGATACATCTGCTGACGCGCAGCCATCTGTTGAGCATGCGAAGGATATCCAGGCATCATAGCTGGGTTCTGGTTTGGATTCTGTTGGACTTGACCTGGGTAAGGCGGGCCTGGAGGGTAGGAGGTGGGAGCCTGAGGGGTGGCAACACGGCTTCCGTGGTCAGACGAAGGCTGGCCGGGCTGCACGGCAGCATTGGGGAAAGGGGAAGGAGAGGTAGTTTGTACTCTCTGCGCATCAAACTCCTGCGGCACTGGAGACGGGCTAGCTGTCGAAGAGGCCGCCTGCTGAAAACCCGGGTGAAAAGCAGGAGCAGGGCCACCGGGAGCCGCACCAGGCGCGGGAGGAAAATGAGAAGCTCCGTTGGCATTAATAACAGCCGCTCCGCCGCCTACGGGAGTTTGCTGCTGCTGCTGCTGTTGTGGTTGTTGTTGCTGCTGTGGTTGTTGATAGCCTGGATAAGCGCCATGTTGCGGTGTCTGGGAGCGCGAGACGGCGGTCGGAGGAATCCCTCCTGGTACCTGACGAGGAGACGAGACGAGAAAGCCGTCATCTGGTCGCGATCGTTTCGACGGGACGACAGAGTTTGGCGGGTGGAATCCAGGAGACATGCGCGATGCCGGCGAGGGAGTTGCACCATTGAACATGCGCGTGAACTGGGGTGTGTCCGACGGCGCGGGAGATTGAGACTGCGGCTGAGACTGGGGCGGCTGTTGTTGTTGTTGTTGTTGCTGCTGCTGTTGCTGCTGCTGCGATTGAGGCTGCAGAAAGGCCATGGCGGGATCTATGGTGGCCGGCGCGGGTGGAGGAGGATGGGGAGGGTTGGCGAACGCGGTCCCGTTTCCATGGCCATTGACGTTGGGGTTGCCTGCGCCGGGGTCAAGGGGCGATGGAATGGCGGGCGGCGTATCGTGGAGCCAGGCGTTCATGGCGAGTTAGACACCCATCCGACTATGCCGTCTGGATAGCTGTGGGAAGCTTCCCCCGGTCTCTATTTTTTTTTTTTTTTTTTTTTTTTTGCGTGTGTTGACGATGGGATTCTGGGGACCCGTAGGAGAGTTCCAGGGTCAAGGCCGACCGAGCGAGTGAGACAGCAGCAGAGAACGCGTGCACCAGGTCAGACGGCCCTCGGCTCGCTGTCCGGCGACGTGGCTGTGTGGGTGCTGTTGGCAGGGAGTGCAGGCAAAGCGAGAGGTGAGGTCGCGAAATGCCGCGTCTGGCGTTTGCTTCTTTGCGCTTCGATGAAATCTTGTTTCGCCTTTTTTTTTTGCTCTTGTGGATGTTTCTGCAGTTTCCCAAAGGGGGAGGGCGGTGAGAGGGTCACGTGGTCTAGGATGAGTCAGCAAGAGATGGGCGCAAGAAGGGGCCAGCAGAAGAGAAGAGGGCAGCGGCCAGGGAGGGCGAGGAGGCAGAGGCGGGTAGGGGAGGCTGGCGGAGCAGCTGGGGGCCAGAGTAAGGGAAGCAGAGGCAGCGGGAGGACAGGAGGGATCGCCAGAGCGAGAGGTGAAGACGGAGGGAAGACAAGCTAAGCGCCAGCCGCGAGTGAAGGGAAGGGCGTCACCGTCACGTCTGGCGGCATATCAGGATCGGGGCGGGTAGGGGAAGAGGCTGAAAAAAAGGGGCCCAGACGTGCTGACTTACGCCCAGACTAATGGCTACCTTGACTGCTTGCGACGCTTCCAAGGGCCGGACGAGACAGCAGACCGAGCAGACGGCGAGTAGGAGAAAAGAGCGTCGTGTTAGGGGACGGACGGGACGGGCGGAGCATGCATGGAGTTCCCAGCTTTCACTCTCTGTACGCTGAGATGGGCATACGTCACGTCGGGTGCTTGGAGACGCAAGAGGCGGAGTTCTATATGCTCTCGGGCTAGAGAGAGATACGTCTGTATGCCTATCACAAGCGACGCTTCTCTCTATTCTCGTCTCTTTCTCTTCCATCGTCTCTTTCGCTGCCTTTTTTGCTTCTTTCCATCTCGCAGCCATCCCCTTGCTTACTAAGATTACATTCACGTGATGCCTTTTCGGCTTGATAGGAGGAAACTGGAAAAATTGCAGAGGCTTCGGGGGGTTTTGATAGCAGTTCCATCCATTAATAAAGAGTATAAGAATAATAAGAGGCATCTAGAGAGTTGACCAACTACGTGCACGGAGATAGCGAGAGGTAGGATGCGTAGAGAGTCGTGATATAGTCCGGGTGTATCTGTCTGTTCGGCGGCGACCAGTGGGAATCTTTCGTTGGGTTCTCCTCTCCGCTTGTCAATGGCGCCGTGTTCGGCGATATATCTGCGTATGTCTTTTCGGTCGATAATCCTGGATTTGTCGTCCCCCGACGTGGGCATATTGATGGGTAGAGAGAGGGAGGTCAGGGAGGAGTCATTATTCTTTACGTACAGCTGAAAGATGGCCCCTGGTGAATATCTATAGACGTCAGCCCGTTGGCTCGCTGCTACTCAGGGCGGCTACAGGAAACATGTGTATCTGCCTGATCTAATGAATATATTCTCTTTAGCTCATCATGCTTAACCGCCCCTTTCACTATTCAGCCTCCGTAACTTTTATTCTTGTTTTTTTACTTTCGTCTCCTCACTAGTTATTTAGCCGGGCGGTAAGGCACCCAAGTCTGGTATACCCTAATGGAGACGAGGTCACAGCATCGAAGGGTTGAGACGACTTCACAATTGGATTGGCTAATTCGTATGTCGTAAGACGTACATGTGGTGGTAGGTGCTTGGATAGCTTATAGCTTCCCTCGAAAAATCACATTGGCAATTTCCCGTACGGAGTAAATAGTTTATATATATCAAGGCCAGGCCAGCATGGCAAGGGTTCAACGTCGGAAGTAAAAGGTACGGGGCAAGAAAGGGCCAACTACCCGGCGTCACGCTCACACATTTAACATAGACGTGGGATCTTAACCTCGTCGATAAAAATCTGTCGAGCTGGCGATTTGCAAAAAACATCCAAACATGACTTGGTCATTTTATCTCTACAACAATGTCGGTATCGATTGTATTCGTGGGTGCAGATTGCCGACTGGAAGACGTACCATCCACAGGTGCACCCCGTCCTTGGGTCAATACGGAACCCTTTGTTTTTCGTGAGATACGGCAATATCTTATTAGGCTGGATGTATTGTAAGGGAGGCTCGGGACTTTCCCTCTCGGGCTCAACGTTTTTGGGCGTCGACGGTGTAGGCGTAGGAGGCTTGACGCAGACATTCTCAGTGTTGTATGTGCTTGTGTCAGTTACTTTCGTATCTTTGGATGCGGCCTCTTGACGACGCCGCTCATCTTTATGTTCGATTTGCTTGGATTTGGATCGTCGTTCCTGGAATTGTCTAAACCTTGAAAGTTTGGATTTTGCAGTTTTGTATTTCGTTATCCTGTTGCTTTCTCCCTTGATTTTGGTAATTCGAGGTTTTCCTTTTCTTGTTTCGGCCATGTCCCGTGGTAGAACGAGCGGAAGTAAGTATTTAAGTAAATCAATAATGTAGAGTATAGATTATAGCCAGCAACTTCAATATATGTAGTTAGTTATGCGAACGAAGAAGCTTAGAGCATACAGCTATTCATGCATGGAAGTCCAGAGAGTGGCTTGATTTAATACCTACATCCACGGTAGTGCTGGCTCAATCAGTATGAAATACTTTGGATTGCAATAAAGATGGTTTATCTTTTAATCTACACACAATACCTGCGGCTTCTCTCACTTGAGGTGAACCTCCGGCATTTTGAGCCAAATCCCCGCATCCTTCAACCGCCCGCACACTTCCAGAATGATCGATTCAAGAAGGCGGTTTCATTTCAGCAATGGCATCGACGACTTGGTGGATATGAAGTGGAATGTCATCGATTGGGATACTCGTCGATGGCTACAACTCGTCGGCCCTTCTGAGCTACTGGGCGGAGATGATATTGAAGCGTATAGGCATATAGCAGCCCGATTCGCAGACCGGCTTGGCTTAGACCAACACACCATAGTTGTGGATAAGAACGGGGCCCTGGAAAAGTTCACTCGTGAAGACGTTACCATGGAAGTGCGATATCCTAAATACACGGGGCCTATGGAAAAGGATCAAGTTATACGCAGGTCGGAACTTACTGAACTTGATAGGATCAATGCCTGTGCGGATTTGGTGGAGTACAACTCCTCTGATGGTGAGACGACTGGGGAATGTCTCGTTTTCAAATATACCATCATCGATAATATTCTCTTGAATCTCTGGCAGAATCTCCATATACTCAAAAGGATTGCAGGGCAATGATCTCTTTGTCCCATTCCACCGCATCGTCATCGACGATGTGAATGAGACAATCCTCGGGTTCACCTCTATATATATGTCTGGCGGAACTCTCAAGGATTACCGCGGCACTTTCTACTTCCGCTGGTTAAAGCAGATCACCGATGCAATCGATCAGTTAAATTTACGCTACGGAATCCTGCACCAGGACCTTGCTCCTCGGAATATTCTGATTGACCCCACAACGCACGATTTGAAGGTCTTCGACTTTGATATGTCGGCAAAGATGGACGGGCAGAACGGGCTGACTACTTCCATTGACGTTAACTCCGTCATTATCACAGTGTATGAGGCGTTAACAGGAGACGAGTAATTCGTTCGCATACCGCCTTGGGAACGAGATACCAGCAATATTGAAAAGATGGAAGAGTGGAGCTTACAACTTCCTCTTGAAGATGGATTTGATATCTCGGATTACAGGAAATATTTGAGTGAATGGGCAGCTGTACGCCGGACCACAAAGACGATAAAGCACTTTTCTGAAGCAACAGAGCCGTTATCAATACCAGAGTACCCCAAACTTGTACCATATCAACCACGAAACGAATTCAGAAATTTTGATGTGTACACGCGGTCGAGAGCTGTGGCAGAGGAGGCTGGGGATTATGTTACACGTTGGGAGAGACCGGCGCAGCACGAGTTGACTACATCCAATTGAGCAGAACTTGCCTTGCATCTTGCACCTTGGCCGTCTTAGACTCCTACTCAAGTTATATATTGAGAATATAGAGACACTGTGATGTATTGCAAGGATATAGCCAGATGTTTCTATTAAACCATGGTATCTTTTTTCTCGCTATGCAGTTTCTAGTTTTTATGACCGTGATAATCATACACATGCATTTCGTTGATTTTGTTCCCAACCGTAAACATTCCAATATCCATTTAAACTAACGGCAAGGAGGAACCAATCCTTCATTCGTTTATCTCATTAAGCAGACGGGGAGTCTCCATCATGCTGCACATCCATCGTCTCCATTTTCTCCTTCATTTCTTGCTCTTCACGCGCAACCTCTTCCTCCCAGTCTTCAACTACATCATCATCAGCATGTGCATCAGCACCGTCCATTCCCAAAGCGCCAAATCGCGAGGCAGTGCCAACGGTTCGTCCTAATCCAATGCCGCTACGCAGTACCAGTTTTCCTTTCGAGTCGCTGGGCGTAGAAGTTCCAAATCCATAAGGAGAAGCTTCACCTGGGCTGCTGCTTGTGCCCGGACGCTTTCTCGATACAACCTGTGCCCATCCGTCATTGGCTCTGGCGGAAGATGCTTCTTTAAGAGCAGCTTCAAGCCTAGCACGTTCAGCGGCCGCCTCACGTTTGGCGGCTCTTTCTTTCAGTCGTTCTCTATCACGGAACTTGGCGCAGTCGCCTACGCTGATTCCTCGAATACCTATTCCTGGTCCAGCAAGGGAGGGCGGCAACCAGCCGCCAGACTTAAAAACGACGACATGTCTATGGGGTTCTGGGTCGAGACTTTCGGATTTGAAACCCCAATCTTCCGCAAGCGAGTGGACGAAGGCACGGAAATTGGCTCGAGTAGGTGGGAAGCGAGTTGAGCGGTCTGTCATACTACGAGCCAGTTCGTAGAGCTTGGATTCGTAAGTTTCCATGGTCGAGAGGGAAGAAGACGAGGCTAGTTCCATGTACATGTCAAGTGTTTCTTTGGAGTAAGGGAGGTTCTCCAGTGTGAGTGGTTCGGACGCTGTTGCAGTGCTGGATGGATCGACCTCGAGTCCAAAAGCAGAAGCAATGGTGCGATTACGCTGAATTCGACCACATTCTTCATCACAGGGGAGAGAAGATGGAGCTTCGTGTCCCTGGCGATCCTTATCCTTGGTTGCACCACAGCGTTTTTCCTGCTTAATTCGTCCGCACTGGCAGGTAACTGTAACCTTTGACTGACATGGTGTCTTCTCTGGACACGGGAATGGTGCATGGCATGGTTCGGTGCAGGTGTGGGAGCATTGCTTCTTAATCTTCCCACACTGTTGCTGGCAACTAGTTATAGAGTCTTCACAGTCGCCGGGGCGGTGACATTCCTTTTTGCATGTATGCGAGCCACACTGGAGTTCCTGGCCACAAACAAGTCCGCATCTAGCATCAACTAGCCAACAGGGCTGATTCTTGAGCACCTTCTTTCCACATAGACACTTCTTTTCCGTCAAGAATGGGCATTTGGGACAGGATTCGTCGTCTGTATGGCAGTTATGTGGTGTCTGGGGGTGACCACATCGTTTGGACCGGCCGCAGTTGAAGTTGCAGGCTGGCGGTCCTGTTCCACAGGGTAGAGGAGGGTAGAGTACAGATCTACCGCAGTTGCATGTAATTTCGTGGAATATGGCTTCTGGACATCTAGCACAGGGACCTCGATGGCACAGCTCCTGGCACTCGTGGGTACCGCATTTGAGGAGTTTCCCACACACGCGCGTGCAGATGTGCTCTGCCTCAATGTCACTTTCATCAGTCTGCCGAACATTCAGGGACTTTAGCTTCTTCTTAGTCGCGAGTCGTTCAATGGCTTTGCGTTCGCCAGTACAGCAATGCTCGCCACAGGCGTGTCTGCCGCAGTTGAGCGTGGCCTTGCACACGCGCATACAAGAAGGTGCCTCTGTCTTTCCCTGGTGGCAGAGGGTTTTCGCTGTAGTTCGTCCACACATACAAGAGACCTCCATGGTGAGGTAGCATGGTGGACAGGGTCCAGTATGACACGACTTGGGGCAAGGATGGCCACATCTCAGGGGCTTGTCACAGCTCTTCTGGCAGCTGGGAATAGGATCCGTACAAGCTATGCGTGGCTTGATATCCATATCGACAAGCTTGGTCTTCCCACAGGCGCAGTGGGAGACCATATCGGGGGCTGTAGGGCAGTGAGAAGGAAGTGTGTCCTGAGGATGACAAGATTTTTCACAGTGGTGGATGCCACAATCAAATAGTCTGCCACAGATATCCGGACAGGTGAAAGAACCTATCCAAGTTTCTTCCTGATTCCGGGACTCTCTTTCTTCTTCCTTGACATTGCACAATATCTGACTAGTAACCTTGCCGCAGTAACATCTTGCTGGAACTAGCTCTTCACACTCTCCACAAAGGCCTTCATGGCATGACCGTTGACAGGTATGTTGTAGACATGGGAGAAGCTCCTCACAGGTTTCTTTGCAGCTCCAACCAGAGACGTAGTCCGTGTCTACGCATTTCTTCTGGATCTCATGTCTTCCGCAATAGCAGCTTTGTACAGGGCCCATGGCCTGACAGGGAGCACAGGGGCCAGCATGACAGACGGAATCACAAGGATGAGGGCATCCCTCCCTTGACCTAGAGCATGACTGGCCACATGAATGGGGTGGGAGGCCAGGGACAGATCTGATATCCATCTCCTTCTCACACCAACAAGTATACCCTGACGGAAGAGTGTCTTGAGGCAGATTACAGCCGGGACATCTCCACTGGCGAGCAGGTGGAAGCTCGGAGTCATCCTCCTGCTCCTGGTCCCGCGGTCTTGTATGTACGGATCCTTCGTTAGTCGACCATTTCTTGATACAGTGAAGATGGAAGACGGTCCAGCACTGTCTGCAGGACCAGACCTTTGATCTGGGGCCGAGTTCGGACGTGCATATGGGACATTCATATAGGTTGTTCGAAATGTCTTCGTGGATGCGCGTGGTGATGTTATCGGCTACCGACTTTGTGAGAGGCTTGGTAGGTTTCTTTGGGTGCCGTCGGGGCTGTTTCGAGGGGGAGGAAGACTGTTCAGGAGGGTTGAGAGTCTTATGAGGCTGCCCGGGAACGAATTCCGAGGCGTCAGGCCGTAGGGAAGGAGAAGACTCGGCTTCGGCACTGTGTCTCTGGTCCTGGGATGCTGCCCCGTTCGTGTGTCTCGAAGACGAGGACTCGGTTGGCTGTGTCAACCTGCCACGGAACGCCCTTGTGGTGACTACTTCTGACCGGCCGGCATGGGAGGCGCCTCTCCCTCTCCCCCGGCCTCGTCCTCCCCTCGCTCTCCGTTGCTGGTGTTGCTGTTCGTGTGGTTGTTCTTGCGTCGTCCGTTGCTGCAGCGGTGGCTGCGGCGTCCCATTCGCAACTGCGTGCGCATCGCCTCTCCCTCCCCTGCCTCGACGATGAGAGCCTCTGCCTCTCCCGCCACCTCTATGATCTCCCTGAGACCTCGACGGGGCCTGAGCCCCCAGAGACGAAGCTGTCGTAGTAGACGCGGGGACGTCTATTGAAGATGCCATGCTCGGCCGGATAGCAACGCGCGCACCAGACAGAGCACACGCGATATCTAGTGTGAATCCAAGAAGGAGAAAAGCAGTTCAGAACAGTGAATACAGAGAAGAAACAGCTTCTTCTTCTTCTCTTTATCTTCTGTGCAAAGCGAGAGCTTGACCTTAGCTTCTGGCTGATGCTGGGCTGTTTTTATAGGCAAGGAAAAGAAGCGAGAGAAGCTCCGTCAAAGGAGGCGACGGTGAAGAAACGAACTAATTAAGGAGAATCCGCTAAAGGACAGAAATAAGAAGCAGAAAAATGGGAATAAACAGCAAAGGAGAAGAGCTTTTGCAGGCAGAGACAGCTGTGATATAGAAAGATTCTTAAGATTCGGTGACGAAATTTAATGTTTGATCTTTTTTGCTTTTTCTTGCTTTGGTGGAGAATCGAGTCATCTTTGCTATTGAGTCAGTGTCCGGATAGAAGATATCTATACGAGACGGCGATGAAGGCGAAGACAAGACAGAAAAAGAATATACATTAATCAAGACGAGATGAAGACGCTCATGCTAGTCAAGGTACAGAGATCATTAGGTAGGTAAGGTGGGTATGTAAGTGAAGAAAAGATGGGATCCAAATATCATCACGGTAGGAAAAGAACCATCTCGCCGTTATCATTCCGCTTGACCCTCAACGTCCGCCAGAGCCGCTGCTCTTCCTCCTCCTTTCTCTCCTTCTCTTCAGCCCGGCTGCGTCCCCGGCCGCGTCTGCTGCCCCGCGAGCTCTCCTTGCCGTCCTTGTCCTTGGACTCCGGCGAGCCAGAGCGGGACGGGGACTCGAGGCGGTGGTAGCGCTTCAGGATCTTGTGGACAGAGCATCCGCGCTCGCTGTCAGGCCCCTTGTTGACCAGGGAGAGGAAGATGCTGGCCTTTTCGAAGCGCAGGTTCTCCTCAAACTCGCTGTCGTTGCCTGGTTGGATGCCGCCGTTCTTGTACAGGACCATCTGGCTGTTGTCGGTCTTGCTGCGTTTGGCGGCCCCTTCGTCCGAGTCGGTAGAGCGTTTGTACTCGATGGCCTTCATCTTGCGCTGATCCTTCTCGGGCCGTTCCGAGTCGGAGTCTTCAGCCCCGTTCCCTGCGGCGCCTGTGCTGCCGCTGACCTTGCGTCGGCTCTTGCTGGAGCTGCTACCCACCTCGGACAGCTGGCGTGTCTTGGGCCGTTTGGTCTTCTTTGTCTGCACCAGCTCGCGTGACGTCGAGGCTGCAGGAGCTGGCGCAGGCGCAGGAGCAGCGGCTGCACTCGACCCCTCAGAGGTGCGTCTCTTGGTTCGTACAAGCGCCTTTGTTGCCGGGTCGATAGTGGCGCCAGCACCGAGCAGGGAGATGAGCTTTCCTGTCGTGCGACCCTGTCCCTTCATCGATATCCCCAGTCCGTTTTCTCCGGACCCAATGGGCTCCTTGGTGCGTTTGCTACGCTTGATGGGGGAGTTGGGCTCGCCGTGGCCACGGGATTGGTCGCTGCGGTACTCGTCAGAGTAGTCTGGCGAGACAGAGTAACGCATCATACGGCTGAGGTTGCCGGTCAACCCTGAGTGCAGGATGGGAGGCGGGCGATCGTGATAGGAAGTATGAGCTGCTGCTGCAGCGGCGTCCATCATGGGAGTATCGGCCTCGTAGACATAGCCGCCTGGCGTAGTCAAGTTCGCGTCAGAAGGGCCGGCCTGCCCACGTTTCCGCTTCTTGTCACTCGTGGTGAGACTCATGTTGCTCATATTGCTGTCTGTCCGGTGACGCTCTAGCGAAGGGGGCGGACGGTTCATGTTGATTCTTGCGTTCCGGTCGTTGAGCCACTGCTGCCGCTCCCGCTCCCATTTCTGCGCTGGCGTCATGAACTCGGCGGATGCAGTGGACAGGTTGGAATCGTGTCTGTACGGCGGTGCAGGCGGGATAGGGCCCGCTCCGTACGAGAAGCCGTTCTCTTCGTACGCAACATCGTAGCCGGTGTCCTCCTCCTCCTCGTCCCTGTCGCCGTCTATCCGGGCGAGCTGCTTCGGCGAGTCGAAGATCGGGGGAGCATGTTCCACCATGGTCATCGACTTGTTGAGATCCGTCCGGGAGGCGTTGGGCGTGGTCGACTCATCGAGGAAGTCGAACACATCGATCTTCTCAGACCTTGGTTTAGCCACGGTGGTGTCTGTGTTTTTAAACGGCGGAGGACTGGGTGCTGGCGGCGGTGCGCCCTTGTAGTCGTCGTCTGCATCAGGCGCGTCCTCGACGTAAGGGTTGAGCGACTTGACAACTGCGTCCTCAGCTATGGTGACAGCTTTCTTCTTCGTGTTCTTCGCTGGTTTCTCTTTATATAGTGCGCCCTGGTACTTTTGCGCCTCGGTCATGCATGACTGTCCATCCTGTTAGCTTTTTCCTCTTCTTGTTGTCCCGTCTTTTCGCTCCTGATGCAGGGCGGCCAATGGGGGGGGGGGGGAGGTGGTTTATGGCAGGACCGCAGCCTGAAGAAGAGCCACGCCGGCAAGACGTACAGTGTGAGATCGATACTCGGTGCCCTGGAAGTGCACCATGCAGTCCAGGCACGAGAAGGAGGCGCCGCGACAGTGGCCACGGTGGGAGTCGAGCTTCTTCTTCGTGAGCACATCTCCACAGTTCTTGTATCCCAGGGTTAGTTCGACTCGGCCGGCGCAAAGGACAGGGACAAGAAAAGGACAACTCACCTCACATTGGAACGAAACCATCGCAGCGTTCCTGTCTGTCTATATTAATTAATACGGGGCGGGTTTAGGCGCTGGCGTCTGCGCTGTGAGGATGCGCTGTTTGGGATGCGATGCGATGCGATGCGCTGGCCCAGCGAGCAGCGAGCAAGCAAGAAGGGAGCGAGATAAGGCTGATGCCGCCGGGCTTATAAGGCGAGCCGTCTCCTGTCTGTCTGTCTGTCCGTTTTGTCTGTCTTCTGGCGCCCTCGCTGCCTGTCCCTTCTTTCGCTCCTAGTTCTGCGTGTCGTTGCTTTTTCTTCGAGCCTCGCGACAAGAAGAAGTTTTTGCAGCCTGCCAGAGTGGATTCGGATAGGCGGAGGCGCAGCCTATATTTAGCACTAGAGAGAGACGGCGGGACGGCGAGATGAAGATAGAAGACGAAGATGAAGATGCACCTTGAGCGTATACTGTTATATAGATGCAGAGAGACGTTGATATGCGATACGCTCGCTGTGCATGACCTGAAACCGCGCGCGACGTTGCTTACCGCCGTCCTTGCAAATATATATAGATATGGGATATATGGGTGTCTTTCTATCTACAGGGGCATCGACACGGCCAGGAAGGTATTTATATGCCCGAATAGACAGACATAGCTGCCCATGTAGACAGACAGAGCGGAAGAGATATAGCGGTAGACAGATATAAGCGCGCAGCGAATCTATACGGCTCGCACCCTCCTGACCCCCTATCCCATGATCATCAAAGTCTAATGCGCAACACCAGACACCCTCGTCTGCGCCCTCCTGCGCCCCTGTTGCATCCTGTTGCGCTCTGCTGAAGTCTACTGCTGACTACGGACAGGCATCCTGTCGCCAGATGCGAGGTCTGATGGCCGGGAGGTGGTGCCTGGTTTCAGGAAGCAGCGTCAACAAAAGTCTCCAGGGGGGGGGGGGGGGGGGGAGGGGGGATATATGCTTCCTTCTATATCACAATTCTTAATATACACACAGAAAAAGAAGAAGAAGAAGAAGAAGAAAAGAGAAGCAGTAATAACGCCGGCTGAGAATCATGGTCACTCGTCACTTTCGCATTTGTCCACGGGATGGCTGTGGCGATGCTGAAGACACGGGATAGTATATATATAAAAGGAGATAATCACGGCGCTTAGATCAACCATTCGTGCGTCTGCAGGGTATCACTTGGGGTTAGAGAGATGCTTCCAGAGAGAGAAGAGAGAGAGAGAAAAAAAAAAAGAGGAAGAGAGTAAGCATGCTTACGGCTCATCCGTTATTTCCACCGGGCCGCCAGGGAACGGCCCGTTTGCGTCTCCCCAAAGCATCTTCTTCGGCTTCCTGGGTTTGGTGCTGTCTTCCTGCGTCTTGACGCCATCGTTTGCGCCGCCTTTGCTCTGGCTCTGTTTCTGGTCATCCGCCTTCTTCTTATCCTTGTCATCGCCGCAGCCACAGTCGTAAAAGTCGCCTATCTTGGTACAGTCGAAGAGATCCTTCCTCAGCCGTCGGTTTACCTCGTTGTGTACCAGACAGCCCCAACCTGCGGCGGCGTTCCGTGACGAGGTCTGTGGGGGGTACTTCTGGAGCAATTTGATGAAGTGTGCTGCGCAGTCACCACTACAACATTGCAATATTCATGTTAGCCTTGTAACTAGTTGTCCTCCCGCCCCCTCCCCCTCAGGGGTGCCACGTTACTGCTCCGACACATACCATGGGTATAGTCTCGCAAAGAGGTACACATATGCACTCAATGCCCTCTGCTCTTCGCCTGTCGGTTTCTCGGGGTACCGTGCCATCACCGTGTGGAAGAGATGCCACGACGACCGTCCCAGCTCGGCCCTATCCAACATAGTAATCAGCGTCAAGGTCCTCTCTCACCCAAGGTCACTGAGTGCCCTTTCGAACAGAAATCCACCTACTTGGCTGTGCTATTCTCCAGGGTCGGCATGATGGACTCTCCCTGCAGCAGCGACAGCGGGACATTGCCGTCCTTCGGTATGGGCTGCTGCTGCTGTACTAGGTGGCCAGGCGCCCTTTTCTCAGGGCTTATGGGCGAGACTCGGAAGAAGGAGATGGTGAGGATGAAGAAGACCGCAAGAGCAGTCAGGATGAAGAACCGCGACGCCGGTCGGTGAGCCAACATCATGGCTGCGAGGTATACGCCGTAGCCCGGTACGCCTTGTCGCTATTCGTAGTGTATCAACAACGGTCTGTCGGAGGTGCTGCTGGCATTGAGCGCCGTTCACAGGCACGCTACAGCATACGGTGTGAAGAAAGAGAAAAGCGAGAGTAAAAGGAAAGACGAGGACGAACTGCCGACGTGTCCTCCTTTGTGCTTCCCCGCCAATAGTCAGAGCGACAAGTACGAGTAAGCCCGGCCGGTGGTGTCTCTCCTATAAGGCTTCTTCGCCTTCTTTGCTTCTTCTTTGCTTCGTCTTCGTCTTCGTCTTCGTCTCGTCGTGGCCAGATCCGGGGGAAAGGGCGGCTGCTTAGTCATGCTCATTGTCGTGTTATTCAGCCCCTTTTCCGCTTGGGCCTTTTTTTTGCCTTCATCACGAGCGAGCATCAGGATAGAAGATGACAGCGAGGAAAACGCTGGTGAAACCGATGCAAAACAGCCGCTCGGTTGCTGGTCAGGGATGCCAGTGGCTGTCAGCTCTGTCTCGCCGGTGACAACCTTACCATCAATTGACTCTTGCATGGCAGCAGAGCTAAGTTAAAAGATGCAGATGGCCACCCATATAGCGTCATCAAGCCAACATCAACAGCCGCAGCTACCAACAACTAACAGAACCACCCTTGCAGCCTCAACGGGACTCCACACGCTAGTTGATGCATATCTGGGGAGTCGAGATGCCAGCCCCGATCGGATACCAGATCTATACCCCCCTTCTCCCATCAAGACCAGGATGGGCTGTAAATCGTGTCTATGGACCCGCAGGCAAACAAATACCGTCATCGGCTCACCGAGTGCTGACCCTTGGTTCCAGTCTCGAGAGGCAACGGATCAGATAAACAAGAGCCAGTGAGCAGCATGGACAGCAAACAAGCTATTCGGTATGCCGTCGATTCTCCGGAATGGCCAAACAGACCCAACGCCCCGACGTAGGCTTGCTTCTCGGTTCATGACGTGCGCTTCTAACTCTTATCTGATCGCACACACAGAGGGGAAAAAGGGCCGCCCCCTCGACCAGAAATAAACCATCCTCACCTTCTTTTCTCATGGACGCAAGCTCGCCCAAGTCTGTTTTTTTTTTTTTTTTTCTTCTTTCATGAGAGCTCTCTTTCATTGCTGAAGAGCTCGTGTCTCCTCCTCAGCCTGACCACAGCGGCACACTGTAATACCTAGCTATTCATCTCCCTCAATTCCCAGAATAGGAAATTACTGCCTAGCCCACTATGCTGGAAAAGAACAGCAGCGCTGTCTCGGACAGCCTGCCTCCAACCGTCCATAATGCAGCTGAAACAGAGGCACTTGTTGATGATGACTCCAACTCTGATAGTATCCAGTTTGGAGTCAAGCAGGCCGAAGCCGTTGCGGCAGCTTGGTCTCGAAAGTCGCTCATCATAGCCTACGTCGGGTACGTGCGGTTCTTCTGCTTCCCTCTACTTTGGCCAGCCGGCTAATCCACTACATCAGGGTGTTCGTGGTCTTCTTCGTCAACTCCCTGCAGCAGCAGATGGCTAGCAGTCTTAACCCCTATGTCACCAGCGCCTTTTCGAAACATGCTCTTCTATCCTCCATCTCAGTGGTGTCAAGCCTTGTGGGGGCCATCATGAAGCTTCCTGTCTCTAAGATCATTGATATCTGGGGGCGTACAGAGGGATATCTGTTAATGGTTGGCTTCTGTGTCATCGGTAGGCCCTTCATCCTGCGCTAGAGGCGGCCATACTAACCAGACTTACACAGGCATGGTCATGATGGCTACTAGCAACTCCATCGAGGCATACGCAGCAGCTCAGGTAAATAGCCCGGCATTAACGTCCTCGCGCCTCAACTGACAGTTTGATAGGTCTTCTATTGGATTGGTAATAATGGCATTGCCTATGTTCTCGACGTGTTTCTGGCAGACACCTCTAGCCTTAAAAACCGAGGGTGGCTTCTTGCATTCTCTACCAGCCCCTTCATAGCCACTACTTTTGCCGGTCCTGCATTAGCACAGGCATTTCTCAAGACCTATGGCTGGCGGTGGGCGTTTGGGACTTTTGCCATCCTCATCCCGGTTGCTTCATTGCCAATGGTAGCCATCTTTCTCCACAGCAGCTTCAAGGCTGTGAAGATGGGATACTTAAGAGCAGGCAGGTCTGGCCGTTCTTTCTGGCAAAATGTCGTTCATTACACGATTGAATTTGATGGTATGGTGGCCATCTTGACTAATGTTTATGCATAGACTGTACGGCTAACCCTTTTCACAGTTGCTGGGATGATTCTTCTTGTTGCCGGGCTTACTCTCTTGCTTCTTCCAATAAACTTGGCTACTTACCAGGCTGAAAAGTGGAGGTCACCCGCCATGATCTCAATGATTGTTATCGGCGGATGCTCTTTGTCCGCCTTTGCCACATGGGAGATTCGATTTGCCAAAGTCCGCTTTGCACCCTTCCATCTATTAACTGACAGAACTGTGCTTGGAGGTTGTCTCGTGAGCGCAACTCTCTTCCTTAGCTTCTAGTAAGGTTTCCTCCTGTGTTAATATCAGCTACGTATCCTTGCTAATTGTAGCTTACAGCTGCTGGGACTTGTACTTCCTGTCATACTTGCAAGTCGTCCACAACCAGAGTGTCCGCAATGCAGGCTATATTGCAAACATTTTTAATATCGGAGGTTGCATCTGGGCCCTTGTAATTGGAGCGTAAGTCTTCCAAGTCCCCATCCTTTTAATGCGTCTCCCTATTTTTGCCTTTACCTCTCGACCCCATAATACATACTAATAGAATCTCCAGCATCATACGCGTAACTGGGCGCTTTAAACCATTCGCCCTCGCCGCCGTTCCCCTCCAGGCGCTCGGAATCGGTCTCATGATCATATTTCGTCAACCGGGCTCTCACATCTCCCTAGTGATTGTCTGTCAGTGCATCATTGCCATCTCTGCCGGCACGCTACAGATCTGTGAACAGATAGCGGTCATGGCAGCAGCAAGCCACAGCGAAGTAGCCATTGTCCTGGCTTTGCTGGGCCTGTTCAGCAACATCGGTGGAGCAATTGGCCAGACCGTCGCGGGGGCCATCTGGAGCCACACTATTCCGGAGCAGCTTGAGATTTTGCTTCCAGCCTATGCAAAGGATCAAGCTGCTGCGATCTATGCATCCCTGACCACTCAGCTGAGCCATCCCGTGGGGTCACCCATCCGCAACGCCATCATTGTCGCCTATGGTGAGGGCCAACGCTGGATGTTGGTTGTAGGAATCGGTGTCCTTGCTCTCGCCATGTCTTCGGTCATTTTGTGGAGAAACATCCAGCTCAAGAATGTCCACCAGGTCGGGGGCACCATCGTCTAATGTAATAATCTAATCGTTGCAGTCGGAGTTTAAGGTTTATACTTTCTTGTCGGTCCGATACTGGTTTTCTCCCGTTCATCATTAAAAGTTTGTGCATTATCTTGCATCAATAATGTATATATATATATATATACATATGTGCACTTCATAACTTCTTCGGCGTCTTTGTCTTATTCCTTCTTTCGGGTATGCGGCACGTTCAAGGTTGACGTCAGGTGAGGCTCCGGATCAATATTCTCCGCACGCCCTGCTGACTCATCCGCCCGTAACCCGCGACCTCACCTTCCAACTCGTGTTCGACCTCGTAACTAACTTTCACCCCAACGCCTGACAAAAGACGAATGTCGAGACGCCAGTCCTGGAGGATACTCGGGTGTTGCGATACTGCAGCATGATATGACAGCATTGCACCACGCCGGAGACATGGGACTATGGAGGACAGTGGGCATAGGACCTTGCAGATCACCATGTTGTGGACAGCACTACCATCTGGGCAGAGCGCTGAGTAACTACAAAGGTCATGACCCAGGTCAACTAACTAACACGAGCTCTCAGGTTCCAAAGCTTGTGCTGTACTGATTTTATGTGCATAAATACATAAAATACGCTTTGTGCACATTATGAGGAGACTCGTTTCCGTGCGTAGGTTCCGACTGACGTTCCCGTCCTGCCACCATCTCCACGCCTGGTCTACGGACACAAGGAAGGGGAGAAAAAAAAAAAAAAGGAAATAGGGGGTAGGAGAGCAGACGCTGGAGTGTTTTTGCCGATCCACCATGATAAAATTGAACCACGAGTCATGGGTTCCATGGGCTTGTTTTCGCCAAAGAGAAAAAAAAAGGGGGGGATTTTCTCGTGAAGAAAACAATGCTTTGTTCGGCCATTTCTCTCGATGATGATAGCTATGCCTTGTCATGGGCATAATTAATAATAATTTTTATGTACCTTGATCCGGAATATCCATGTGCAGGCCAAGGCCCTTGCTGGGTCTCATAATAATGGCCCTTCCCTGGGTGTTTCTGTACGTGCGAACAGAGCACATCCGTGCCTCTTCGGCAACTTTCTAGGCCGATACTTATCCCACAAGTTTCATCACCACTCCTATCAGACTGGCCTATAGGACTGCATGAATGACCCGCAGAGGCAAAAATGTCCATATACTGCCCTCTTTTGTGTCCATCTTAGCTCTGCTGTGAATGCATAACTCAATGCACGGCGCTGACAAAATCCATCTGGCCTAGCTCCCATCAGGTCACCTCGCGATGGGCTTCGAAGTCCACTGCTTGACCCCCAGGTGTGGGACCCGGATATATTTAAACAGTCTCCCGTCTCTGTTTACTTCTCCATTTACTTCTCCTCGTCTAGATGACCTTCGATAGACTTTTATCTTCCCTCTTCTCTTCTTGTACATACATACTCCGTACAAATATTCTGAGTGCCGGCTTCACTTTTCTAAAACCTTTCTCCGTTCCCAGCTCAAGATACCCCCCTACTTCCCCTACATACATAATCTCCACCGGTTATTGCCGTTAACCCCGTCACAGTCTTCCCGTCGTCCTTCTATATATAAGACAGATCCAATCGTTGCTGACCAACACATTGGCGCCGGGGGTTTATCTGGATAGACACATACATACTTCTCCTTTAAGCACCGGGCCAGAAAGCTGTCCGTAAGAGAAGTCCCACGATGTCTTCTCCCCCCCAAACATCAAAGTTGGAAGAGAGCGATAGTATGTAGTCCTGATACATGCATGAAGTAGGATCGTGGCTCCCTAATTCATTTGTCCTCCTAACCTTGTGTCTTCGTTTATAGAGGCCTCGACTATCGTTCCACCGGTTTCTGGAGATAATGGCAATACCCGGTTCTCAGAGAAGGGCTCGATTCCTAGTTCATCATCAGAGAACCTACAGTCTGACCAGACTATCGCCGAGGATCAGAACATATCTACGGTCATAACCTCGAATGGCAGTGCTGATGTTGAGAAGGCAATTCCAGAAGCCCCTGTCGCAACAAAAAGGGTCCCGGAAGGGTACAAGGAGTATAATGACCCAAATATCGTTTACTGGGATGGCCCAGACGACCCTGCACATCCACAGAATTGGTCACCGATCAAAAAGGTCGTCATAGTTAGCTGCGTCGGCCTCATTACACTGCTAACGTATGAAATTATATGCCTTTCAAGACTTTATCCTCTAAAGATACAGACTAGCTAATGTGTCGTCTTTAGTCCTCTTGGTTCTTCTATGTTTGCACCCGGAGTCGGTGAAGTGATGAAGGAATTCAACAGTACAAACCCGGAGCTTGCATCTTTCGTCGTATCGGTTTACCTCCTAGGGTTCTCCTTTGGACCTTTGATCGTTGCACCCCTTTCGGAAATGTACGGCCGTGCCCCTTTATACACCATCTGCAACGTTCTCTTCGTCATATTCAACATTGCTTGCGCCGTCGCCAACTCCCTCGAATCACTAATTGTCTTCCGTTTCCTTGCGGGCACTGCGGGCAGTGCTCCCTTGACTATCGGTGCTGGCACCATCTCCGATATGATTCGGCAAGAGAAACGAGGCGGTGCTCTTGCTGCATGGGCTCTTGGTCCACTGCTTGGTCCAGTTATTGGACCTATTGCTGGTGCTTTCTTAACTCAAGCGTTGGGGTGGAGATGGACTTTCTGGGTCCTATCCATTGCGGTAAGCATGGCTCTTTTTAACGGGTGGCTTAGAGCTTCCAGCTAATATATACATACGAATAGTCTGGTGCTGTTGCTCTCAACACGTTCATCTGGCTCAATGAGTCCTACCACCCAGCCATCCTGGCCCGCAAGACTAAACGGCTTATCCAGGAAACTGGAAACACCAACCTTAGATCTGCTCTAGACTCCGGACAGAAGCCAAAGGACCTCTTCTTTCAATCCATTGTCCGCCCAACGAAGATGTTATTCCTTTCGCCCATTGTTTTCCTTCTATCTCTCTATGCCGCCGTTGTGTACGGGTATCTCTATCTGTTATTCACAACCATCTCCGGAGTCTTTATCGGAAAATACCATTTCTCTCAGGGTGAGGCCTGCTCCTTTATTCTATCATACTGCTCAGTTTGAAAAAGCATGAGTACTAACCAACCTTTTTCTGTCTAGGTACTGTTGGCCTTTCATTCCTCGGCATTGGAATTGGTTGTCTCCTCGGGTTGGGCGTCCTAGGCATGACATCCGATCGTCTGCTCAAGTCCCTAGCTGCTCGGAACGGCGGCGTCATGAAACCTGAATATCGTCTCCCACCACTTATTCCAGGTAGTCTCTTTGTCCCTATAGGCCTCTTCTGGTATGGGTGGTCTTCGGAAAAGGGTGTTCATTATGTCATTCCTATCATCGGAACGGCATTTGTCGGCATTGGCATGATATTTACTTTTGTAAGCTTCGTATCATTCGGTTAATTCAATTCGCATTATGCTAACACGTTATCTCCAGATGACTATATCTACCTATCTGGTTGACGCGTATACCCGCCATTCTGCAAGTGCACTGGCTGCCAACTCTGTACTACGCTCAATAGTCGGTGCTGTCCTACCCCTCTGTGGCCAAAGGATGTATAAATCCCTCGGCTTAGGATGGGGTAATTCCCTTCTTGCGTTTATCGCCCTGGCCCTGGCGCCGCTTCCGATCGTCTTCTACGTATATGGAGAACGTATACGCACCAGCAAGCGCTTTGCTGTTATTCTCTAGAGCTCTTTCATCTCTTGTTTCGATAAAAATGGGCCCCCCTTTTTTTCTGTTTACTGTTGGCAGCCTGATATCCTTGATCTTATGAAAATAGTATTGCATTATGCATATAGATTCCCTCCATTTTCTCTAATCAAATAATTAATATTCCCAGAATAACAGCCTTGCGCCTTTTGCAACTAAGTAAAATATATTGTGCGGGTTTGGCTCGTAATTTTGATAGCTATCTGCCAGCCTTCCATGGATCAAGATAAACAGCGGCGTTTCCAAAATAGAGTTATGGTTGTGGTTTTGAGATAGTCTTTGGTTCAAATTTATGGGAGCCAATTTTTATGTGACTCAGTAACACAATACGAGGTGTAAATATATTGGCCTCTCCAAGCCGTCTTTAATATATCAGGCACAACAAACGTGTGAGTACGGTGTCACAAAAACTTGACATAAGGATATTCTTATAAAACCCTACAAATCAGCTAGGAGAACTTACTATCAGTCATGACGGAATTCCCAACTCATGCACTCAACTTACATGGCGGGTGCCTGTGTAAAGCCGTTCGGTATACCATAAAGGTGCCCCAAGCAAGTGATCGCGGAGCCGTCAAATTCAAGTCCCAGGCTCTGCCAGCAAATTCACGACCTGACGGTCGTGAGAACAAGGAAGGAGCGGAGAATGTCGTCAATATCGATCTTCCAATCATCTCCATCGATCACTGCAGCGACTGCCGCCACGCCGCCGGGGCTCCAGTGCAAGCATGGTTCATCTGCCCGCAAGAATGGATAGAGTGGGATGTAGCTGTTCTCTCCCCGGCAAATGGTCTTGAAGAACGTGTGAAACAGACAACACTTCAGGCCTGCTCGAAAGATGGCCAAGGGTTTTACGAAGATGAGCCAAACCCATATCTAGTGCCGACTTATTTGTCTAAATATTCGTCGTCGGAGGATGTCACTCGGACCTTCTGCGCACGCTGCGGTACCAACTTCACCTATTTCACTAAACGGCCGCGGTCTAGTCCTACTGGCTTGGTGGTAGACATCACAATCGGCAGCATGAACGATGAGAGCAGCGCAGTTACCCGTCCCACTCGGCATGCATGGTACGACTCTGGGATACCATGGCTCAGGACGCTGATGAGAGGAGCAGGCGCAGCGATGCCTAGAGCAAGGAAGGGCATATCCTTAGGTTTGATGAGAGAAGATGAAGAATAAAAAGATATAAGATATCGCAAATAGAAGCTATCAAAATATTCCAGCTCATCACTTCGGTCCTTCGTACTATCTATTATTGCATCTCCCTATCAAACCTTATTTATCTCAACTAAATACTAAAAATAAAAATAAGATGTCAATGATGACTAAGCGCAAAACACAGCAAGATGAAAAAAAAGGAGACGTCCCCGCACAGGATCGAACTGTGAACCTCCAGATGACTCAGCAAATTGCTGCTAACAGTCTGACGCGCTAACCAGTTGTGCCACGGAGACTTGTCTATGCGTAGGCTGTCTAACTTGTTACTCCATGACGGCACTCGCCGGCCTCTTGTACTGCATAACACCGCCATTCACCAGAGATTTGCCTTGTGGCCACCCTTTATTGGCGCCCAACAGCGTCATTGCGGCACGGCAGATATCCAGCTCGATAAGTCATATATAGACCCCTTCGCATTTCTTTTTTTCATAATTATTAAATATACGAATTTATCCTTGAGGACTACTAAAGACGTATCATGTTATATCGTCCTTGAAATGAATGTTCGGCTTGGAATATGAGGACAAACTCGGACGTTCCAGGCCTTATACTTGAGCAGGCGCAGGAGTCAGATGCCCAGCGCATTGTTGACATTCATGTCAAGACATTTAGCTCTAATCGCATGCTTCTGGCCCAATTTCCAACGGCAACTGCTCGAGAGGAACTGAAAACATTCCTTGTTGACCTGATAATACAGGAGATCTGGGACCCGGGCTATGCTGTATTTGTCGTCCGGAACGATCAGGGATGTCTTGTCAGTTTCGCACGGTGGTGTCTTCCACGATATACCCCTGATAGTCGCAGAGAAGTGCCGCTGCAATTACCAGAGGGCACCGATATGGGGGTTCTGAATGCATGGAGTGCAAGGGTCATGGATGTGACACGGAAAGTTATTGGAGATACGCCGCATTATCGTAGGTTAATTAACTATAGTTTCCCCGTCTCTATTCCCACGTTAATTACCCTCAAGATATGACCTTCATTGCTACCGATCCGAAGTACGAACGTCGTGGTGCGGCGACTTTACTTGTGAGACGGGCTCTTGAGCAATGCAATAAGGAAAGGGTGCCTCTAATCCTCGAGGGTACATTGAATGCTATCCCATTTTACATGAGGCTCGGGCTTGTTGACGAAGGGAGTATATCAATGGATCTAGAAGGTATTGAATCTAAACATGGGTCAAGCTTGTACGAGGAGCGACTCTTTGTTTTTAAGCCACGCCCTGTGGTGAATTAAAAGCGCTGGTAAACGGACTGGTTGTCGTGGCTATTATAGCATATTAAACCGGCATATGTGCTCTGAATTGTTGTGTGAAGCGGTTAGCACCAACAGTATCTTTCAATTGCAGCCCATTCCACAGCCGCCGTCTTGTCTCCCCCATTTCTCAGCCAGTTGAAACAACATATTTCATTATCAACCCTTGTTTTCTTCTGATACGGAACTCCAGTTCGCTGTATCAAGGCATGAATTTGGGGGCAAGGATCCCATATCTCTACCGAATTTACTTTCCACTCTGCGGCTTCATTCTGGGCTGCCCGTATTGCGTCTCTAGCATAACGAACAAGCAGCTCTTCGTCCTCGTTAGGCGATGGTTGCTGTGTGGGCTCAGTGGAAATACTCTGAAGAACAGCTTGATTCTCCACCACTAATCTCAGGATATATAGTGTGTTTGCTGCGCCTGTATCTCCTGGAGCTCCAACAAATCGGTGATTCCAAAGTATCCAAACTCTATTTCCGGGATCTCCCACAATAGCCCCCTTCCTCTCTGGCACTTCCCCAAAGAGCTTCTCACATACAAACTTCTCCCTACATCCATGCCATGATATATGATCAAGGTCTGGTATAACCATATGTCGCAATCTCCCTGAGTTTGTAGCAGTCATTGATTTCCGCACAAAATTCTCATCAAGCTTGCAAAGCGGGCCCAAGTCATCAATCAGTATCGGCATAGCGATGGGTATTGGCATAAGCGCTGGTTCAAATTTGATATGATGGCTGGGGAACGGCTGCCATCCGCGCTTTCCATAGAAATCTCCCCCAATATCGGAAAATAGAATGCTGGCAACGCATTCTCTCCCATCATCTTGCCAGGTTGGGAGCAGCAGGGACAATTCGTCCATCAATCGCGAGGGATAGCCTCGTCCTCGTAACTGTGGCTCACAGTATACACTTGCAATTCCATGAGTGATTGTGTCTTTGACGCTCCCATCTAGTTCCCGGGTAAGAGATGCTTTCCGGAAAGTTTCACACGAGGCGAGAATTATCCGTTGATCAGCCGGGAGAGTTTTATCAACTAAAATCCACTGAGTCATGCATCCATCCCTTGCTAGAGGAACGGTCATAAGGTACTGATATTCCTTCATGTATTCCGAAACAGTCAGAGCTCCCTTCCATTCCGCTGACGTATCCATCCATATCGAAAGATTCTCGTTCTCCGTTGGATGAGCGAGGTGTAGATTTGGAGATCGTGCGTCTGGCAAACAGTCCATCTCGAACTACTATTTTGGGCAAACACGCACTCTCCGGTGGACCTTAGGTTCGTAAAGATACCAATGGAGAGTACGTATCTCTTTCGATATTCCTTGGGTATAAAATTTGCTCCGATATGATATACGAAGAATTTTAGAAATTAGCCCATATCGGATACATACGTATGTTTTATTAACTATATAATCATTCAATTTTCATCAAGAAAATAATAGGAATCTTCTGGTTAATGAATTTTGAAGGAAGAACTCGCAAAGGGGTTAAATGAATCGGGCAGACCCGCTTCATCATTGCTTTCAATTGGATAAATATTAGGTAATTAGCCAATGAAAATGGGCTAAAACTAGAAACAGGGTGCTTGGCGTCCGATTATAGGTAATTTTGCCGGTATGTAAGGGGAACACGTAGCCAACCACGAAACGGTTCCTGATGGAGAAATGGTTAGTTATGTCGAACTTGTGTCCAGCGGTTGCCCAACGGTTACAAACTGCGGAACAATATACAGCCGCTTCCGATAACTGAAACTTTAAATTGGGGTCAGGTGGGTCGCCTGCCGTTCCAATGGCCAATGAACGCGAAACCGCTTCAACTTCCACAAAAGATATTTGTTGACAGCCTTAACAAGCAACTACTACTGAATACTGTTTATGGTATACCTACGGTGTATGTTATGTTAATCTCCCATTATATATCCTATATGAGTATCTCCAAGGGCAGGCTCTTCTTCCAATATGATAACTACTGCGCGGATTAGCTCCTCCTATTTCCTACCAAAACAGGGCGCTAACCGTCGAAAAGAGGGACCATAATGATACCTGACAGAAATAAATAACTATGGCATTGGGATGTGATTGTACTACTAGGAAGAGTGGGAATTCATTTTGCTAAACCTCAACTTTCAGATAGCTCCACTGCTGGTCTAAAGGAGTGAGAAGAAAAACTATCTCGGTGTGGTTGAATTGGCCAAATTGATTGTCGGGAGAGCCGTCATTGATTATAGCTGCTTAAACCCAACTTACGGAAAGCATTAGATTTCCTATGAAACACCGGTGCAGAATACTTACTTGACCGAAGTATAATGAAATAGTACCCCACCAAAATCGCTGTGGGAGCCTGAAGAAATCAAGCACAACGCCGTTTCGCTACCTTGTGTGAAGAGGTCCATATAGTCTTCAAGATATGGCTTCGTACTCCCATTTATTTGTCGGACGACCAGAGATGTAGGCATTTAAAGCCATCTACCGAAAAAGCTAGTTCCGTCATGTTTACATTTTGAAATTCTTATTATACTTAATACCAAGGGTTCACCGGCCAGTCCGAACCATGAGATAATACAGGTAATACTATATTTAGCAGGGATATCTGTTGAGTTGTCAATGCAAGACGGTTCGTAGGCGCGGCAATGTTCTGTTATGCACAATGACGCTTATACGACTGGCCTATGTGGGGAACATACTTGATCAAAGTGGGAGAGAAGCGTTCCACCACGCGACTAACTGAGCAAAAGTCTATGGGGTGTTTAAAGTGCATTTTCAACGGCAGCTAAGGAAGGCAGACGGGTTCAATGAAAGCTGAAACCGGGTGCTGGCTGAATAACAACACACGCTCAGACCTTGACCTTAACGTACCCCTATGAACTAAACACGATACTGTTGCTCGATCCAGCCCTCTGTTACTCCCGAAAGAAATAAGTCCGGTGGCTAGAGTCTGAATTGAACAAGGATGAGCCCCCTAGGTGCGCCCTCTATGCAACCCCACGCAAAGAATTGTTTCGCGATAAGTATGAACATATTCCGTGTGGCCAACAGAAAATCCACTCCACGGAGCTCGGTTCAAAATGCAGCGAGGGCGTTCTCGGCAGATGTGCAGGAAGGCTCGGGGCATCTCCCGGCCGGAACTTAAAGCCCAACTGCAGCCAATGAAAGAAGAGCAAAGCACGTGACTGGATGTCTTCCCATTAGCAGCTATTCTGGATACTCCTTGAAGCTCCACCGAAGAGAAACAAGATATCACAGACAGGGACAAGGCATGGTCGACAGTGCCCTCCGTGGCGCGATGGAACGAGATACCCTGCCGTCGATCATCTGTCTAAAGTCAAGAGGCGCCATTTTTTTTGTTGGTTAGTGGCATTGCGAGCAGAGACGGAGAGTCTTCTATTTTGGCTCCAGCCATGTTTCTGGCCTATAGGCTTTTACAAGTCATAGTATATCCCGTGCCTCAACCTCCGGAACTAACTAGAAGGGCCCTCCTGAACTATGTGCATTCTAAGCACGTGTATTTTGTTGAACGTCGGCCGTGCACAAGCTTTCTCGAAAAGGCTTGGGCTGTCTACGTGAACCCAAAAGCTCTACTATGAATGGAAAAAATATATACCAAAGGCTCCTCCCTAATGGGCCATGGAGCATCTCTCCGATCATTTCATTCCGTCAGGCCCAGTGATGTGCAAACAGAGCGGGAACAACTGTTTCTATCTCACACAAAACCCGCTACTCATGGTTCATGATTCAATTCAAAATGATCCATCCTCCATCAAGATACCAGTAGTAGGACTTCAGAAAACAGATCACAATTCCTAACTAGGCATCTTTGGTGTTAATCTTCGGGAGTGGACTCAAGAGTCATGGAGCCATCGGCATGATCTGTCCGTCATTTTCAGTCCACTGCCTGGGAGAATATTAACCACAAACAACGGGTGATGCTGCGGAAACACACGGCTGCTGTATGACAGGAGAAAAGCTAGGCTTTCATTGATAGTGAATCATATTAGTCTCCGAGAATGGAGAACTATGGGATATAAATTCCAGAGAATTTCCTACCTCTGTTGACTTTAGTCCTTCATTCATCAAGAATAACACAACAAAAAAGCTGAATCTTCCCTTTTATCTACCACAGAGGAAACACAAAGCAGTGTTAAATATGCGTTTTACACAGATTGTGGCAGCCGCTCTCTGCTTGGGCGCCACCGAGGCAGCGGTAGCTCCTATCGACAGAGCCCGCAAAGTGCTAGGAAACCAGCACGCGTTTGACAAACGTGATGCTTCCGGTGATACCGCAAAGGCCCCCAAACACTTGACTAGCAAGAACAAGAGTAAAATATTCCCTTTCTACATATTTCCGCTTCAATTGGTCTAACGTTGATTTCTTGGGCAGAGTTCTATGTTGACCCAAACAGCATCCCTGGTGTCCCTTTCGATATTGGAGAGTCGTATGCTGGAAATCTCGCCAACACTCCAGCTGGCAACTCTAGTTTGTTTTTCTGGTACTTCCCATCAGAGAACCCGGAAGCCAAAAACGAAATCACCATTTGGCTCAACGGTGGCCCCGGATGTAGCTCCATGATTGGTCTTCTTCAAGAGAATGGACCATTCTTGTGGCAGCCGGGCACTGATGGCCCAGTCAAGAATCCCTATGCTTGGTCCAAACTCACTAATATGGTCTGGGTTGACCAACCAGCGGGAACTGGCTTCTCCCCTGGCCCACCCACTGTGAAGGATGAAATCGATGTTGCAAACCAGTTCAGCGACTTCTGGAAGAATTTCATGGACACCTTTGACCTCCACCACAGTGATGTTTACCTTGCTGGAGAGAGTTACGCTGGTCAATATATTCCTTACATTGCCAGCGGGATGCTAGACAGGAAGGATTCCGAATACTTTAATGTCCAGGGTATCACAATCATTGACCCATCCATTGGTGCTACCGAAGTGATTATTGATGGTAAGTCAGGTATCATCTTATTCAGAAAGTTAGAATTTATGCTAATCTGCTCCCCTAGCCCCATCTGTTCCTGCATTGCACCGCTTCAACAACATTATTGACCTAAATGAGACCTTCGTTAACGATATCACTAAAAAATGGGAGAGCTGTGGATACAAGAAATTCATGGATGATGCTTTGAGGTTCCCTCCAGCTGGCCCCATGACTGTCCCTGGAAAGTCTGCTGGATGTGATGTTTGGGACGAGATTATCACTGCTGTCAAGGAGGTCAATCCATGCTTCAACATCTATCACCTTAGGGACAACTGCCCAAGCCCATCTAACGTCATGAATGGACCAAAGAACTTCTTCAACAACAAGCAAATCCAGGAAGCTATCCACGCCCACCCAACTGATTACCGCCTTTGCGGTGAATCTCAGATCTTCGGTCCTCACCGCAATGACCGCTCTGTCCCCAGCTCATATGGCCCCCTTGCCAGTGTCATTGAGAGAACAAACAACACCATTATTGCACACGGTGACCTTGACTTCCTCCTTTTCGCCGAAGGCAGCTTAGCCTCCATCCAAAACATGACTTGGGGTGGTCTCCTGGGCTTTCAGAAGGAACCATCTGACAAGTTCTATGTTCCATACAAGGATGGATCTGAAGTCGGCGGAGCTGGATTTGTTGGCAAGACCCATCGCGAGCGTGGCCTCACTTGGGTTACTGTTGACCTTGCTGGACACGGTAAGTTGGATTATCCCAATTTGCCGCCTGGAAGGTCGCTAACATATATTATATCTAGAAATCCCACAGTATGCTCCCACTGCTGCATACCGTATGCTCGAGTACATGCTTGGAAGAGTCCAGAGCCTGACTGAAACCCACTAAGATGTTTATCCAAACTTCCTGTTGTATATAGTTTAGATTGAAGGATGGGAATCCTTGGTTAACGTATAGATGTATCGGTAGTCATTCATTTAAAATATGAAAGTTGGTTTATTTAAGTAACTTCTCAAAAGTTTCATATCTCAAGTTACATGAGGTATTGCGAACATGAACAGTCTAAATTAAAATTGAAGAGATCTGTGGTCAAATAGGGGGTGTAAAGATCAAACATTCTTAACACGATTACTAAAGTCGTAAGTAATGGCTGAAAGCAGCAATGTACACAGTACACCCCGGAAGGCTGGCTTAAATTAAAAATTTGGTAGCTTGCAAGATTGAATAGGAAAGCAAAATAAGAATGCTACCTGTATAACATGCCATTCTGATAGACGCCCTTTGCTGCAGAGGGTTGAAATGGGGGATAAGCAATGCTCTGAATCATCACGCAAAGCCGGGAACAAAAAATTTCCTCATAGTGTCACTTCTTCCATCTCTGCTTCTTCTGAATTGGCTCCTTTAGTGGCTTTTCCACCTCCCGATTCTTTAATGACTTCTGCTTCCGGGTCCGGTGACTGATGTTCAGTATCGTCTTTCGCATCATCTGAATTAGACTGGGATGCTGGAGCCTTCTCATCTAGCTGCCCATTAGTTGGTATTCTATCATCCTCATCATTTGTTGCTGCATCATTGTCAGCTGTGGTGTGACTATTCTCTCCCGTTTCCTTATCGTTTCCACTGTTCTCCCCCTCATTTTCATTCTTAGGTACTGGGGGGCTAGGGAGATCTTTTGAGGCCTCGTTATCATTCTTTGGCGGTGGTAGAGGTGGTGAGCCTCCTTCAGGTCTCAAGCCATTAGGAACTTCACTCCTTGGTCCGCCAGGGAATGGTGTAACTGGAGGAACTTGGTTATTCTCAGGCGACGATCGTGAAGTAGCCGTACTGTTTTGTCGTCCATGTGTTGGTAAGCTCAAAATCGAGTTTTTCTTATTCTGCTGTGCGCCGACTCCAGGACCAATCTGCCGTAATTTCGGATCGGCATTCAGATAATAACCTCGCACGCTCACTATAGTGCCTTCACGTTCACACCCTTCTACCCATTCTGGTCGAACAACAGGTATATTCATCTCAACAGCCTTTTCCCAGGCAGGGCCCCTACCCTCCGTACAGACGAAGTGTGTCGTATCAATACGAACCGTATCGATAAGCTTCCCTCCAATTCTATCCACTGCATTTGCCAGTGACTCTCTTAAATTGTCAGGAAGAATTCCAGCAGTAACCGTAATTCCGGATAAATCTGTCATTTTGTGGGTTCGACAAACTAGTTTTTCAGAACTAAACATGCCAGCGGAGGTACGAAGGATGAGTTGGAAAGTATATTCTGTATCAATCGCAAGGCCGCTGATTTTTGTGCTGAGCATATCGAGAGGTCGTGGAATCGACCCTGCTTTCGAGCCATTGCGATATAAAGATAAGGATTTAAGCGAGGCGGTAGCTAGCTGTATCGGGTCCCATTCCAAAACCAAGGAGGTCTGTGTTGCATTCTTCAGTCGTAAAACAGGGGGAGAGGGTGTATTAATTCCATAGGTATTAAGGATCTTGTCCTGTAGAGCTTTGGATGCAGCTTGATCCGCAGCCTCGGCCGCTTCGTTTGGGGACACAGTGATATCGACTATACTTCCAGATGTGATGTTTCTCGGCAGAAGGACGGACGGGAATTCGATCTGAGGGAAAATAAAATTTAGTGAATTAGTGAGAAATGACTGTGAATGGGTACGAACTCATTAACGACAAAGTGTGGGGGATTGTGTTGCAAGCCTACCAGTCGATTATCTTCCGTGAGAAGGACTGCAACGCCGGCATCGACCTTCCCAACGGTTAGGGAGACCAACATCGTCTCCCACCTCCTCGATCCTTCGATCGAACAGTAGAACGGAGAATGGTGTCAATACGTCACAAGAAACAAAATCACACAACCTGACGTATACCTGGGGTATCTCTCTGGCGCCTCTGCAGCAAACAAGAGCAGCGACAGCATTTGTGTTCTGATGCCCTGAGATGAGCTTCATCATCGCCTGGTATCAGCGCCTATTACATAATCTGATACGACAAGACCAAACGTGGCGATGCTCGTTGCCGTTTTAGACACGTCGATTGCCGCTTTAGTGACTAGCGCCGTCACCATTACATAATCCTAGAGCGTCCAAGCTTCCTACGAGCCGCATTTTGACAACTTCAGACGACAACTCGACATACAAGGGACTGCCTCGCAGTCACAGCAGTAGATAGGGGCCTAGCACAACACTTTCACGTTTCAATTATCTCTATCCTTAATTAGCCGCCTATGCATATATTCACTCTACTAGTTTACTAGTGGATCACGTGTTTTCCTGTCACTTTCGTGTCCGCCTCATCGAGCACACATCAACGACTCTCATATGATGTCGTCTGGATCGCCGGCTTCGCTAGTCAAGCTGTCTCTACCTCTGGTATGGGTCCAAGCCGAGATTATGAAATATATATTCCTTACCTGACCTCTATTGTAGCAATATCAACAAAATTTGTTAAATGAATTGAGATCTGAAGACGAACTGGTGATATTAGCCCAGGGTCTAGGCCTGCTCAAAATAATAACCAACTTGCTTCACACTTATGATGCGGCTGGGAATAATTTGATCATATTAGTTGGGGCTACTGATCGTGAGAATGAATGGATTGGTGAAGGTTGGTTTGACTTTGGGAACTGGTATAGCAAGTCTACTTTGTTATGTCGATGCTAACTAAAGATAGCACTGGCGGAGCATTATGCTATCAGTAAATCACCTTTGGCCAGAGGACTCAAGGTCATTAACACTGATCGAGCTACTGTTTCCATGAGGTATTACATATTTTTTTATCAAACTTATACTGGCTTCTTTTAAACTAATACACTAAAGGCATAAAATGTACTCAGAGGGAGGCATCATCAGCGTGACCTCTCGGATTCTGGTTGTGGATTTACTTTCACGTACGTTTATGTGCCATGTTTCCTTATACCTACTAGGCCCTCTCTTAACAGTGGCGTTATAGGACTCCTTGACCCAAAACTCATCACTGGCATGATCATTCTTCATGCTGAAAAGTAAGAACGATACCTAGAAACGCGAGCGTTCTATCTTTGCTAAAAGCTAGTGGATAGAGTAGTAGCCACTTCTCTCGAAGCATTCATCATCCGAATATATAGGCAGTACAACAAGGATGGAATGCTCAAAGCGTTCTCAGATACCCCAGAGCCTTTCACCACTGGATTTGCACCATTATCAAATATGCTGCGGAACCTATTTCTCCAAAAGACATCCCTGTGGCCAAGGTTTCAGGTTACTGTTGCAGAGTCCCTGGAAGGCCATAGGAAAGCCGAGGTGATTGAACTCGAGGTTCTAATGACTGATAAAATGAAAGAAATACAAAACGCAGTATTAGAATGCGTGGAAGTGAACATAAGAGAACTCAAAAGATCTAATACCGGCCTCGATGTTGGGGACGATTGGACGGTGGATAGCGCACTTCATAAAAATTTTGATGTTGCCATTCGCCGACAGCTGGATCCGGTATGGCACCGTGTGTCTTTTAGAACACGACAGATTGCCAGCGACCTAACAGTTCTTCGGTCTATTCTCCAGTAAGATTACTAGCAATAACCTCCCAACTATCCCGACAATTAAATCTAACTAGTAGGCTAAGTTCTCTACTGACATTCGACGCCGTTTCGTTGAATAAATATCTTGACACTGTCATAAGTGCCCATTCGGCCCCCGCAGGGTCTACAAAGCAAAATTACTCGCCTTGGCTATTCCTTGGGGCAGCCCATGTACTTTTTGATACTGCTAAGTCACGAGTATACAAAAAGAAGGCTTCAGAGAAGACCACATCATCATCCTCCGGCATCTTTAATGGCATTGAACCCGTCTTGGAAGAGCAACCTAAGTGGGCTGTTCTTGCGGAAGTGTTGCAGGAAATCGAGCAGGACACATACTTAAATCCTGCAGCTCCGGGTTCCTCCAACAATGCCATCCTTGTCATGTGTAGTGATCAACAAACCTGCCGACAAGTTCGTGAATATATTTCCACCATGCATAAAAAGGAGAAATCTTTTGATGAAAATGAAAATGATGAGGCCGATATTATACCCTACAAAGATGAACATCAACCATCTGCGGGTACTATGATGCGAAGGAAACTCCGAGAATATCTTTACTGGAAAAGAAATCTCTCAAATGTGAACAACCATTTATATGATGTAAAGCCAAAAACGAAAGGCATTGCTGAGGTACCGGGTTTTACATCTGTCAGCAGCGTCGGTCCCCAAGGTCATGCTGGGAGAGCGCCCCCGAATAAAAGACGACGAGTGCGTGGCGGTAGTTCCGCTGCTACCGCTTCGGGAGCTGGAAGACCAGCTCATGGGAGCGTTCAGGTAGACACTGAGGATTTTCCTGAGGTGCCAAATCTTTCAGAGGAAGTTATACAACAAGCAATATTAGAAGAAGTTCAACACATCACCCTGGAAGATGATCTTCAAGATATGGATAACTACTATGAGCTTTATGATGTGAACGACTTGCTAGTTGTTCACCACTACGATGGAGATATGGATGAACATGTCCTCGAAGAACTAAGGCCCAGATACATCATAATGTATGAGCCTGATGCAGCATTCATTAGGCGGGTGGAGGTATATCGCAGTTCCCATCAAGAGAGAAATGTACGGGTATACTTCATGTATTATGGCGAGTCAGTGGAAGAGCAGCGATATTTGAGTGCCGTTCGCCGTGAGAAGGATGCTTTTACAAAGCTGATTCACGAAAGGGGGGTAAGTACAGACTATAAACATCATTGCTTCCATGTTCTTCGCCTAACTATTTGTGTACTGTAGACGATGGCCATGCAGTTAGTCCACGATAAGAGCCATGAAGATCCCCAAGAGCAATTTTTACGGACTGTGAATACCCGAATTGCTGGTGGTGGCCGACTTGCGGGCACGGCGGCACCTCCAACTGTGGTTGTAGATGTTCGAGAGTTTCGAAGTGCTCTTCCATCACTACTCCATGGCCGTAGCATGGTTGTGGTCCCATGCCAATTAACAGTGGGTGACTACATTATCACTCCGGACATCTGTGTGGAGCGCAAATCTGTACGGGATTTAATCAGTTCCCTAAAAAACGGACGATTATACACACAGGCGGAAACAATGCTTCAACACTACTCCCAACCGATGCTCCTAATCGAGTTTGATCAAAACAAGGCGTTCACTTTCGATGCATTTACCTCTTCTGCTACGCCAACGTCCTACGTACCCGACAACGCCACTAGCTTTGGTTCTGGCAATATGATTAACCCAGCAAACCCAAAATCAGCACAGCATCTACTAGTATTACTTACTCTCGCATTTCCTCGTTTGAAGATAATCTGGTCGTCCTCACCCTACCAGACGGCAGAAATATTTGCAGAGTTGAAGAAGAGTAACTCAGAGCCTGATCCTATAAAGGCAGTTCAAGTCGGACTCAATTTCAATATATCTGGCTTAGATACGTCCGATGGTCAACCTGCAGGTATGATTCCTGCTGCGGGTATAGAGCATCCAGTGTTCTCCCTCCTACCCCAAGACATGATCCGAGCCGTCCCAGGGGTGGAACCAAAGGTTCTCGAGCGTCTTATTCTAGAGACGAAGAACATCCATGAGGTAGCCAACATGCAAATTGAGCAACTTGAACCACTGGTGGGAAAAGAAGCAGCAAGAAAGATATTCAAATTCTTTACTCGGAGCGTATTCGATTCCGAGACGGTGTATGAATCATAAGGAGATAAATAGTTATATTAAACCCAATTTTATTGGCTAATTCAACGTCAACTAATCCCTTTCATCATTCTATGCGTTCAGTTTCCATCGCGAAGCATGATCGAATGGCAAGATCCAAATGAAAAACAGGAAATTAGCAAAGTCAACGAAAAGCGAGGCGATGCTGAAAATAAAACGAGCACAAAATAAGAAAAGGGCCATAACCATTTGATATCACTCTTCAGCGTTCCAGAGGAGATGGTATAACAAGAAGCGAGATGCATCATGGCTAAGGAAGACGTAAAAATAAGGAAAAGGAAAATCGTTGCTGAAAACGTCGGGTCAAGTTACGTGAGCACGCGTCGGTCGACTGTTTAAAAGTGATTGCGGCCCTTTTCCGTACGAACGAACCATGAATGTGGCTAATAGCAACACTCATTAGCCTCCAGATAGCGTGTGTATACGAGGGGGCTATGCATCGTCGGCGAGGTAAGTTCGGCCAGGTAATTGATATCCTTTCTCGATGGGAAAGCACTTCTAGGATCCAATGAGAGCCTTCATCAATCCGGTCTAGTTATATTGATAAGCCGCTGGAAAGAAAACCAAACGTCCTTAAGTTTCTTAATAGACAGTGGCGATTGGATAGATGCTGTTGGTTGAACAGTAGAAGTAATCCATCGAGCCGGGACGTGCCGCTTTTGGAGGGATGATGGGTTCAGATCTCGTCGACGTCGATGTCCTTTTCATCACTGCTATCACGATCCTCGTCGAACTCGACATTGTCTTCGATACCCTCATGACCATAGCTAAAGCAATGTTAGAAATACCATATCCTTATGAACAACCACGTAACGGGAAACATACGTATCGGTCTCGTTGATCTTGGCGCTCTCTGGGAGCTCGCCATAGGCCTTCAGACTTCTGGCCTCGTCGGCGTTGTACTTGAGAATGACATCTCCCTTTTCGTCTTGGTAATCGCGGAGCGAGAGAAGGATGATATCTCCCTGGTTGATCCAGACCTTCTTACGAAGCTTTCCACGGATATGAGCCAGGCGCTTCTCCCCGTCGAAACAGAGAGCCTCTAATCGACCGTTACCCAACATCTTGACTACCTGGGCGTATTCTTGTCCCTCCTCTTTGAAGGTCAGCTCGCGCTTCTCATTGTCGTTCTCGTTCTTTCCACGACGTCTGTTTTTACCACCCTATTGAGTAGTTAGTATCAACATACCAAAAGTGAAAAGCGCAGTATCGAGATAGATCATAGCTATATTTTTTTCAGACCGCCATCCACCTAGACATGGATAGGCCTTATGCTTATCGTGGGCGGGTTCTGCGGGGTTAAAGAGTCAAGACAAAGAGTAAGTCATACCTTTCCTTTATTCTTCGGCATTCTGACAGAGTCTCACTGGCTGTAAAGTAGGAGTATAGGAACTTAATAGACAGTTTCTAGCAAGGCAAAACCTAGTCCGCGTTGAGCAGGGGCATCACAAGCGTCTTGATGAGGTTGGGTTGAGGGAGATGAATCGGTTTTATGGCTTTTTTATGACTTTTTTTAGTGGGGAGGGACGAATTCGCCACGTGAGTTTGCCTTTGCTGACTCAGCTTAGACCTGGCATACAAAGTTTTTAAGAGACCGAAGAAAACGACGGCGAGGCGGAAGATGAAGAGGCGGAAGACGAGGCAGAAGAAGCAAGAAGAGGAGCAGGAAAACAAAGCACGGTGGAAAGCAGTGAGTAGCCGAGATACTCCGTATGCGACCCGGGAAAGGCCGGAAATGCGCCTTGTCTGTCGAGTGTCCAACAAGTCCTACAAGGCACGATACAGTGAACCGTTACTGAACACACCTGGAGACTGCCTGGCAATGAACTACATCGATCCTCATAAGTGAGCACTCGATCTCCAAATTTTAACAACAGTGAAATTAAGCCAGACAGATATCGATGGGTTAGGTACGTACCTACCTGGTAGGGATAGCATGACGGAGAAACATTAATCCATTTGATGTTTTGAGGGTGAAATTTCATCCCCGAGTTCATGTCTTGAACCTATCAATAGGCGATTGCGACGCGAACCAACTTCTCTAGCAACATGAACAAGGCAAGGAACCTCAAGCCTTTCGAGTGGAATCTGGGCTTGAAGAAGCTAAACATCAAAGCCCGCTGTTTCGCAGTCAAATACGCAGCCGGTAACATCGAGTCCCCGTTCACCAAAAGATGCAGGTTGACAAAGCCTATTCTCACCCCAATGTTCGACTATAAGCTCAAACAGAGAGAGAAAGACATTATATGGAAGTCCGTCTCCCTTGGTAGCCCGGCTGACACACCAGCAGTTGGCCGTTCCTTGTACGCTCGAATGTTTCGATCTGCCTACTATGAAGCTCTGAAGAAGTATGGATACGACGAGGACGGCAGAAAGCTCGTCCTCGATGCAGAAGGGAATGTTGTGGGGAAACGGAAACCGGGTCTGTCATGTACGATTCAAGTGATCTTGAATGCACCGATAAAAACCGTCAAACAAGAGGATCTCGTTATAGAGGCAGAGCGGCTGGTCCAGGAGCTCGAGAGACTGCAAGGCAAGCCATGTGCAGCTGGAAACGCAAACCACAGACAAAGGTCCCGGAAGGCGCAGAAGTCGGCGGGATAGTTTGCATTTTCTTTGCGGAAGAATATGCTGAACTTCCCCTGCATCGGAGTGATTAGTGGGAATACAGTGCTTCTCACACTGGATGCTACAGACCAACATCACGAGAGCCTTTACGTCAACCTAATTGATAGGTTCGGCCTGAAAATCCCCATTTGGAGGCGTTTCACTGAATGGTTAAGGGCAAAAAAAGGCAGTGTCTTAACAATTCAGCTTTGGGCCCCGATACTCTGTGCCAACTGGCTCCCACCGCGGCCAAAGTACTACATCAACCTAAACAAACCGACACCATCGACAACGCTGATCCTGCGTGGGTGCGGTGAATCTACCCTATCATGCTGAGAATGCTGAAGGGGCTCTTTCATACAGGTGTTTATGCCCATGTCCATTACCCATGTATTCTTGTGCCTAACTCCTGCGCATATGCTGGGTGAGTACTTACTACCTCCAAAAGACAAGAGATCGAAGTAGACAACCGTGCCAAGGATATCTCCTGCCAACTGCCCCAAGTAGAAAACATTGTAGCCCGCTGCTCCGCAATTAAAATACGTAAATAAATAGTCATAGATATAGATCAGTAATGCGCGGTACAGTCACTGCGTAATCGCCCAACGTCGGCGGAGGCTTGGCGTCTCTAAGCCTCTTGTTGAAGGCAAACACCAACAACTTCTCGAGGATGGACAACCGACGGACAAGCAACAACTACAGGCCTTGACGCTGCGCAGTCCACGAGCCTGTTTGGGGGAATACTTATTATCCACGCCTGAGGATGAGACTGGATACCTAAGCCGTCTCAACGTTGCCAGCATTCTTCGCACACACGACTACATTAATACCGATAACTCCCTTGGGCTCCTGGACAGTCCACCATGCCTTCCATACTCTCTGATGCCGATAAAGAGACAGTTAGACGAACTGTCCCGAAGCCGTCTAGCAAGATTCTTGCTGTTGCTGTTGCTAGACTCTACATTGCGCTTCCAAATACTCACAAGTGGATATACACTGGCCTGCAGGGCGCCGCAGTTCTGGCAAATGACCTCGTTGGGCATACATTCTGGATAAAACTGGTAGACGTCTCGGTATGGACGGATTTTTATTTTACTTGTCCTGGCTATATCGTCTGTGATACTGTGATTGCTAATTCGATCTCGTTTTCGTTGTCTATATAGCCTGCAGGCAGAGGGATTCTATGGGACCAGGAAATCTACGACGGGTTCGCATACAACCAGGACAGGACGTTCTTTCACACCTTCGAGCTCGAAGACTGCCTTGCTGGTCTCTCCTTTGCAGATGAAAAGGAGGCAAAGACGTTCCTCAAGAAAGTGACGGAACGAGAAAAGAGTGCTAGCAAGGAGACCAAGGCCACACCGTTTTCGGCGGCTCGCGGGCAGACGCCAACGCCTGTATCGAATGGCAAAAGCCATAGCCGTTTTGGCAGAGTAGGAAGCCTTCTACATGGACATAGGTCCTCGTCGGCGCCAAATCCTGCGGAGTCTATCATCCCGCCGAGACAACCACCTGCCAATACCGCTCCTTCAGCACCCGTGGCCCCTGGAAACAATGAGAAGGCATCTTCTCCGCTTGATACAGTGGACCCATCATGGCGAGGCCTCCTTGATGAGCTAAAGGCTATGGGGATTACCGAGGAGCAGATAGCGGAGAATTCGGACTTTATCAAGGCATATATCGAGCAAAAACAGCAAGCCAACGAGCTTAACGGCTCTGGCACGGAAGCGGCCTCCCAAGATACCACAAAGAGGGCCAAGGTGCCTCCTCCTCCGCCGCCTTCGGTTCCTCCACCACATGTATCGAAATCCCAACCTATCAGCCCGCAGAATACTGGTAAACGAGGAGCACCTCCACCTCCACCTCCAGCCAGACGAGGCCGGCCAGATGCGCCTCCATCTCCTCCCCCTCCACGGGAGCAGTCTCCAGCCCAATCTCCCAAACGGGAGCCATCACCTCCACGACCAAGGTTCCGGGCTCCCCCTCCAATTGCCGATGCCGGGAAATATGCCCATATTCCCGGTCCTAGTCTACCATCACGGAGCCGTGCGGCTTCCGGCTCTAATTTAGCTAACCCAGGACCTCCTCCTCCTCCGCGGCCTCCTAAAACACCAGAAGACAACCGTGCTTCGGTCCAAACCAACCGCAAAGTATCAGCTCCTGTTCCTCCTCCGAGTCGGATGCCTGCCCCCCTTCCGCCTAGGAACGAGGCTAGCTCTGTATCTCCGCCACCATTACCTCCAAAGACACCGCAAAATGCCCATATGCTACCACCACCGCCACCACCCCCTCCTCCTCAACGAAGCCCAGCTCCTCCCTCTCCACCACCACGACAGTCTCTCCCAGTATCTGCACCACCTCACCCTCCACCTCCACCACTTCCTACTAACAATGCACCACCACCTCCGCCGCCGCCGCCGCTCCCTGCTTCAAATGCGCCAGCTCCTCCACCTCCACCACCGCCGCTTCCACCTACATCTACCTCTTCTGCCCCAGCAGCGCCTCCTCCCCCTCCGCCGCCTCCCCCTCCTCCAGCCTCAGGAGGTCCACCAGCACCTCCGCCCCCTCCAGCACCTCCTGGTAGTGCAGCACCTCCGCCCCCTCCAGCACCTCCTGGTAGTGCAGCACCTTCCCTACCAAAAGCACCTCCAGGCAAGGACGATCTAATGGCCTCGATCCGAGCTTCCAGTGGGCGTGGTCTACGAAAAGTAAGTGAAACAGAGAAGCGTGATCGAAGTGCGGCTATGGTCCCCGGAGGTGCAACCGATTCATCTGCTGCTTCACCCGCTCCCGCCGGTGGCATGATGGGAGCCATCCAGGATGCTCTGGCTAAGCGAAAAAAGAAGGTCAGCGCAAGTGGTAAGTTACCTTTTCGACAATTTTTTATCTATTTAATTGTTAGATAAAAGGCTGACTAGCCATAGATGACGAGAAATCCGACGATGAATGGTGATACTACCGGGCAATCAAACTTTTGGGTAAAAAGGGGGGCCGGAGGCCGCGCTTTGCATTCAACCTTTGTACATATCAGACACCCATCCATAAAAAACTTAGTCCTCGTTACTACCATAAACTCTTCTGGCAAATGAAACCTATTACATCCAATCAAACTTTTATCTCTTTTGTGAATCACTCTCTATGAATAGTATGAGATGAAGGCCCTGAAGCCGCTAATATGGATGTTGTAAGTATGGAAGTAGGCTGACCCTGGCCCCTGGGCCGGGCGGCGGTTGCCGGATATCGGTAAAATATTAATCCGGTATATCGTCACGGGCAGTCTGCGAAAATTGAATCTTGTACAAAACTTCAAGAAGAGCGACGATGTTCGCGATCAAGAGCAGCACATTATATCTTGCGCTTGAGCCTGCGGAACCCGGGTGATCAGGCTGAGAGATGCTTTCCTCGCCTTCTGTGAAGACAGTAGCACCGTCCTCAAATCTTCTTCGCTACCTCCGCTGCCTATTTGACTATTCGCGCTGCCGGCCAAAGGTTTCAACTTCCTGCCGATGGAGTTCAAATCAGGCTTGTCCGGGCGGTTTACGGTCTTCGCTGCATTTGAACTCGCCTAAAGTAGCATATGGCTGCTCATCCTACGGAACAAAGTGTGATATCTCTCTGGTTAAGCCGCCCATTGTAACAGGCACTTCGATATCGCGCAGACGCTCTCTTTCTGCCAACCGATACCAGCTCTTGAGCACAAATGGTACCCGATCCTTCAGTACTACAACTGTGAGATGCAGACACTTCCTACGGCGGCTTTTGGGCTTCTCACGGCCACCCGCCAACCCGCACTTGAAGCCGGATGATCTCCCTCAAAACATTACAAATTTCGATGACGGGAATGAGAGCAATCCTTTCAATGTAGGGTGCAACTTGGCGTTGAAGGTCTCAAATGAACCTCGACTTCGATGTACAGAGTTTGATGGGGCTGGAAACGTTACTCTCGTAAACGGGGAATTTAAAAAGAGCGAACTGATTGCCAAGGTAAGCTCTCGTGAACATCAGCTCAATAAAAGGCATAATCTAAATCCCTCTTTCCTACATTGCAGTATGGCCTTCTGCCTCGAGATCTGAGAAAGATCGATTCCTCCGTCCTGCCTCATATTCTCATCCGTCACAGCGCAATTCTTATCAGTCTTTTACATTTAAGGGTTCTTATCAAGTCAGATCGAGTCTTGGTGTTTGATGCGTATGGTTCTACAGACACTTATACCCAGTCCCTGTTTATGTATGACCTTGAGGGAAAACTACGACAGAAAGAACCAGCTTCACGGGCTGCTTGGGCTTCTGGCGCTTTACCGTATGAATTCAGAGCACTTGAAGCAGTGCTCGTAAGCATCACTAGCGGTCTTGAGGCAGAATTTGAAGGCGTTAGAGAACCTGTTTCTAGGGTTCTACGAGCGCTTGAAGAGGATATTGACCGAGATAAACTCAGGCACCTCCTAGTCTATTCTAAACGTCTCGGAACATTCGAACAGAAGGCCAGACTTGTCCGTGATGCGATTGATGACTTGCTAGAGGCAGACGATGATCTGACGGCGATGTACCTCTCTGAGCGGTCAAAAGGAATACACAGAGCCGAACATGATCACCAGGAAGTCGAGATGTTACTAGAATCTTATCATAAAGTTTGTGACGAGATCGTCCAGGCCAGCGGCAATCTGGTAACTAACATCAGAAACACAGAGGAGATGTAAGTCTTCTCTTAAAACAACCACCTTCTAGGATTACATATACTAAGTATATATAAACAGTGTGAAAGCAATTCTTGATGCCAACCGCAACTCTCTTATGCTTCTAGAGCTCAAGTTTAGCATCGGGACTCTGGGAATGGCAGCAGGCACTCTATTTTCAGCTCTCTATGGTATGAACTTGAAAAACTTCCTCGAAGAGTCTGATTTAGGCTTTGGTGCTGTTTCTGCTGCTTGCTTTGCCCTAACAGCATTTGTATGCGCGTATGGACTTATAAAGCTGAGAAAGGTCCAACGTGTCCGGAT